GCGCTGAGTGATTATCGCAATTGCAGTGTTACGGTCGCAATCGGTGCCAGATATTAGTCCCTGAAGCTGACAGGCCATAGCTTTTTGCCTCCTCCCCCTCCGCGCTACTCTACACCTCTCTCTTACACCGCTGGAGTTGCAAATGGACTTCCTGTTTCCTTGATTGAGACCACCAACTCCCTCACACATCCTGAGGGCGGGTGTCCCTTACAGGTTGGTGAAGGTACAACGCCTACCTTGTATCTTCAGGAGCTTGCATTTTTGTCTTTGTTTTCCTTCTTCTTGGCTCTCTAGGCCTACTTTTCCGTCACTGACTATGGTATTGTGGCCGAATCTAGGAACCTATGAACTCCGAGATGACGTTCACCTTGCGACCCCACCTCCACATCCCTCCGAGCCGCTTCCAACTAATCAAAATCCTCTGGTTACCGCTCCCTCACCGCCTACGTCCGGTGTGAAGGTCTCTCCTGTCATAATCGCGCCGCGCAACAACACTCCGGATCTGTTTCGAGCAAATACTTTAGAAAGTACGCAGTCGGATCTCAGAATTATGAGAGAAAGCGAGCATGAAGGTGTGCGCTCGTCAGAAGCCAGTAACAGCAACTGTCTTTCCAGCGCTACTGCTCCGGCGTTTGGAGAAGGCACGCTGGCCCTTACAACCTCGCAAGGAAGGGATGCGCCTGGTGTGAAACGCCGAAAGCCGAAAAGCAGTATCGTCAAGAGCACCTCGACCTTCATTTCCCGCGTGATCACGAGTGACCATGCGCTGAAAAGGCTGGCAGAGAGGAGCCCAGATGGGCTTTACGTTTTTGCAAATATCAACCGGGCTTTTCACTGGTTGGATTTCAGTGCTAAAAACAAGCAAGATCCACTCGCAAAGATACTATTTATGAAGGCTCATATGCTTTCTCATGATGTAAATGTGGTCACAAAGAGCGTCTCTCACCTAGATGTTATAATGGGCTCTTCCACGGGTGACATTATCTGGTATGAGCCAATGTCGCAAAAATATGCTCGTATCAACAAAAACGCAAGCATCAATGGCTCCCCTGTGATGCATATCAAATGGATTCCAGGTTCTGAAAACCTCTTCTTAGCTGCGCACTCCGATGGCTGTCTGATGGTCTATGACAAGGAGAAGGAGGATGCGCCGTTTTCTCCAGAGGAACCCAAGGGGAGTTCGGATTCCATTAACAAGGAGGCCGCTTCTAGACCAGCGTTAAAGATTTTGAAATCTGTCAATTCACAAAGTCAAAGGGCAAACCCAGTCGCATGCTGGAAGATATCGAATCACCGCATTAATGACTTCGCCTTTTCCCCCGACCGTCGTCACCTTGCCATCGTTGTGGAGGACGGTACTTTAATGATTATGGATTATTTAGAAGAGCGGTATGTTCGGCTCCCTGTGTGATAACCCGTCTTCAGAAGAGTCCTCTTGCTAAACAGCAGGCGTGACACAGATTGCTGGATGTCTTCACGAGTTATTACGGGGGTATCATTTGCGTTTGCTGGTCGCCTGATGGGAAATACATCGTCACTGGAGGTCAAGACGACCTTGTCTCCATTTGGTCGTTTACAGAGCGTAAAATAGTTGCTCGCTGTCAAGGTCATAACTCTTGGGTATCCTGTGTAGCTTTCGATCCTTGGCGTTGTGATGAGAGAAATTACCGCTTTGGAAGCGTGGGAGACGACCGTCAACTTCTCCTATGGGATTTCAGCGCGGCTATGCTCCATCGCCCGAAGGCGGTATAACACCCCAACCCATACCCAACGCAATTTCAATTCCAAACTGACTTATTGGTCGTGTAGCTGCAAGCTACTGCTCGTCAACGAAACAGCATTGCTCCAAGCAGCCGTACTCGAACGGACAATAACCGCGCAGGACGTGTGAGGTCAAATTCGACTCAGACTGATAGTCAACCGGGTAGAGTAGATGCCGGGGTCACGTATCACCCTGTTGAACCACGCGCATTTACTGCACATTTACCTCCTATTTTGGTACGAGCAAATTCCTTAGGCTACGATGTCTTCTTTAAACTCATACATTGACTAATTTTTCTATTGTATAGTCTAAGGTCATCGGTGAGGACCGAGTAGCCTGGATAGGCTTTTTGGAGGACTCCATTATGACGTCCTCACATGAAGGTATGCCTATCCGATGTTCCGTTTCTGGCTGGAAGCTCAAAACCCATTCGCAGGACACATTCGAACCTGGGATCGCCCTAATGAAAAAATCAGCAAGGAGAATGCTGAGGCAAGCACCCCAGAAGTCGATTGATCTCGACGATACTTACGTCTTGGCATACGGAATTCATCTCGCCCTTTTTTTTGGTAGCTCGGCCGTTGGTCCAGGCCTTTGATGCATGACGAAGCCGCTTTTTTCCCGTTGTCTTATTTCGAAACGCAGTACTTAGTTATTTTGGGTCACTATTTTGGATTTGTGACTCCACTAGACCTTGAATACCTTCCAGAACGTTAGAGGAACCTCTATAGTATTATTAGACGGAGTATGTATATACTATCCATACCACAGCAGGACAGTCATTGATACCGAGCAGGCGCATTTGTTACTCTGTTATCAAAGTGCGTTATCGGGAGGTTTATTCGATAATAGTACCTAGTTCGGAGTAGCTGTCCGAGTAGCTCGTCCACGGAATTAGTTTTTTTGAACATCATACGACTCGTGGTCTGACCATCGAAAATGGGGAACTTCTCACCCAGTTGACTTCACTCGAAGCATTGAACCCCAAAGTCTATAGTAAAAAAAGAAACGAAAAGAAAGGAAAAGGGTTAGCTAACGACTCCTTACTACGTAGAAGCTGGAGAGCTTGGTGTGCATATGCAATGTAGCTACTTAATCACGTCAGCGACTCTCGAGCATGATATAACAGCTAAGGTCTACTAAGTACTCCGTAGTGAACTTGGTTATGATTCAGCATGCGTTTCTTATAGCTCATCGTTACGTGGAAGGGGAAAAAAGAAGACAGCTCACAAAAGGATAAATGGCTACGTGGAAGCGATCAAAACAGCAGCCATGAAGAAGCGCGATTTCCGGCCTCTTATCAGCTTCATTTTAATGCCGTTCGGGCATTTGCGATCGGGCCGAAACATCTACATGGATCGTTTCGGGGATATTTCTTTGCAGGGGCCGCATGTGACCGGGTTAGAATTTCCTCACTCCTGAGCGGTTGACTGTTGGTTTTGCTTTTTCTGGGCCATGGAGTTCAACGAATCGGCTTGTTGAACGAGTTTTGACGGGATGATGCACCGCATTCCGGCGCTGTGTGACGGTTATTGATGGCATCGCGTTTTTCTTCCACCCCTCCCCCCTCTCAATCCAGCTACTTCACTACCAACGGAGTAAAAAGCAGTCAACCAGTTAACTCAGACTCTGGCCGTCGAACTTAATTTAGCTAACGAGTGAGCGGGACTGGAAAAGAACAAATTCTCTTGCTGCGTGGCACGCCGAGGTCGCGATAGTAATCACGAATTTCCTCAAACGAAGGTGCCTTCCTTCGCGAGATCAACATCAAGGTTAGAAAGCATCCCAGTTGCATGTGACTGTAATCTCGACCGGCCGATTTTCATAGTTAATCAGCAGGAATTGATTATTTGTCCTCATCTCACGAGCAAGGAACCTCGGTCGATCGATCCACAAACATCAATCTTGTTTCTGTAAGGTTTTGTCGATTGTGCGAAACCAATCCAACCTTCTGCAGTTATACTTTGGAGTCCGGACGGGGGTCAAACGATGTATGGACTGGACATATGTACACTTCCCTGGGAATAGACGTCGTCACGGAGCATGGGCATCGCTGGTTCTCTCTAAAATTGCACTTCATGCAGAAAAGCCGGCATGAGCCAAGATCGATTTGCTGCGTGCATTGTGGATGTTCCGCCTGGAATGCGGGCTTGGCCGATGCTGGCTGGGATCTTTTACATAGCAACCAAACACAAGAATAGCATTTCTCCGACCACCGTTTGTGGGAGCTGATAACAGCGGGAAGGCTGTGAGGGACCCTGGTGAAGTTCTGGCCCTGAGCCAGTATCTTTCCTGTGAAGTAAGATGTGACAATGCCTTTCTCTCGGTCGACGGTCGCCCAGGGTCTCGAATTTGGGGCGCTCAGACGGAATGCTGGCTTGGCCTCAGGGAAGAGAAGTTGACTGCCGCCTCTTGGCCAGAACCCCACCACGATGGATCAAAATGTCAATCGTCACGAGCTAAATGCTTATTGGCATTTTTAGTGCATCGTTCCCTGGGCTCCGTTCTCGCTATTTTTACGGTTAAAGCGGATCCCGGCGAGCATTGTCAAGAACTATGTGATGTGAGTGGCTGTGGGCATCGATCAGCGGGCGTCATGGCACGGGGGTAGAAATTTTTTTTTCCCACTGAGCGTGACTAACAAGACCAGTGGACTTACGTAGCGCACCGACAAGGGAGGGTTCGCGGAGACAGGGACTGTTTGTCACTAACACACTCTCTCCCCCTTCTCGTCCTCTTTTCTATAGATATGTAACTAGCAGCTCTCATTCGCTCGTTGGTCGTTTGCCCAAACTAAGTTCGCCTGGCACCGTCATCGCAAGCCACTTCATCCCAACTGCCAACTGCCAACTGCCATCTGCCATCTGCCGCCGCCGCTGCTTCCGCTCCTGCCAAAAACGCCTCGCTGGGAAAAACCCGTACGCCTCCTTCCTTGTTGCCGCTCCTGCAGCCCACCGCGCATTGTTGTTGTTGTTATTCCTTTTCGAGGCAGATCCGCCCGGCCAACCGCCGTTCCTTCCTTTGTTGGTTCGAAAATTCCCCTTGTTTTACTTCCTGCTTCATCCGGCAAACTCCTCCCCCTCTGCCTAAGTCACCTCGCCAACGCTCCATTCATCACCTCAGTTTCTTGCACATTTGCCCTCGAGCTGTCTCGGGGAATCCGTCCACTTGCAGAACGCAAGCTCTCCCTCCATCTGTTGCCTCTTTCTCGCCTTGATGCGGTCAGTGCCTGTTTAACATGGCTCTCAGCTTCTTTGGCCATGCGAACCATGCCAAATACTTCGATATCAGGTGAGGATTATAGCTCTCATTGCCTCTGCTGCTGTCCCAGCGTTCTCGGCTGCAACACCTCCTCAATTGACCAAAATAGCAATGCCGCTGACCGCTGGAGGATAGGCTTGATGATGACTATATCGTCTTCCGTGGAAGCCCGGATGAGGCTGCCAGTGCGCACCTCAAGGGTACATTGGTCCTGTGTCTGTCGGAACCATTGACGATCAAACACCTAAAGCTACAGCTGGTGGGTGTCTCCCGTATCGGGTAGGTAGACAATTGGACCCAATTTCAACCCTCCTTCTAGACTCGATGGCCTCTTGTTGACCATTCGTGCGTTCAAGGTGGACAATGGTGACCGGATCGCTCACTGGGACGAGAAAACAAGGAAAAGAGCAAGTGGTGTTTGAAAAGACCTGGAAATTCCGAGATGCTGGTAAAGGGAAGACAGAGATCATGCCCGCAGACAACTATGAATACCCGTTCGATGTCATCCTGCCAGGATCGCTTCCGGAAAGCGTTGAAGGTTTGCAAGATTCGTGGATCACCTATCGTTTGAAGGCAGAAATTGGGCGAAAATATGCAAAGGATATCCATGCAAGAAAGCCCCTGCGCATCATTCGCACGCTGGATCCAAATGCACTAGAATTGATACATGCCATAGTGAGTGATTGGTAGACTCTGAAGCTCGAATGGTAATGCAAGCTGACAGCCTCTATAAGTCCGTTGAGAACATATGGCCGAATAAACTCGAATATTGTCTATCCGTGCCAAACAAGGCTGTTATATTCGGCACTAGTGTTACCGTAAATTTTCGGCTCGTCCCACTCCTTAAAGGCCTAAAGATTGGTACCGTTCTGTCTCAATTCATCGAGACTCACGAACTTGCCATACCTAGCGATGATCCCTCACAACACCGGAAGACCTCAAAAACCTCCAGGACTATCTTTTCTGACTCTTTAGAGGTAGATTCTGAAAGAGACTTGCAGGTTTTGGACGAAGAAGTTGAAGGATATAAATTCTCCAAAACCTGGGATATGCCCAAGACCTTACGCAAATGTTTGCAAGATACAGATGCAAACGGAATCAGGATCAGACATAAGCTGAAATTCAGAGTCCAACTTCAAAACCCCGATGGACATACTTCAGAGGTAACTTCACCGAATTCTACCACCTACGCCTTTGCTAATCGCGGTTTGAATTATTAGCTTCGCGCAACTCTCCCGGTTCACGTCTTTATTTCCCCGAATCTTCGAATAGATGAGCATAATAATGTGATCAACGGGAGTCGGGACACTGCGCGCGCTATCGATCTCTATTTCTCCCAACAAGCACCTCCGCTGTACGGCGAACATCAGTTTGACCTCCTTTACGGCGACTTAGATCCGAATGGCTATTTCACCCCTGCTGATTACAGTGGTGTGACTTCACCGTTTGGCTCGCGAAGCAGAAATATGTCTGCTGAAAATCTTGCAACCCTACCAGGGCGTCGGCCAGAAGATCTTTGTGCGCAAGCACTGCATAGTCGATTAGCTGATCTCCATGTCAACGGATCGGGCCCTACAACACCGCCACCCGAAGCCCTCGATACCATGGGAGATGAGCTCCATCGGCGATCTTTTACTAATACGGATCGTCTTCCTTCGATAATGAGCGAACTTGATGCTGCGTCGCCCGAGGGTTCAGGACGTTCGTCGGAAGAAGGCCATGTTCCGTCCGGCGCTGCCACACCTCACCCACAAATCAGAGAAGTAGAGGACCTATGTCGCGTGCCTAGTTATTCCACGGCTCTTCGATCCAGCGCGAAGACATTTTACGATGGGACACTCCCGGATTATCATGCAGCTACTGCGTCTGGAGCGACTCCTCCACGAAGAGTTCACCCAACGCATTCTCGAAGAACTAGTCGGCTCTTTGGGCTTCTCGAGACACCGGTTCGATCCAACTTTTCGCTTCATAATCGGAGTACGAGCCGTGGTGATTCGGACACAGAAAATCAACTTCGGATGATACAAGCGCGTGGTAGAAATTAACCCGACCATCCCCTCGAATGTGTTTGGTGTGTTAAATTTCCAATGCTCTTTCCCTTCATCCCTTTATTCTTTTACGGTCCTTCTCTCTATACCTTTTTTTCACGATTATTCACGAATATACGATTGACTTGCATTGCTATGGCGTTGAGGCAATTGTTAATGACCTGGGTCGGGTCACTGAAGATAGAGCCCATCCAACTATGCTTGCTTTTAACAAATATGGGTGTATTTGGCGTGATTGTTATTCGGGGAACTCCCTGGGATCAACGAACTGTCGAGGTGTTTATTCGCATAGGTGTTAGGGAGATGAATGGTGAGTAGGCTTGGGCTGGCGTGTTTTCGCGCAACTCTTCTTCTGGCAAACTCTTGTAGCATGGGAGCAAGCAGGAAAATGGCCATTGTGGATGGGAGACCCTATGTACAGTACATTATGTGTAACTATATGCCAGTACATAGCAACACCCGTCATAACAGTTAACTACCATTGCTAGTTTGCCCCCACCTATTATTGCTTCATTAACTGGTAGTGAAATTTCCAAGCGCTGTGGACTGAAGCTTCGCAGCCACGGTGGCCCTGACGACGGAGCATGTTATATGCAGATGGACTCAGCACGACGGCCTGCTGTGACCTCATCTCCCAGGATTAGGAACTCGAAACCATGATCTGAGGCACAGCATTCCCATATATACCTTTCTCGGCGGCAAAAAAAAAAAAAAAAGCTTCCGTATTACTTTATATAAAATCACATGTTGATCGCCCCAATTCGGGCTGCTCAGTTCCACCAGATGTGCTGCGATTGTGGACAATTTACCAGCAATGTCCTTGAGGCCCAAAGGGATTGCGGGGAAACTATTGATTCTTGGGGACCCAAGAAGACTAGAGGAGCCCCTCCACCAGACCACAGATCGCTCTAGCTTCGACGCTGCTGCAGATTTTCCCTTTTTCCCATTTTCTCGCCTCTTCTCTCATTTCTCTCTCTCTTCCTCTCTTCCTCTCCCTTTCTTGATCGTTTTCATCATCTTCGGGTCTTTTGGTGGTGAGCAGCACGGCTCGGTGTTTTGAAGGGTTTCTCGATTGATCATCTCATCTTCCGGTTAGATACTTCGGAGAGCCCTTGAAGCCGATCGTGATAGTTAAAATTAACTAGTCCGCTGGTTAGGCGCTTGGTGAGAGATTACCGCGAGCTAGGATGGCAGGCCTTCCTCATCGTTCAGGGACGGTGAAGACCACCACGACGATGGGCTCGAGTGATGACGAGGTCATTGGGGACTCTGATTTGGGCGGTGTGAGTTCAAGGCTATATTTCTTGTGTTTTCCTGACTTTCTCTCCTCTCGTTCGCCTTCTCGGGTCCTTTCTCCCAGCCCGTCTTATGGTTTTGCCGGTCGTTTCATGTTTGTTTGCTGTGCGTGGTGGGGGATGGGACCGATTGGGCTGCCAAATTTTTGGGGCTCGATTTGCGATCAGGGATCCGTTGGGTCGGGTTGGGAGGAAGAGCCTGACACCTGGCACTTCAACCATCGCATTCACTGTGCCCTTGGTCTGTGTGCCGCGAATTTTTTTTTAAAAAAAAACAAGAAACTCTTTGATTCCGGATTGCTGTTTATGTTCTCTTACCAAGTATTCGTTTTGATTGTGAATCTTTTCTACCTTCCCCCCTCCCCCAGCATTGACTTCACACGGGGGAATATGCCTTTATGGAACTTGGCTGCTCTGTTCTACGAATCGCTGCTTGAACCATCCTGAACCTTTCTTTGAATTAACCTTCATCCCCACTTGATGATATTCTCTGCCACTTTGCATCTTGGGGGAAAAAAATGCCATTGACTAACTATCGCGGCCTCGACGACCTTTGGTGGCGTGTGCTGAAGACAACCTCCATCCTAGTCGAGAGATTACGAGCATGGAAACACATGGTCGGATATCTCGAAAATTATGTCAGCGCGACGCAAAAGGTGCAAAAGGCGCAATCCAAGGAATTCGAGAAGATCTTGAAGGTTGGTTTCACCAGTTCGGCGATGCAATCGTGGAAGCGCATAACATTTCATTTTTATGCTTACTGGTGTAAATTTGATAGACTGTTTCCGAACCCCTAAGGGAAGCGCATCACTTCGTTCAGGGTGAAGGTGGAGTAGCTGGGTTGTTTGAAAGCTTACGGGTCAACACTCGGGTATGGACAGATTTAATTTCGCCCTTGGTGGAGGATCTTTTTGTTGATCTGAGTGTGCGTCTCAGGGCATTGCGGACATGTACCTCGAAACCGAGAAGAGCCTCAAGTCTACTGTCCTCCCGATTCTCGAAAAACTACACGGCGAGATAAAAGCCAAATCCAAAGAACTCCATAATGGAGCTACTAAGGCTGCGAAGCAGGTCGCCAAGGCGCGCACGACTACCCAGAAGCATATCGAACTTCTCGGGCAATATACTGCGGCCTTCGATTCCGCGACAAAATCAAAACAGGAGGCCTTGAATGACCCGTACATCCTGTCGCGCGGGGTGGTATACCGCCTGAACAAGCAAATCACTGAAGAGAATAATAATTTGAAAGAGCTCCTCGCCATACAGAACTCTTTCCAACAATTCGAGGCGCACATCCTGGAAACAGTGCAGGATGCGCTCAATCGGTTCTTCCAATGTATGGGTGCCCAGTCCGATCGGCAGCGGGCCATGTACGCCGACATGGTCAGCACAGGACAGCAGATCCCAACGGACTTTGAATGGGCGAACTTCTTTGAGAAAAACGATGCTTCTCTGATCAACCCCAACACTCCGCCGCGCTCTATGTCTAATATCACGTTCCCCAACCAAGAGCACCGCTCGACAAAACCCCTAGTGGAAGGGACGATACAGCGCAAATCTCGTGCCGTCATGAAAGGATATAGTGACGGATATTATGTGGTGACACCAGCAGGCTTCCTTCACGGGTTCAAGGACAATGACGACCTCCGTCACGATCCCCAGCCTGATATCTCTCTCTACCTGCCCGACTGCACCATCGGCAACTTCGATGGGCTCAAATTCTCCGTCAAGGGGAAGGATGTGTCCGGAGGCAAAGTCGGAAACGCCTTCCATATGACCTCTGAACTACACTTCAAGACACATAGCAAGAACCAGATCGATGAATGGGCGAGTGCGCTCTCTAGCTTCGTTGGATCATCCTCGGCCGGCGGCAGCCAGCCAACCAGCCCCACGGTGCAGAGGAGCGCGAGCGCCCCGCGGTCCCCGACGGCGACGGAGTCTGCTGTCATGCCACCGTTGGCTGAGAGTAAGCCTGTTGATGAGAAGGCGGATCCTGCGGCTGCGCCCGCGCAGAAGCAAGAAGATGGGATTGTTGCCGTGGATAAGGGGGAGAAATCCGCATAAAGAAGGCTGTTGAACCATTGCCCGATCCTTTGCATATCACCCATCATTATTATTATCATTATCATTATTATTATTATTATTTTCGGTTGTGCATCTTGGATTTCTGTCTATACCCTTTGGATATATTGCCCAATGCCTCGTCGATCTCAAATTGGGTTGATGATATATGTTATACCATGAATCTCGGCATCTGTATTTCGGTTGACATCTATCTTCTACTATTAATTTTATCTCTCTTGAGGCGTCTCCCTAAGCGTAGCACGCTCTCAACTGCTGTGTTCTTCATTGTCGTTGCGGATGTTGAGCTCTTCTCCATCCTCCATACCCACCGAAGCGCTTTTATCGTTCCCGGAAGTTCAAACTGTTACGTCATAGCTAACTAGTTTAGCTTCCGATTAACTAGTTAGGTTGCCCCGCATCAAATTTCCGCCTTTTGCTCAGCTAAGTTAACCGACCCCGCTTCAAGGGGTTAATAAAAGCCCCGGAAGTCCCGATAAAAATATACCAATTGAGATCACTTCCACTCGACCGACTTGATCGCATAGCTCTATCGTTGGCAATCCAACAATACAAGCCCATCATGACGACCGATCCATCTACGTATAAGCTGAATCGTGAGTTTGAACAGTTCCCCCAAGCGCAACATGGATGGTTCGATGAAATTGCCAGGATATATATATTTAAATGGCTAACCCCCGTATTCCATACTTGCATAGATACTATGATTCGGGTGAAAGACCCGCAGAAGTCACGTATGTTGTCTCTTTGGTCGTCCAATTGAAAATAAAACATCCTAGGTTCCAGTCACTTACGCTAAAAATTTTTTGTTGCTTTTGACAAAAAAGTCGAATTCTACAAGTTTCTCGGTTTCTCTCAAATCAACAAGCTCGACTTTGAAGAAGCGAAATTTTCGCTATACTTCCTCGCTTACGACGGGCCCGAGTCACTCTCTGGCGAACGGCATTGGACGGACAGGAACGGCGTCCTCGAGCTGACTCACAACTATGGTACCGAAAACGATCCCAATTACACCGTGAACAACGGAAATACCGAACCTCACCGTGGATACGGGCATATCGCTATCTCGGTGGATAATATCGAGCTGGCGTGCAAGAGATTGGAGGATGCGGGATATCCGTTCCAGAAGAAATTGACAGAGGGGAGGATGAGGAACATCGCCTTTGTTAAGGATCCGGATGGGTACTGGGTGGAGCTCATTCGACAGACGGAGGATGAAAAGGTCTCTGGAGCAGTCACACAGACGAATCCAAAATTATATCGGTTCAACCACACCATGCTCAGAGTTAAGGATGCGGAAGTGAGCTTGAAGTATTATCGCGAGGTGATGGGGATGGAGCTGATGAGGGAGCTCAAGAATGAGGATGCAAAGTTTAATTTGTACTTCTTGGGGTATCCGAAATCGAATCCACCAGCCAGAACGGACGCATTGAACCCAGTGACCGAATGGGAGGGAGTGCTGGAACTTACCTGGAACTATGGAACTGAGAAGCAAGAGGGGAAGGTCTACCATGACGGCAATTCGGAACCACAAGGCTTCGGACATATTTGTACGACTTGCGGATCAACCTTTGCTTGATGGTGAACTTTGGGCTAATGTTCTTGGTTTGTCAGGTGTCTCTGTTGACGATCTCGACGCCGCATGTGCTCGTTTCGAGTCTCTTAACGTGAACTGGAAGAAACGCCTCTCTGACGGACGAATGAAGAATGTTGCATTCGTTCTCGACCCGGATGGATACTGGATTGAGGTCATTCAGAACGAAAAATTAAAGAGCCGGAGCAAGTGGTGATAACTATCGGTAAGGCATCTTTGAGTGTGGGTCATATGCGGCCCATATGCGGCCCATATGCGGCCCCTCTAAGGCATCTAAGCTGAAGGCCTTCGAGCTGCGTGTCATGGAAGAGCCCAGTCGTCGTCTGCCGGGATCAGGGCGCAGCAGTATATGTAGAGTACCTAGGTTATCCCTAGCTGGAATCTGTAGCAATAACAGCAGAAACAGCGTGTAGAGCTAATACAAGCCATAATTAGTGATATGAATGAAGCCTTCGATGGAAATAACACGCATCCGAGAGCTGAAGATAACTACCGCATTTGGTTAGTCGGTGGTACGAAATAATGCGGAGGCGGTGGTCCCGATGTTCCGTTCATCTCATCAAACAGAGCAAGGGGGAGGCAAAAAAGGCCTTTTGCCAGCCAGGCAGACAGTAAGGCAGACTGATCTCTGGCGAAAAATTTGAGACAATCTCGCGCGAAGTCGAAGATTTCCTCCATGCACGCGCTAGCTGCCGAGGGGAGCAGTAAGCTCGCGCTGAGATGCAAGTAATTGAGCTTTAGTGTGGAGAAGAGTTTCAGCCTGGGCCAAGGAGAGCCCAGAGATGAGGAATTGTTCAGACGATCGAACATTCCCGGCGCTCAGTCCTCCTGCGTCGGGATTTGGGTCTCACTTGGCGGCTTCCGAGGTGGTCTCGCGAGAATTCCTGCCGAATGGCGGTTCCGTCGCTTCTATCCGGAACTTCGAAACACAGAGCCCTAGATTAGCGTTGCGGTTCGGAACGCGTGGAGGAGGTCGACCCGTTCCGCAGAAACACGACGGACGAACGGGGATTGGCGCGATGCCACGAAGTTAGTTGGTTAATGCAGTGCAGTTCTTCCTGGAGCTCTGCTGACTAACTGGCCGCCCCCCGCGCCGCCTGACAAATCCCGCGTGGGCCAAAAAAGTAACTTTCGAGACGAGACGCGAGACTGGAGACTGGGCACACCACCCAACCCTCGCCCGGTGAGACCTCGCCCCAAGTGGTATTGGCCCGCTCGCAGCTCTTGTTTGATCCTCCTTCAAGGTGCGTATGCATGGCCTTTTGCTTTTTCCTGTCATCGCGTGTCGCATGCCGCCTTTTACGAGAAAACTCCCTCCCTATCTTCCCTCTCCCGTGCGCACGTGTACCCCTGCCAGATCCTGTATGGCTCGCATGCTGCCTCTGCTGCCCTGGGTGGGATGGAGTCGATCTTGTTTCTCTCTGATTGGCGAGGCAGCAGTGGTGGTGTTCTGCCATTCCAGGCCTCTTTTTAAGCAGCTCGAACGCTGCTTAAATCGCCCAACTAAGATACCCACATGGATGCCTTACTTGCTGATCAGAGATCCCAACCGTATCAAACTATTCATTCCCCCCCTTGTATGGATGTCCGGACATCCATACAACAGCCTTCGTGCACCCCTCTCTGTCTCGTGGCCAACTACCTAAAACGAGCAGCCGGCTATCATCCTCACTCTTCTTGCATGTTATACCCCAACAGACGGACTTTGATGGCTGCTTTCCCCGCATACCTTCTCTCAGTGCCCTATAGAGTGAATGCTCAATGGCTGAATCAATCTGTTCCGGAGCTGCAGTCCCCGTTACTCGTCCCTCAAACCAAACTCATCACTCCTCTCCTGCGTCTACCACCTCGGCTACAGCTCCTACCGCCTCTACCACGCCTCAGCCCTGGTTCCTGTGTCAAGATCCGCATTTCCTTCCAGCCTGGGCACGGAGTCACGTGAAATACGCCCAGAACCTTCTGGAGTGCGACGACGAACCCATCGAATACGACCACGACGAGCTCGACTACAGGGATAACTGCTTTTTCTTCCCCGAAGATTGTGTCTACCGTCCTCCGCCGTCACAGCCGGAGAACCCTCTGCTCCTGAGGGATTGGGTGAGTAACCCAGATGGTACAGAGACAGACTCGGACCACGAGGATAATACCGACGACATGGGCTCCGCGATGCTGTCTAATATCAAGATGCTGGATACGTCAGCGCTGACGGATCTGCTGGAAGATAATTTGTCTCCCCCTGAGATTACTTCTATATTGTAGGTTTGTCCTGGAAGATCTCACTTTTGTTCAGCCGACATGCACGTTTTTCTTTTCCCCCCCCTTAAATGGATGCCTACGGAGCAGAAGTAAACACCAAAATTTTTAACATTCATTCTCATATTTCCTATTTAGTATATTCGCCACTAATGGAGCCGTGTTTGCGCATGCCTCTTCTCTTACCCAGCGGCGAGTTAGGAGCCTCTGTGCAACATATGGGGCTGCATACAAATCTTACGCCGTGAGCCACTCAAACGGGAATCTAACTGGTATAAATCCTGCGAACCACCCTTCATCATTCGTGACCACCCCGTCCGTCCCGCTCGGAGATGTCGGCAGCATTATTTTCGAGCTGGAGGACTACGTCGCGGTGGTGACAAAAATCGCAGATAAGGTACTTCTCGCGGTCGTTGGACCAACCCGAATCGACCGCAACACGACGTCATCCTCTTCGAACAGTAGCAGCAGACGCGCCGCCTTGATGAGTTCCGCCTCCAGCGACATTGAACGAACCCTCAGACCTGTCGATTCCTTCCCTACGGTCCACGACCATCTCACTAGCTCATCGCAAGAACAAGCCGGGAAGCTCGCATCATCGGCTCCAGCGCCAGGCGGCTCTCTCTCCATCACCCAACTTTGCTCGCGTGCTGGGGATTCCAGCAAGACCACGAACGAAGATGCTGACAAATCGCTCCGTGCGCAGTGGGAGATTGACAGGACCAGTGACCTGAAAAGGCTGGCTAGTCTAAATCTCAGCTCGCCGCCGACGATTTTACTCGCGTTAGAATCAAAGTCTGCCGCCCTGGGGAGATTCTTAAGGAATAAGCTGGCCGATTTGGAGAGCCCAGAAGACTTTTAGGTGTCTCCAACAAAGAGGGAGTTAGATTTTCCGAGCAGGATTCATTTAAATTTCTTTGACTGCTATAGTATCCGGTTTACACTTAAATCTAGGAGTGAGGAGGGTACGGTTTTGCTTAAAATTTTGTTTAGGGAGTTAAAGCGCACACACTCTCACTCACAACACATGTATTTTAACGAGCAAGCAAAAAGACGATAACAGCTCTTTTTTTTCCTTTTCTTTTTTTATTTTTTTGGTTGTCCCATAGCTTCTACAGCTGTGATGCTGCTGTGGGTAGCTTTGCTGTTTAACCGTGATAGACATATACCCCAATGTACTCTGTGAGTACCGCGGATCTAGGAAGTGGTCCTGAAAGGGTAGAATTGGTAGAGAGAAAAGAAGTGAATATGTTCAAGAATAATTTAGGTGGGAGATAAGTTAAAAAAGCATGTAAAAAAAAGCATTCAAAATTGATTTTAAGCTGTGAAAGTGATTTTCGCCATGCAAAAATCGTAGCTGACAGGACCACAGCTGGAAGCTTCTCCAAAGCTCTTCAGCGGGTGTCGGCCGTGTTCCCCAATAAGAACGGCGGGAGCGGGCTATTTTTGGGGATCGCACCGCGGTTATCTCGCCGGCGGCTTCCCCGCAGCCTTTAACGCCGTTCCCCGCAAGTCCGAGGAGCAATACGGGGTGCCGCCCATCAACCACCTCTTCCGCCAGTCCCTCTCAGCCGCACTCAGCCCTTCCCTTCTCCTCCTCTCTTCAAATCAAGTCAAACGCTCGACTGACCGACATCCAAGTATCCATCTCCTCTCTTCCTTTGCTTCAGACATCATGGTACTCCCCGCGATCCGAGTGGCGCCCACCGCGGCCACCAGGGCCTTCAATCTCCTCCGCACAGTCCAGTACACTCACCCTCCAAGCTGCCCTTGCCATTCGAACCCTGCACATCACCATCACCATCAGCCGTCCGTATCGTCCATAGCCAAACATGTCCGGCACATGGCAACGCCAATTGACCCATCCCATCAGAAAGAATATGCGTTCGAGATGGCCGCGTCCAGCATCCGCTTCGGGCCGGGCGCGACAAAAGAAGTCGGAATGGATTTTAAGAACTTGGGCGCGAAGAGAGTGATGGTGGTTACGGATCAGAATGTTAAACATCTGGATGCAATGAAGAATGCGATTGAAGGATTGAGCAAGGAGGGCATTCAGTTTACGGTGTATGACAAAGTGAGAGTGGAACCAAAGGACTATTCGTCAGTGCCCATTCCCCCACATTGCTATATATTGATTGCTGGATAGGAAGCTGACGAGTATGTGTAGGGTCAAGGATGCTATAGCCTTCGCTAAGCCATATAACGCGGATGCATTTTTAGCCGTTGGTCAGATTTTACAGCTTTCGTGGGATGCTTAACTGGGACCACTGCTAATTTATATTGTGCAGGTGGCGGGTCCGTCATTGATACTTGCAAGCTCATGAATTTGTATTGCGTCTATCCAGAGGCAGACTTCCTTGACTTTGTCAATGCGCCGCTGGGCAAAGGTCTTCCTATTGTCAGGCAACTCAAACCACTTATTGCGATTCCTACAACTGCCGGGACAGGAGCTGAGACCACAGGGACAGCGATCTTCGATCTTGTGGATAAAAAGGCCAAGACGGGTGTTGCCCACCGGAATATGAAACCAACTCTGGGTATCTGCGATCCTCTGAACACGAGAACCATGCCTTCGGCCGTTCATGCATCTTCTGGGCTTGACGTGCTCTGCCACTCCCTCGAATCATGGACCGCAATTCCCTTCAACCAGCGCACCCCCCGACCAACAAATCCTATCAACCGCCCAGCCTATCAAGGAGCTAACCCAATCTCAGACATTTTCTCCCTTCAGTCGCTAAAGAGCACGGTAAAATACCTCCCACGGGCCGTCAAGGATCCAGAAGACCACGAAGCTCAAAGCCAAATGCTTCTCGCTGCAACTTTGGCCGGTGTCGGTTTCGGGAATGCCGGCGTACATTTATGCCACGGAATGAGTTATCCTATCTCAGGGCAAAATCCCGGATATAAGCATAAGGGATACGAGGTGGACCACGACATCATCCCGCATGGTGTGTCCGTCGCAGTTTCTGCCCCAGCTGTCTTCCGATTCACTGCCGCGAGCAACCCGGATCGTCACCTGGCCGCTGCTGAGATCTTTGGAAAAGATATCTCAAACGTCAAGCGCGAAAGTGCCGGAGAAGTTCTCGGCGAGGCAATCGCTGAATTCTTGATTGGCCTGGGAGACCAGCCGCGAGGATTGAAGGACCTAGGATTCAATAACTCGCAAATTGACATGTTGGTCGAGGGCACTATACCCCAGAAGCGAGTGCTAGACCTTGCACCAAACCTCAGCAAGGAACTTGAAGCTGAAAAGGACGAATTGCGGAAATTGTTTGAAGCGTCGATGGAGTACTAGAACAAGATACCGGATTTCGGAATAGCGGGCGTTTCAGCGTGTCTTTGGAGATATCTCTGTGTACGCATATACACCCAAGCATGTGAGTTAGGTACTATATAACTATCAGTCTATTATTTTGTGTCTTTTCGAAGTAGCAGCAAGTCAGCCAATATCCGGAGCTAAAAGGCAGTTGTTCGAGAAGCCAAACTGTGGGGCCATCCCGCAACTGTCTCTTTATCACCTTGAATGACCGATCACTTGTCCTTGCAGTAGCACTGCGATATCGGACAGTTTTAGCCTGGCAATGTGCATTTGGTGGCTTGGGCGCTGTGAGCTGTCTGGGTGTTATACGTTTCAACCCGGCTTTACGGATCTCGATGTCCACATTCTTTGTATAGTTACTTAACCAACTAATAATCAGTTTTTGCGTCAGCAGGTAAGGAGTGGCAATTGTGAGTGTTTCCGCCGCAAGTATTCGAGAATATCGGCGGCGGATCCATCGTGGATGGTGTTATCCAACAGAGCTATGCGCCACCACACCGTATTGACAACTGAACAAGGTTAACTAGCTACTGGTTCAGGAACCTAAAAGGCTCTCGCTTGCTTCGGATACCAGGAGGGGGATCAGAACAATTTACTCAAGATTTGCGGGACTGGTTCTCAGACTGTGGCGACCGGACAGTATTGGCCCAGCCTGAAATCAGCTTCTCAGCAATTTCGTCCCGAGATCAAGAAAAAGATGAATGCCGTCACTTGGTGGACAGCCTCGTATCAAGTTCTTTGGTCCGGCCTGCATCGTGTATTGAACGAAACATTCCAGGATTCGGTGATCACCACTAGCCGCTTTAACGAAGGAACTGAAGCGGGCGAATTGCATCTCGCGAATCTTGAGAGGAAAAGCGGACTTGATCTCGGGGTCATTTGCGACTTTTCATGGTAATTTCGAAGATATTGGCAATGTATACTCCGTACTTTGATTTCATTTCGTCACATAGCTCCTCTCTAGGGGAAAAGCGGCATCATCGGGAGGTGTGCTCGTCCGGGAGTAAGCAAGTGAGATAACTTGCCTAAACTCTCCTGAAGCACACTGACTTCAGCAAGCCGCAGCATTTCAATGTCGCCGGTTGCGGCTACGTTGTACTCCCTCGATGGACAATCGGGGACAGCCGTGGTGGCTCGATGATGATCGGCTGAATCTGATTTGCTTTCACTCCAGTGGCTGTCAGGACTGGCTTCTTGGTTTCCGTGTCATGCAGTGACGCTGTCGCTTCTACTGGGCGACGGTGGCACCTCAACGCAGCCTGTGCACCCCGGAGTTGTTTGGTGGCCCTGCTGCGTGGGAGTTTTGACAACTATCATATACGCTCTCCCCCTTTCCCTTTATTTCTCTCCAATTCTCTCAGACTGCCCTCGCATCCTTCAAATGTCTTGAAGTGCATTACGGGACGACTGACCTTCCTTCTTTGCCTTGCTACAGGGCACACCTGTCTAGCTAGAGATCCCATTCACACTGACAAAACTAGAAACTTGAGTTGCCCCGCCATTGTCTTGCATTGAACACGATGCCTCTTCTCAGCTCCGAGGGCCCCCGCCCCAAAGTCCTGGTTCCTGAGAAGCTGTCTCCGGATGGACTGGCGCTTCTCAGGGCAAGTACGGACGTCCATGAGAAGATGGGATTAGCCCCTGAGGAGCTGTTGACAATCATATCCGACTACGACGCCCTGGTTGTTCGGTCAGAGACCAAGGTGACCGACGAAGTGCTCCAAACTGCGAAGAAGCTGAAGGTTGTTGCGAGGGCTGGCGTAGGAGTGGACAATGTTGGTGAGTCTATTCAAGGCTTCTGGCTCCAATGGACCCTTTGCTTATCAGTTCTTTGACAGATGTTGATACTGCAACGAAGCTTGGGATTGTGGTCGTAAATTCTCCGGCTGGGAATGTGGGTGCTGCCGCAGAGCATACGATTGCATTGATGATGGGGACGGCCCGGAAGATTTCGCATGCTTGCTCCAGCCTCAAAGGCGACAAGTGGGAGAGAAGCAAATTTGTTGGCGTCGAAGTTAAAGGGAAGACCTTGGGTATTATTGGGTTGGGGAAAGGTATCCGACTACGTCCATCGTACTCGTTGGCTGGAAATGATTTTACTGATATTATAATGCTTCAAAGTCGGTATGATCGTGGCCAGATTGGCGAAAGGACTTGGAATGAATGTGAATGCCATGGACCCTTATGCTTCTGAAGCGGTTGCGTCTTCGGCATCTATCACGTTGGTGTCCTCGCTCTCTGAGCTGTTGCCGACCGTCGACTTTCTCACTATCCATACTCCACTGATTGCATCAACAAAAGGTATGATATCTACCGCGGAGCTTGCAAATATGAAACCAGGTGCTCGAATACTCAACGTAGCGCGTGGAGGCACAATCGATGAGATTGCGTTATTGGACGCCCTTGAGTCTGGACATATCGCCGGTGCTGGCATAGACGTTTTCACCTCAGAACCACCAAAGCCAGGTTCCAGTGCTTCTCGGCTCATCGCACATCCAAACGTAGTTGCTACTCCTCATCTTGGTGCTTCGACTGTGGAGGCTCAAGAGAATGTCTCCATTGACGTTTGCGAACAGGTCCTTCAAATCCTCGGAGGAGCCCTACCTCGCAGTGCTGTCAACGCTCCGTTGATTCTTCCAGAGGAGTATAAGAAACTGCAACCGTTCGTTCGTCTAGTGGAGAAAATGGGCAGTTTATATACCCAGCATTACAGTTCATCTACCTCCTTTGACGCTAACCGGAGTACATTTGACCTGATTTATGAAGGTGATATTGCTGGAATCAACAACACGAAACCACTGTTTGCTGCCTTTATCAAAGGGCTTATGGCTACTATCAGCAGCACTAATGTGAGCATTGTTAATGCTGAACTGGTTGCGCGGGAACGTGGTATTGTCGTGAATGAACAGCGTTCCCGCGACCCTTCCACTCATTCATATTCCTCCCTCGTCACTCTTGTTGCCAGACCACCTTCTCGAGCTCCATCCAGAGCACCCGGTGTTGCTGAAACCCAGAGACCTTTACAAAATCCGCATCAGCAAATCATCTCCGGCACTTGTTCCGGATCTCAAATCATCATATCCCGCCTTGGTCGTTTTGCTACATCCTTCGTTCCTGAGGGCAGACTTCTTATCTGTCACAATTACGACTCACCAGGAAAAATTGGAGTGGTGGGAAGTATCCTGGGCAAAGAAGACGTCAACATTAATTTCATGAGTGTCGCTCCCATTTCGAAACAACTCCTCGAAGAGAATGCAGCCAAGGGACAAAATGGTGGCAATGGGAATGGAATTCATACAGAGGCTCTCATGCTCCTTGGTGTTGACGGGCCCGTTAGCCAGGATGTCGTCACGGCCTTGGTTGACTCCGGCGGTGTCTTGAGTGCGAGCTTAGTTTCGCTTTAAGCAGTGAACTGAACGCCGAAGCCAGCATCCACAGACCTAGCGTATCACAAAATTATGCAATGAAACCGGGGTTCGACGACCATATAGGATCTTAGCGGTCTATTCACGAGTTCGAAAACGCGTTAGATTTACTTCAACACGACAGATTTGAGCTTTCTCAAATATGCAATGGGGGATCGTATACATTTGAGTACGCCCGGGGGAGAGGTGACTACTAGTAGGATGGGATTACCCAGATATGGGCAAATAATGACATTTTACGAATGGACGACTTTAAAATGAACAAATTTTTGAATTTTTGCGTAATTTACTACTTCTTCACTGTTCGTAGTTCTTCTGCTGCATGTCATTCCTTTCCCCAAGACTCCACCCATTCCACACATATACCTTTGAAATCAACGATTCAACGTACTTGGAAACAGGATATCTCAAGAATCACCCCGACATACTGGAACTGATGAGTCCGTACATATCACAACTGAGACGTACTTCAAATGAGTGTAATCTCCTCGGAACAATGTTTTCTAGGTGTTCCTTGGCTAACGCATGGGACTCCCACCGAACGTTAGGCCCTTCGCACCACCAAAACTCCCATTACTCGGTGTTAGGGCTGTGGATCTCCTAAACGCTTGCCGCGGGGTCGACGGTGTGCTTCCACTCATACTCCCATTCGAACTTCCACCCCCGGCGGGACCGCCAGTAACTGACGCAGCGGCGGATGCGGATGCCGGAAGAATAAAATCTGGCGTATTCCTCCCGCTAAGAGGAAGACGAGAGATAGGATTTGTGGAACCAGGGGTGGATAGTCCATTTGGATTCACGCCGTTGTTGATATTGTTATTGTTTGGGTTAGGCGTGGCTTGGGAAGGATATCTGGCCGGGGGGCGGAATCCGACTTTGACTCCTTCGCGGAATATTTCTTCGAGGATTTGGTTTACTATACCTGCATCCTCGTATTCTTTGAATTTTTTCCAGAGGCGGAGGGCCATACGAGCATCTTCAATGGAGTCGTGGCCTTCTGGAGGTGTCGTAGTTATGGCTGTGGTTGTTGTAGTACTTGTATTAGCGTCGTGGATGTTGGGATTGGTTGTGGTAGTGATTGATGTCGAGGTTGTTGTGGTTGTTTCTTCTTGGATGTATTCTTTGAATACCGCCCAGGCAAGATATCGTAGACTCAGCCGCCGATTCTTCCCTGGGTGGAAGAACAGGTACTGGGTGTCTATGGTCTGGGCTTTCGGAACTTGTATGTTGATCTTTCTAAAGTCGGATGCCAATCCATGGCCGACGAAGACGCAGCCCAGGTTTAAAAGGAGCCACAGCTTCTTATAAGCTACTTTCAGTGCGACGAGGTTGTGACGACTCGTCCGTGGGTCGAGATCTCCTGGCTTGATGCCAGAGTACTGAGTTACATAATCGACGATTGGATCCTTGATTGTAATGTAATCATCAATAAACGGGACGCCTTCATCGTTGCCGGAACCGCGAATCACAGATACTCGAGCAAGTCCGCTCTTGCTGGGCCGGATCATTTCCTGGGTTCCATCGGCTTTGACTTCGATCTCTGCTTTCTCGAGGTCTACGAATTCCGTGTCGAGAGCGATCGGAGTGCCCGCAATAGGCTTTTCTTCTGACTTGAGGATGTGGCATTTGTCGGTTGGTGGACGATTGCTATAAAAGGTCAGTTAATAGCCATCAATACACTCCATAGTAGGGAATACTCACTTCATAGACCATTCGTAAAACAAAAGAGTCGTATCCAACTCATTTTTCCAGCTATCGTCTAATCCATGCCGACCAGTCGATATTTGATAAGCAAGAGTGCACGGAGATTTCCATCCCTGATTGAATGAAAACACTTCTTCCTTGCTAACACCGGTAACCAAGAAATCGTTGAAGAGATGCCAATTGCTCTTCTTTGTTGGCTCTCGTGCGGAGATGGAAACATCGACGAAAGAGACTAAATGTGGCTTCTTTTGCTCCACGATATCAATCTCTGCGACTATGCCCACTAGCTCATAGACCACCAAACCCTCAAAATTATTTTGTTGCCGAATTCGCAGCTGCTCGCCTTCATAGCATTGAATTTGGTTATCTTCAATCATGACTCCAATTTTCTCCGGTAGCCAGCCGGGAATTGACCAAAAGCGGCGATGCGCCGAGTTGTTGATTGCTGCATTTAACATCAAAACCAACGGCATGCGTTGAACAGTTTTTCGGATGGACACCTGCTGGTATCTGCGACAAGTACTGCACCAACCTCGATTTTGAGTTTCGCGTTCGATGCTTGACCGGAGAATGTTTGAAAATCGACAAGCCTGATTGCGGTGTGCTTGCTTCGGGTCGGCCGCTGGATAGATTAGCTCTGTCACAAAAGCATTGCCAGGCCGGACAATCTCGTTGCGACAGAACATGCAACATATGGACTCAACAGCAGCCGTACTTAGAGTGTTGTCCAAAGAATCCGAGTTTGGATATACCGTCCGGTAGTCGTGTGCTATCTGATTTAAAAAAAATCGATGGACTGATTGAATTGCCGATGACAAAGATTTATTGCTCAGGCTCTCTTCGAGTAAGCCCAAGTTCGCAGCTTCTCTGAAACCACTGAAGGTCTTCAGAAGGTTCGTAGCTTGGCAATTTTGTCCATTTGCCTTGTCAAGCATGTCAAAAAGGAACCCCATTTCGCACAGGAGACAGCTTTCACAAAGGCAGTTGGTCGAGACATGGTGGAGGGCGAGATTCCTAACCAAGGGTATAAATTTAAGGAGCTGGAGCAAGGAATTCGTGAATGAGTTAGCGATATGTGTTTCGAGACCCGAAAATTCGGTTTTGTTGTAATATCTGCACATGATATCAGTACTATTGCTTATAACGTCACAAGCCATATAAGAACATGGAATACACAATCATACCTGAAATCAAAATCATCAACTCCGAATTTACTATACTTGATTTCGACATTGCTGTATTTTAAGAGAGGGTCCTCTTTTGTTTCTCCGTTGATTTTTAGTCCCTGCAGAGCCCCGACGGCTTCTTGTGCGCCCTCGGGCTTAGAGTTTGGAAGCTCTCTAGCCTTTTCGCTTAAAAATTTCGGCGCTGCTAAAGCAACCTCCGTTGACGACTGCAAGCGAGTGTTTTCCACCTGATACCTACGTTTCTTTCGTGGATTCTGCGCATATTGACCGATTTCGCTCGGACGGAGGTAAGGAAGGATAGCTGGGTCCATCGGGACAGGGGCATTCCCAATTTCAAAAATTAAATGGCTGGGCCACGCCGAGAGGAGACGTTCATGATAGTATGGCATTCCGATCACGTTAAGAGGTGTATCGTTAGACCAATCGAGCATAGAGGGTCGTGTAGGTATATCTGAGAATTCGGTTTCTTTACCGATTTCATTAAAGTGGATTTTTGATGGGGAGCCCCAGAGATGGATAGAGCATTCAGCATCGTTGATAGCTAGTGCCTCTCCGGAGGGTGATACCTCTAGCCCTAACATGAACGCGACATTGGCTTGTCGAAGGTTGATTGTATTTGGATTCATGAGATCAACGACCTGCAGCTGGCCAGTCTGTGACGCGATAAAACTGGTAGTTTGTAATCTCGGATGCATGCGAACGAAGGCCGCACCCGCGTGAAACGGTATAGGTGGTAAGGGAATGAGCGATTTCAAATCATAAACGTTGGCAAGAGGGTCAACTATCGGTGATCCAGCGTGGCGAACGGAAAAGCCGCAAGTAACGAGGAAGTCGTTCCGAGCATCCATATCGTTTATCACAGCTCCATGGGCTTTCCAACTTTTCACGACGGAAAAATCGGTCAGGCTCAGTACATTAACGGAGCCGGTATCGGTAGCAGCGCATAGGTATCGGCTTCTCTTCATGATCGTATAGCGGTACTCCGTTGATAACTGATCCACAATGGCTCCTTTCTCAACGTCGATGATGAACATGGCGGACTGTAAGCCCGCAACAATGATCTTATGCGGCTGCGCCGTAAAGCTCATGCACCTGAGCTCGGTCATTTCCGGATGCGAAATATGCCATTGTGTCAGCCCGCAGCGCGAAGCCAGATGGACACTATTTGCCGATAGGGATATCACGCCCTTGTCGTGGAAAAGGAATTGCCGGACTTGGCCTTCGGAGGAGGCATGGGCCTTGACCGACGTGTATCTTTGCAGCTCGGGGCCATAAAATGACGATACGCGGCCCTAGAATGCTTGAATTGTTAGCATCATGGTCTAGTAAAACCAATAGCATCTTTTTTCATTGACGCCAACAGCAAGATAGTCAGCGATAAAGCGTAGGTCAACCCACAAACTCGTTCCCCACCCAAAGCAGCTCTTGCGAATCGTCGAAGGCGACGGTGGATGCGACAGTAGGCAAAAGATGCGGCCCCGGGGGAGGAACAGCGACTTGGGAGACTTCGTCCCAGTCTGCTTCCATAGCGCACGATGATGGCGTTTCCCGCTCGAACGGCGCAGCGACTCCTCTTTGTGATGGATAACCGTTAGAAACCGAAGCTTTCTTTTCTTGCAGACGTTTCTTCTCCGGATCCACGATTCAAACTCGATTCTGTCTACCCGTACGGGAAAGGCCCACAGGGAAGCATCATTTTCAACAAGTAGGATCTGTCTGTCTAGGTATACTCAAGGGTGCCGGGCTGTTCCATTCGTGGGCAAGTCAGTTGTTTCGGCGCATCAATCGCGTCTCATGGTGACCGAATCGCCCCATCAAGATGAAGTCAGCGTGGAAGGCAAGTGCCAAAATATTTCATAACCCAAAAAGCTAAGCCCACATGTAACTCCGAAGGCCGCCTCGATAGAAGTCTCGGGAGATTATCCTGCAAGCTGTGGCACTTGTTTTCTCTCTGGCCAGTGAGCCGTCGCTCGCGTGGTGGACGGAGACGAGGGACATCACGTGACCATTCCTCTGATCCATACCGGAAAAATGAGCTTTTCGGGCAACCATCGGAAAATGTTTATCCGACGCGACCTGTTGAACCACGGGTCGCAAGCTTGAAACCATAGATCAACCATATATTTACAATGCACATATAAAGGGTCCGAAACATATAGAATTCAGAACATATATATTTTTAAACTTGAGGGTTTTGAACCCAATTCAGAAGCTTTTCAATTACTAGAAACTAACTAAGTATTACAAACCACCCACACAACCCAAATCATAATAAATTTTTTTTTTTTTTTTTTTTTAAATTTGAGCCTCCCTGGTTGGAGTCTCTGGTTCAGGGACAGGGCATAAAACCAGCACAGAAGAATCATCAGGACAAGCCCATTCAGACCACTTGATCATACTTTCAAGCAAATCAGCTCCACTGCCTCCAGTTAGAGACAGGCCCAACACAGAGATATTCAGCTGCAACTGAACAAAGAGAGAAGGCATGATTGGAGTGGGGGAGGGGAGAGAAGAAGCAGACACAGCAGAGGGCAGGGCAGCAGCAAATCAGTCTATCTTGACTGCTGATTCATAAACAGTTTCTTCTGCCTTTCACTTTTTCTGTCATCAAATATCAAAGTCAGTTCAATTCATCCCAACATTGCATCAAGTATACTGACCACAGAAGATAAACAATTGGACTTTAAGTCCTGGTGAATATCAGTCAAGATCCTTTTAATATTCTATATATATAACTACATTAGCATGAGTTGAATGTATGATATCCAATCAGTTCAACCTATCTTGACAGAGCAGAATATATGCTCCACAAGCTCTTTTTGTTTAGCTTGAATGGACACAAGCTTTTTCAATGCTGCCAAAGTGACAGCACCAACTTCAGTATTGAAGGGGAAAAGAGGGAGGGATTTGTCAGTTTGGACCAACAGAAGTGCCATTTTGGCAAGCAATTTACTGAGACCAGTGGCCTGTTTCACCATACTGACTTTCAATTCCTCTCAGAGCATCACATTCTTAAGCCTGAGGAAATTGTCATGATCAGACAGCAATGCTGCCACTTCCTTCTGCAGCTCTGAAGAGACAGAAGCACAGGCTTTTTTATCTCCTGCACAATTGGTGCAGGCCTTCACAGTTCCTTGCTTGCAGGAACAAGGCTTTTCAATATGCATCATATACACAAACATCAAACAGCAGCTACAGAGTGTATCACCCATTATAGCAGACTCTTCTTTAACAGCCAAGAGCTTTCACCCTGGCTTTTTCTTTATGGACATCAGGGAGTGCTTGTCCTGAGCTGCTGCCAATTTACACATTTGCAGAGCCATTTTTTGCTATTTCTGCATATATTGTTCTTCAGTTTGCTGCAGTTCCTTATTTCATTCTGAAATCCACCACTTACCTCAATATTGGAATAGGGGGAGAGAGGCAACAAGAAATATAATAAGCTCAAGAGAAGGAAAGAAAGAAAAGAAGAGAAGAAGAGAGAGATTTTGTGTGGGAAGAGATTATTATATCTAGTGTGTCCACTTGATTGTTTTGAATTTCCTAATCAGAACATATCTATTTATACATTACTAAGTGCTAACTCATTTTGCTTAGAGCTCCTACAGCCAATTACAGTGAATGATAAAGAGATATATATTGAATATAGCAAAATTCAGCTCTTGCAAGCATTGATATAACAGAGCATTGCATTAAAGTCTAGATATCAAACCCCAAAATCTATTTTGAAGCACAAACTAACAGCCAATTTTGACTCAAGAAAGCACCTTTTCATGTATTCAACTAGAATCTGCATCTCTTTCAGGGCATGCAACCAGTTGCAGCTGGCACAGGTCTCTTTGAACAGGCAGGCCAATTTATTACAGTCTCAAAATAATCCTCCATGATATCCTGCAAAGAATTCCAATTCTTCTTGTCTGAATCATCATTCTCTGGCTCCTGCAGAGCTTGCACTGCCTGAGCCAGACATAAATCAGGTTCCCTGGGCAGCATACTAGATGTCAACTGGACCACATCCAGAATTCCTGGCAAAGTCTCAACATGGACAGCCTTTGGCTTTCTTGGTCAGACCTTCCATCAGGCAAAGTCATCCAAATTAACATCTCTCAGTCCTGGTTTCTGTGTCAAGCAGTCCCAGAGCTTGAGTACAGAATCCCAGGTGTAGATCAACAGGATGGATGCATTTCATTTCAGACTGTTGTCATCAAGATACAGCTTCACATATGCTACTAAATTTGCATACACCTCTATTGCCATAACTGTCAGAGCAGAAATCATGGCAATTAAGATTTACCATTGACTTACATTCAAAATACCATTTCCCTTGTGGAGCTGACTTCTCAAAATTGACACATGGCTTGACCCAGTAAAAGACTTCACAGAATTGGTCCCACTTGAACAATCAGACAAAATAGCTAATCAGCTTTTGTCAATCAGTTATTTCATGGAGTCCAAAATCAGGATTCTCAGTCAAGCTGAGTTCAATACATTCCCTGACATGATCCTGCAAATGAGATCAGTTTATACCATAACTAGAAGTTTAGGGATATTGTTCCAACCTTCAAGCTACTCAAGATCTTATATTTCCAACCTTTACAGAGGTCTGACATGCACCTGGAAAGTTCACAAAAATATGAGTTGTTTCCAGCTTTCCAGTTCTCAAGGCTCAGCACCTCCTGAATGGTATCAGGAATCAGGTCAGTATTTAATGTCAATATATAGGCCCATCACACCCAATTTTGTATCTCATGCTCCACCACTTGAACCCACTTTTCAATCTCTGTATGATCAGAGAACACTTCAGTTCAGGTACTTGTATTCAAACTGAATGATGCCCCTTAAGCCTTTAACATGTTGTGCAATTGGGCCCATGGGAAGGTGCAAGCTGTCCTTTTTGGCACTGACATGCTCTGTGTCTCCAACATTTTGGCTATCAGATTGCCATTGAGAATGAATGAGAGTGAATGCTTGAATTTCAGAAAGATTCACTATCTATTATATAGTTGACTTGGAGCACATTCAACTGCCCAAGTTGCTATTCAGATCTGTATTCATATTCCCCTACATTCTAAAATTCAACACCACTAAGTGATTGATTTCTTTGAAATAGGCCAATCACCCAGGAGGATGCAGATCATTACTGACCTTGCATCTCTTAGAGCCAATTACAGGTCTAGATAATCAGAATATTACAGTTGGTCTGCAGCACAGTTGGCACATTTTATGGCTGCTCTAACATTCAACTTTGCTATAATACATCCAATTCCCCAATCAAACAGCAATTTTCTTTCTAATTCCTACATACTTTGTCCCAAAGCAATTCCACAGCAACCCTTACTGTTCCTGCAACTTGAAACTCAACTACTGCAGAAACCAGCATATAAACCTCAAGCAAACATGCAAGGTCCAAGATACTTGAGACACATAGAGAATTATATGTTTTGGAGAAGGCAACTTCATTTACCATTTCCAGCCTTGCAGTTTCAAAGGCATAGACAGTCTGCCCATTTGTTACAGGAATCACAAGATTGCAATCACATTTTATCTTCAGTGGAACCTGACATTCAGCCAAACAATCAAACTAAGAAGTCAGGATTGAGTGTAAGACCTTGGATCCTCTGTCAGCCTGCATCATTCTAATCACTGTGTACAGAATGCAGCAAGTCTTTCAGATGTCTCTGATGCTCCACCCAATGCTCTATCCAACACTCATTCTGAACCAGAAGACATCAGAGTGCAGGAGATTATACAAGAAGCAGTGGCAGCTCTACCCATGGAATCAGTTGATAACAATGAATCACAACAGTATGAAGAGCCCAAATCCAAATCCTGATTACAGACTATGTTACATCCAGTGCATCCAGTTGGCAATGGAGATTCCAATTTTCATTCATAACTAGAGAATTCATTGGGCGACCAGCCAGCTGAGACCTACATCCCAACTATAATAAATGACCCATCAGAGGTCCTAGTCCATGTGTGTGCAGAGCCTGATGAAATGCTGGACCACTTCACACTCACTTTAGAATTATAGTGCAAAAAATCAGAAATATCTCACCAACACTACAAGGCACTGCAGGAAGTCTTACAGATTCTCAAAGACATCAGTGCACTGAGATCTCTACCATTGGGGCTGAGCACATTGAAGAAGAAATGCAGAGCTCAATTCCCTATGCTTCCCATCCAACAGGCATCCATACTGGCTGTTCCATTGAAAATGCCAACTCTTTCACCTGCCAAGAAGCAACTAATACAGACATCTCTTACATCTAATTTATTCTTTCAGGATCCTGTGGCTCTTTTGTCATTACTGGCAAGATCTCCTGTATTTCACAAGAAGATACATATTGGTATGGCCAACCTAGTTGATAACCCAACCAAATTATGACAATCATGGAGCTGGAGGAGCTCCATTAGATGTTCATCAGGTGACTTTGCATGATATCCTGACAAGACACCAGTCTTTTCTTCCAATTTTGTTCATTTCAGGTGCAACAATGCTGCATGTAAGTGCACTTGAAATAAACAAGAAATCCATATCAGAAGAATTCAATTTGTGGGTCAGGACCAGAGACTGGCCTGCACAAAACCCAGTGAAATTATTCTTATTGTCCAGTACACTATTACTGCCAGCAGCTTTGATAAAAGAATCCATTCACTGAGACCTCTGCTTTGCCCAAACAAGCTGCTCTTACTGAAAGACCAGAAAACTCACATCATACATGAAGACAACATTCTAGCCTGACTGGATGTCCATCTTGACTACACCTTTGACAGATCAGGTAGCTACAAACCCTCAGAAACAAATGGGTTCTTTGTACAGCAAGTGATGAATACAATTCACCACACATCATATGTACAAGAGCTCCAACTTAGCACTCCACTCCAGGGTGAACTGGAAATCACAGCATACAGAAGAGATATGCTGATCAAGATGCTCTGCCCAGGCAACCCTATCAAGAAAACTATATCCATTCCCTTCCTGCTGTTCATTGACAGATTCAGTCTATATCAGAACATGTACTGAAATATAACTGGCTTCTATATGATCCCTGCAGGACTTAATGATTCTGAAAGAAGACAACAAAACAATGCATATACAATTGCTCTCAGACCTCATGCTACAAATTTTCCCAATGTTGTGAAGGCATTGGCTCCCAGTTTACAAGCAGTTGAAAGAGGATTTGACATTATGATAACTGGTGAAGAAACTGTCAGGATCATTGCTTCTTGTATTACTTATCTTGGTGACATGCCACAGCAAAATGACAATGCTGGAATCAAACACCCTACTGCAACAGTCTCCTGTCAGAGCTGTACTGTCTCCAATGCAGAGAGATTCAATATGAATTTCAACTTGGTGAAACACAGCCAATACCATTACCAGCTACTCAATTTGCAGGCCAAAATTGAGGCAAAGCAGACTGTTCACAAGCAAGAAGCACTGTAGAAGACCCATGGATTGGCCAAGGAAAGTCCCCCAGTTTTGAAGATCTGCCCAGCACTGAATCTGGTGACATTTTTCCCCTCTGACCTCTGTTATAGTGAATTTTCAGGCCTGTCCAAAATTGCACATACATTATTGATATCACATATATTGACACCTGAGAGGCAGAAGGAATACTGCCAAACCCTACAGAAATTTCCATTTCAGAGATACTGGACCCAACTGCAGTCTCCAATTACCCATCTGAAGTCCTACCAAATCCAGAAACACACCCAAGCTTCAATTATGATCCCAATTATACTCCACTTTGCCCTAAAGCCTGACTGGATTCAGACTGTTGTTCAGCAGACTCTCTATAACTTCTTTGGTGAACAGTCAATTAATTCCAACATTCCATGTTTGTTGCTTGCTAAAATCTTTGGTACTATTGCAAGAAGCAATTCATTATTGACTTCTCAGATATCTGTCAGGTACAATGAACTTAAAAGTGTGATTGCCAACACCCAAACTATACTTCAGAAAGTAATAGATACTACTGTCATGGCTGCTGAGGCACCACAGTTGGCTAGCCAGGCAGTATGGATGCTGAGATCACAGCAGAATTCACCAGTATTCAATTGAATTATGATACCCCCAATGGAGGACATTTCAATCAACACTATCAGTATTGCCCCAAAAGCAGGTAAGATGTTACATGCTTTGAAACACCAACCAAACATGCATATCAGAATGCACTATGCCAACCAGGCAAAGAAGTATGCTGTGCCAAATAACTGCAATGTACTGATTAGGGAGAATAAACACCATGAATACAAAGCATTTGTGCAGCAAACCAACAAGCATGATATTGAAAAGATTTTACTGATTCATGAGAGCTTCAAACACACTATATCCTTGATTCTTGATGGAGCTCTTATGGAATCAGAACCCTATATCAGCAGCCAGATGAAGCAACTTCATCACAAATGTTCAATTCTCATGCAAGACCTCATGCAATCAGAACACAATGAGCAACAAGATGATGATGAGAATGCCAACAAAGCTGATGATTCATATGCTACCACCCTCTTCCATACCTTAATCAATGCCTACTGCTGACTACCAGCTAGCCACAAAGTCATGGAATTGCTTGGTTTACAAAGCACACAGCTTTCCAAACTACCAATTACACATTCCTTTTTGCAAAAGCTCTGACTTTCATACAGCAGTGATTGGGTATATCAACATATGCTTGGCAGAGGTTCAACCCCAATCCAATTGTTTCAAAAGCTGATCTTTACATTCAATAAAGATGCACATCACACTACATTGAAACTTGATAATCTGGTTGAGTATACTCATGCATCAGGCACCAAGATCAGGCAAATAAGGTGCATATTCACCCACAACCAGGGCAGCTGCTGGAGGGTTTTTTTTGCCATGTTCTCTGCTCATGAAATTCAGCACAAGAGGGTACTGGATTTGCCAATTTTGCAGGTGAATTGGAATGAGATTCATATAATCAGCCTACCTGCAATCTGCAAATCAAGCCTTTACATAATACCTGTCAGCAAAGATTCTGAAAGACTCAAACTGGATTCTGCTCTGCCAACTATCTTTCTCAACTGCACTTGGAGCATTTCCTTTTTATAGGTGGATCAGGCAGTTTGATGTATGTAGTATTGCACATTAGTTGAAATCTCTCCAGTGTCTGCTGGGGTAACTATACTATAATGGTTTCTATACTATAATGGTTTCTATACTATAATGGTTTCTATACTATAAACATTTATAAACCTGAAAAGGTATCCCGAACATTCCTAGATATATTTGTTGATCAGGGGTTTGAATGTTTCCCAATTTCTACATTGAGGATTGGAAGCTACATTTCCAAATTCAGAACATATATATTTTTAAACTTCCAAACAACCATGGATTCAGATAAACATATATTCCGACGTAAACGTATCGGGACTAGTGGATCTACGGTTTACAAATCCTCCCCATTTCTGCTATGGATCTTCGAATCCCACCGTCCAGCAATCCGCGGATGTGTTACGGAGGATCTGGAGGGTAAAACTGCTTGTAGGTTGCGGGCCATAGCTGGGAAAGAAGAATGGGCTACTCCCAAAGCTGTCGCTCTTTTGCATTAACGCTCTAAAGTACAATAGTTACATACAAACTGGTATTATATATATATATGTCAGAAAAGCGCAAAATTCGCATCCCGCACTTTTCCAAGCCAATCCATGAAGCTTTTCACATATAAATTTCTCTTAAACGTCTCTGGTGTCGCATTTATACATGGGCGTATATTGTATTCCAACTGCCAGACGTGGGATATGAGGTAACAAGGGAGGGTGATCACGCCCTTCCATTTCCACTAGTCCCTACCTTGACGGCATCCAAAATCATATCTTTCGCAAGCTCCAGGCTCTCCTTTGAGCCCTTGATCTCTATGGCTTCGTCTCTCGCCTGATCCTTAGGGACGTTGATTTTACAGTTGGTACGCTTCCGGATGGCGTTGATCTGGCTGCCATTAGGTCCGATGACGAAGCGGTAAGTCCTGGGATCGGGAAGGATCAAATATCCGGTGGCCGAGGGTTGGGAAGCCGTCAGGATCGCTTTCTCCAAGAGAGCTCGTGCTTTTGCAACGTTTTCTGGCTTCCCAGAAAGCACCCAAGGGATCGTGCCTGCAGGCACGTTATCGTTGCTGGAATCAACAACCTTCCAGGAGAAAGCGTCAGTCGCAGCTGCCGGATCATCAGTGATGAGCGGCAGCGAGCCAACGTCGTCGGCATCCCGAGATTTTGTCGGGCTCGGCCGTGGAGGTATTTGCTCTCCAGCGTGATCAACCGTAACCTGGTGGTCATTTCGCAACCGCCGGAAGAATGAGCCATTTTCTGAGATGGCATGGTGGAGACTTCGAGGCACGTTCACGGTTTCGCCTTGCTGCTCCTTCAGCATGGCTAATATATGGGTCTTCGCATTTTCTACAAAGCTGGAAGGACCTCTAATTTTGACGTCAGTGCGATTGGATCCCTGTTTGGGTACATCCAGTACGACGTTGAACTGGGTTTCCAATTGACGTCTGGTATCTCCACCACGCCCGATGAGATGCCGATGTTGGGATTGGGGAACGTCAATGGAACTGACGACTTCATCTTCTTTTTGACGAACAAACTCTTGAATGGCGGCAATGATCTTGTCCACAATGACTTCCTTGCCTTCTAAGCGTATGCTCGAATCATCGCTCTCAGGGCGTGGAAATCTAACTATTCGAGCCGCAGTTCCGTCGTCTGGCCCACCACATTCAACGACAATCTTACGGATGTTCGCACCTACGTCATATTAGCGACCCAATTAAATGATCTCTCTGTATACAGTGAGTAAGGCTTACCACCGCCACCGATAAGTGATTTATGATGCTTCTTGTCAACATCAATCGCTTTTGTCACCGTTTCGTCAAACTCCTTGGCTCGTTGCAAGAGAAGCTTACGGGCATCCTCCACCTGCTTCTTGGTGCCTTTGAGTTTAATTTCGACTCGTCCAGAAGCATCCGCAACGTCATTCACTGAAGGAACATCGATTTGTGCACCAGTCTCCGTGCGAAGTTTGTCCATCTCACGACCACGCTGCCCGATTAATGAAGGAATCTGACTCTGGGAAACTGATACTGAACTAGTGTAAGAGTGGTCGGCAACCCACTGGTACAGGCTAAGAATCTCTTCTCTGGCACCGTCTGCGCCTTTACGAGGTCCTCGGATAACGACCTCATCAGGTGCCTGGTTGGAACGGGTGTTGCGCACGCTGCCGGCCTCGCTTGCGGCATCATTGACAGATTCGTCCAAAGAAGCTGCCCTGGGAAACTGCACACGGACATTGTACCGTTCTTGTAGGCGATTGACTTGGCTTCCCTTCTGTCCGATCAAGTCGCGGTGATACTGAGGCGCAATCTTGAGCACATATGTGGTCTCATCCTCCATTTTTTTTGCAAGAGCAATAATTCGAGCTTTCGCCGCATTTGCCTTGGTTGGCGGTCCTTTGACCTCAACTTTGCCATTTTCAACCTTGATATCAACATCAAATTCATCCCGGAGCTTGTTAATATTCTCTCCTTTTCTCCCGATAAGGACATTGGCAAATTTCTGTGGGAATTCAAATGATATCTTGTTATCTCGTTCCTTTTCATCTTGCTCCTGCTCTTGAACAAATGCAATAATCTTGGGTACTAGGTCTTGAACATCTCTTGATCGCCCGCGAAGTGAAGCCTGCTGGTCAGCCACTAACATGCGCACTGGAATATGATCCTCTCCTTTAGCGCTTTCTTCACGTGCAACAAACTTTCGTAACTTGTCATGATACCTGTTTTGGGTTAGGAAGGTGTGGCCCCAACAATTAGATAGAAAACTCACTTTGAAGGAACTGGAACTGATTTAGATACGATATTACTCTGGTCTCCTAGAGACGAGAGAAGATACGTCTGAGCCTCATTTAGAGCTCGCTGAAAAGCTGCGATTTCTTCTGTTGATGGGCGTTGCCTTGGCACCTCAGTTTGATCGGGTCCCTCGCAGACCAGCAAAATGTCTGAAGTTTCCGAGTTATTTGGGACAACCAAATAAACCCCGTACTTCTCCTTCAGCACTGGTGCACTTCGAGAACGAAGGAAGTCATGATAGTAAGGGTCCACGGATAAAGTGGCAAGCTTTGAGGGAGGGTGAGCCTGCACTAGATTCAAGATATCAGACCGCGCGAGAATGGTGTTTCTTCCGTCTCTGGAATAAACTTCCCAGACAACGGGTCCACTCGACGTCAATAGCGGCAGGACAATGTGAGCATTGTGCATCCTTTCAAGATCCCTGACTATTTGGCGCTGTTGCAGATACATTGTGAGTGCCTGGGCATAAGCATGTGGCCCAGATGGGGCATTAAGATGTTGACGTGAGATATCGATGCTAGCCATTTGCATGCTCGTGGCAAGATCCATGACTCGGTTGATTCCGGTTTCGATCTTGTCAGGAGGACCGATGACTGTCAGAAACTCCGTCGCATCAGAAGGTGGGGGCAGGATGACCGAGCAGCCTGTTTCGGCCAAAAAGTCGTGCAAAGAGTGTCCTTTGTCTCCGATGATGAACTGATGTTGTCCGCGGTTGATAGCTAGGTGGCGCAAGCCAATTTGGCGCTCAAGTTCCAGTGCACGCCTCTCGATCTCAGCACGAGCCTCCTGCGCACCCATGCGATCGCCGAAGACATGAATATGCCGATCTGGATCAGCGGTGAATTGAATCTGGCCAACTGGAGCTTCCTGGGGCGGTGGTCTCTTTGACCAGGTATCATAGCGAGGAACTCGAACCTGGGTCTTTGTACGCTCCTCGAGATCATTCAGATGGGAATTGTGTGCTCCCGCAATGAATGGGAACAGCTCAGGTGGGATGTTTTTCAGTTTAAGGTTTATGCTTGATGTTCTTTCCTTCACGATAGCTTCAATTTCACGTCTTGCCATCTCAGCTGCGACAGCATCACCTTCGATCAAGACATCAATAGTATTACTGTCGTCATCCTCATCTTGCAGAGTTGAATCATCCGGTTTGGGTACCTGGATTCGTGCGCCAGTTCGGTCGTGGATTCCCTGTACTACAGTTCCCTGGCGGCCAATGATATGTGGGCGTGCGGACGCTGGAACCGGGATGCGAACGGATTGCTATACGACACTGTGAGTGAATCTCTACTAGCAATGAGTTTCTACAGACGGGATTAACCTTTGAGCCGACCTGCTGAGCGACCTCTTTCAAGGCTTGCCGAACAGCATCCACTGTGCCCGTGCCTTCAAAGATATAGGAGCCACCTGGCCCCTCACGAACGTCCAACCTGGCCTTAGACTTTCTACTGATATCTCTGACGATATCAGCGAGGGGCTTGCTTAGCTTGTTTCGCGGCAGCATTTGAGAAGGTGCAAAGCGTATCTGCTCAACGTGCTTGCCGGGCATTGCTAATCTTGGGCCTCCAAGTGGAGCTGCAACTCCGGAAGTTGGAGTTGATGTACGGGACGGAACGCTACTCCGTGATCCCCCATTAGCCAAACCGGCGGATGGAGCAGCTGCTTTGCGACCATCCCATGCCATTGGCATTGCTGCAGGCACTCGCGATTTGGACCCACTCCCTAAGGCCGGAAAAAGCTCTTCGCATTTCACGTCGAAGGGCACTACCTTGGACTTCGGCACCGAGTTTGCAGCTTCATCTTTGGCTGCCGTGTCTTTCCATCTGGCTGGCGCTGGTTCAGCCGTCGCTGAAGACGGGGGTGGGTGAAGCATATCCTCTTCGTCCCGTACCTCTTCGATTGTGGGTTGATGGGCTTCATCACGTGCGTGTTTTTCCTGGAGCAGCTCAGCGGGCGATTTGGAGGCTGCGGCGGCAGTACCGCCGTTCACAATTAATCCAGGCTGCTCAGAGGCCATTCTGAATATGGTCCTACGTCCAACTTAAGGGATATAAGGCGGAGAGGCTAATTGGGAGAGGTAATGGAGTGAGGTGCCGCAACGGATGCGAAGGGGGACGGGAGGCGAAGTCAAGAACTGCCGACAGGCACAATTGGACAGCAGCAAAATAGGAGGTAAGAGGCGAATTGGGTTATAAAGCCTCGGATATAGTTAATGTAAGCTATACGATCGAATCGTTAGTATCCTATTTAGCAGTGTAAAATGCAGTCAGTGTCTATTGATTGTCGAAGGAATCGGATGAAGAATCGAAGGGGTTCTGGCCAGTTAGTCCATTACAATGAAAAGAAGAAGGAAAATAAAAAGGAGTAAATTGCAAACAAATAAGAAGAAGAATAGAAAAATAGGGAATCGAAATGAGGACTGATGCAATTGGAGCGTCAGAATGTCGTGGGAATGTACCTTTTTTTTTTTCCTTCAGCGGAGGGAGAAGAGCTGGAGAGAGTGCAGAGAGGCAACGTTGCAGTTCGCTCATTAGTCAGTTAGCGCCCCGTCCCAAGATTCACACATCCCCGAACGGCCTTGCAGCTATTGCAGCTCCATCATGCAAGCCCACCAGGTGAATTCATCAATATTCAGTCATTTGAGAGTATTCACAATTGGTGATATATTATCCTTCTGTTCCTACGGGCAGCTCAGCTGACCCCAATGGAAGCGAATGCTCGCACTTCGACTTCATCCCTGTAGAAATCATCCACGGGAGTTCTAAGTACTTCACAGTAAGTAAACATATTGGATTACGGCTGATTACTTCGGGCCAACGTGTATAAAGATAACTACAACTATCAAATACGCTTTCGAACTGAGGACCAAAATCGACTCAGCAAGTGAAGAAATCTCGTCCATACTCTGCAACCTGATAAGTGCCGAGCAGGTATGTACTGATTATGTAACATGTATGTACGGAGTGCGGAGTATATATAGAAGCAAAGATGTTTCATTTGTGCCATTATTGATTCTTCTGCGCGAAAGTACTCCGTCCTCTGCAGTTAACTTAGATCTGACTTTGGATGAAAGAAACTTGCCACTCGGGCACTTGCATTTCCATGCAGAAGACGATCATGCAATTTTAAGTCCGCCCCCAAGGACAAGTGCAGCATGTAAAATGTTCTGGTCCGGATGTTTTGTTTCATCTCCCCCGAGAATGGAGGGCCAGAAATGCGTGATCTCAGATAAAACCCCGGCACCAAGGAAGGGAAAAAAATGTTGTGCCACTTGTGTGGATTTGTATGCGAGGACGGGAGTTAAGGCAGACGGGTTGGACCGATCATGTAGAATACCTACCCCGGTAATCACCTGCAACAGAAAAAAGGTATCCATTCGAGAGCTACAGGTATCTAGGCTTTTGTTCGAGGTCCTGGAAAATTTCCGCTGGTAGAAACGCAGCTGCTTCTCAGAGCATCTATCTAGGACTTTTTCTCCCCAGAGTGGTGTATCACATCACGAGTATCCGTCTGAAAGCGAAGTTCTGTCACACTCAGATTAATGGAATTGTGCAACTGGATCGATGTTCCGCAGCCTAGGAGATTTTGCAGCAAGGCCTCCCTGTCCAATGGACATATGTATGGAAAGACATACGGAGTACATCCATACATAAGACGCGAGCTGGATAAAAGCCAGGGGTATCCTATCAGCTCCCAACATGTTAGCAGAATGGTTACTCTCGGGGCCTCTAACTATTCTTGAGAACGAGCAAAGGTTATATGACGAGATGCAATGCAAATTCCTTTTCCTTTTTTTTTTAATTTTTTTTTATTTTCTTTTGTGTGTGGGTGTTTATTTTGTCCTGGAGGAGTGATATTAATGATACCCAGATCAGTACTCCGTAAAATGTCACTTTGCTCTGTAATATTCACAGGATTTGGTTTTGTCGAAGTAATGTTCGAGAATAATACCAAGTGCTTACAGAGCTTCAATACTACTCCGTACATGTGGCAGAAGACAAGCTTGGATGGAAAAAAAAAAGGGTCGTATTCATGAAGCTCCACAGAGATCCACAGAGAAGTCCAGTCTCATTCCAGGCCGTTCGAAGAACCCACAGTGTTGTATGAAACCGAAAAAAAGAGAGAGAGAGAGAGAGAGAGAGTAGGGAAGGAAAGAGAGAGCGATCAGAAATCGATAGGTGTTTCTTCCGCTTCTGCCTGTGATGTGCAAGGCCTCTCTCTCCATGTCTTGGAAACGGAATGCGAGTTTGCCAGGAGAGCCGGCACTCACTGGCAGAAGCTCTTCCGCCAAGACCAAGCTCCGGGTGCGCGGTTTGAGACACAAGTACGGAGTAAAGCCAGCACCGTAAAGTTCCCTGGTGGGATGTGTGTGTATGACCGCTGTACGTCGTCTGTATTGCACTGTGTATCGCACTCTGTATGGGTGTAAGTAATTAATTGGTAACCGGTGTGTATGGCGCGTGGAGCAGGCGTGGAGGTATTACAGCGGGTTGGACGGGCCAGATCTGCAGTACACGCGCCAAACCTTGGTACGGGATGGGCCTGTAAGGAAATACTAAAACACACGCACCTCCGGGCTCGCCCACCTGTTCTCAGTACCCTGTTTCTGCACCAATTGGCGCCTGGTGTTTCCCAGCCGGGCCTGTAATTTTCATCCAATGAGTGTCCTGTTACCAGGCCTGAAACAATGTTGTATTTGGGGCCTTTCCCTTTGACCTCTATCCCCCGCATCTCCTAATAATTACCATCCACGTGTTACTGGTTCACCTCCCAAGCAGTCCCATGTTTCCAACCTCGCAAGTGAACCACAAATGCTGTCCATCTCTCAGAATTTAATTGCTTTGTTTCCTCTTTTAACTCCATCAAAGAGAAGCTTCACCGAGAGTTAATCGTGTTCCATTCGGCGAAGAGCAAGGTCTGGCAGCCAATCCAGGCCAGGGTCCAAAAGTGGCTTGATACCTCCTCGTTGGGCCGTTCGCTGCCATTGCCCTTGGGGCCCAAACCCGTCGCCTGATATCCGTTATCGTCTACCTACATCCCCTCCGCAGCTGCACCTATCCACCTCACTGCGCTTGGGCTCAATCCTGGGACATGGATTCAACGAAAGCTTCGTCGCATAGACGGCCGTCCACTAAGCTGTTGAAGCAGCCGCCGCCATTGTCCTCTAGTTCCACCTGGTCCATCAAAAAGCAAGCAAGCAATACCTCCCTTCGTCGACATCCATCCGCTCCAATCTATCCGCGCTCCCACACCATCGCTAGCCGCGAGCACGCTCGAACGAAATCCGGCGGCTTTGGCTCCTCTACCTCTTCCATAGATCAGAACAGCGAGCGCAATTCGCCCGTCGCGCTCCACAGCGAATTTGGAGCATATTCTTCGCCGAACTCAGCCCACAACACCGCCCGCTCATCCCTCAGTCTACAGAATTCGGATGAATTGATCGGATCGCGCTTCGATACTCGCGGCATGTTGAACGCTTTGGACTCCGCCACACAATCCTCTCAGCGTCCGCCCGTTCTGCAAAGCTACAATACCAGCCCGGACCCGCGCTCCACTCCGACTCTGAGGAATTCTGGCGTGTTTAATCCCAAGGAGCGACGCCCGGATCCCCCTAGCCCAGACAGCACGGTGGTTTTGACAAAGAGGTATTCAGACGATGGAAGCACGATAAAACCAGGCATAGGTGGAAGGAAGAAGTCAGGGTTTTCAAGTTTTGTGAATAGCATGCTTGGATCACCCCGAAACATAAAGATATCTGCACCTGAAAATCCAGTTCACGTTACTCATGTAGGCTATGATAATGAAACTGGTCAGTTCACGGTGAGTGCCCTGGTTTCCCTTCATTCTATACTTGATGCAGGAAAAACTCAACAAAAACAAAACTGATATAATATTTTCAGGGCCTTCCAAAAGAGTGGCAACGAATGTTGCAGGAGAGTGGGATCTCTAAGAAAGAGCAAGAAGAACATCCACAAACCATGGTCAATATCATGAAATTCTATGAGAAGAATGCCTCGGGAAAGGATGATGAAGGAGTATGGCATAAATTTGATCATGCAAAGGCGGTTGATCATCATGAACATTCAATTAGTTCCAAGGCATCCCCAGGAGGTCTGGCTCCAGGCCCCTTTTCTCCGCTCACAGCGCTTACCTCCCCTCCAGCAAGCCCGAGATTTCCCCAGAATCACGAAGGCAGCTTTGAGAACCCCAGGGCCCCGCCGCCTATCCCTAAAGCTGTTCCAGCGACCAGTCCGCTCTCTCCAGGCCCCTCACCTTCGGGCACCAATTGGGTCCCAAACCGTGCAGCACCCAAGGCTCCAACCACTTCGGCTACTAACCTCATGCCTGCTCGTCCTCCCCCTCAAGCTCCCGCACCGAAGGATACTCGCACGGCTCCGGAGATGTCAGCACACCCATTTGGTGTTCGCCCGATTCCCGAAACGGAGCCACTTCCTCCGCAACCACAGCGGAGCCGCTCCAACTCGAACCAAAATATGGCAAATGCCGCACCAAGGGTACCACCAAACATGGTGACCTCACCTGCACAATATCAACAAATGCAGGAACAAGCTAGCACCGCAGCGCACCAGGCCATCACCAGTAAACAGTTAGAACGTACACGTAGCGAGCGCCAGCGACAGCAGCAGCCGCCACGGCTAGCAGATCCGTCAATTCAGTCTCGTCACCAGCCCCCGTCTCAGCAGCTTCAACAATCAATCGACCAGGTCCCTCGACTGGAACAACCAGGGTACACAGCCCCCGTGCCACAGCAACAGTATGGACTACCACTAGACCCCACCCAATATCCCCAACAAGCACGTGCCGGCCCTTCACCAAGACAGCGCCAGCGAGTCCGTCAAAGCAATGGGATCGATATCAGAGCTCGCCTGCTTTCGATATGTACTGCTGGTGATCCCACCCGCAAATACCGAAATCTTAACAAGATTGGTCAAGGCGCATCCGGTGGTGTCTTTACTGCGTATGAGAATGGCACAAACAGATGCGTCGCTATTAAGCAGATGAACCTAGAACTACAGCCGAAAAAGGATTTAATTATTAATGAAATCCTGGTCATGAAAGACAGCAAACATAAGAATATTGTTAATTTCATGGATAGCTTTTTACATGGTGGTGACTTGTGGGTTGTCATGGAGTACATGGAGGGCGGCAGTTTAACAGATGTTGTCACGTTCAATATCATGACCGAGGGCCAAATTGCTTCTGTTTGCAGAGAGGTATGCCTAGCTCCCATGATATTTGTGAAAGTTTGTGACTGATACATCTTTAGACCCTAAACGGGCTTCAACACTTACACTCCAAGGGGGTTATCCATCGTGATATCAAATCCGACAACATTCTCTTGTCGTTGGAAGGGAACGTCAAATTAAGTGTGTATGCTCTCTCTTGAAATTAGAAGCTTCATTGCTTACCCCACATAGCCGACTTCGGGTTTTGTGCTCAGATAAATGAGTCACATAACAAACGCAATACTATGGTCGGAACACCTTACTGGATGGCCCCCGAGGTTGTCACCCGCAAAGAGTACGGCCGTAAGGTAGATATTTGGAGCTTGGGGATTATGGCGATCGAGATGATTGAAGGAGAACCACCGTACCTTACTGAATCCCCATTGAGAGCCCTCTATCTGATTGCAACAAACGGCACTCCAACTATAAAGGATGAGCAAAATCTATCGCCAGTCTTTAGAGATTTTCTACATCTTGCCCTAAGGGTCGATCCTGAGAAGCGAGCGTCAGCTCATGATTTGCTTACGGTATGTAGAGCCTGTCTCAGCCTGTCCTAAGTGTCGCCAACTGACTGTTGCTTTTTCTCAATAGCATCCGTTCATGTCGCATTGTGAACCTTTGTCGAGTCTCGCACCGCTTGTCAGAGCTGCTAGAATTAGCAGAGCTCAAGAGAAAGCCCAAAAGGGCGGCATCTGATTCTTCATGATTCCGACCGTTTACTGAATTTCCAATGACCCCCTACCTTCTAGAAATACCCAACCACTTGATGCGTTATACCCAAATTTACGATTGCAGTTCCTCTTTCAACGATACATGGACAAGTCTAACAAGGCAACGTCATACACGAACCACCTTCAACGACACCCAACCATCACGATTTCTGCTGACACCAACAGCCATCTTCCGATACCCGCAATAGAATTTATTGACTCTGAATGATCTCATGCGCCGTCTTGCTGTCTAAGATTTCTGCGGTCCTTTCGCTTCTCCGCTGGACTCTAAGAAAATTGTTTTAACGAAAGGGGATATTTCAGGCTGCTACAAAAAACATACCGCGACTACTGCATGTTTCCAGTATTACTTTTCTCGGGTGGATTTCGCTATTCATGTCTCAGGTGGCCAGGAGTTTATGGCGTCATGAAGTTCGACCAGTGATCTATCTTTGCTGAATTGGGAGGCGCGCCCCAAGGAAGCACTTTGTATTCGCACCCTGTTATTTCTACCCCATGCTGTGATCGCCACTTCTCAAATTCCCTCTCACCATGTGAAATTTTCACCTCAGTGTTTGCAACTTTCTCCATTACCAGTCTTATAGTTCTTTTGATACCGTTATATTTGAATGATTTATAATGTCTCCTCGATATTGAAGGCATGGCATCTGCCGGATTTATTGTCTAGCAATATGGGAGGCAAAACGTACCAGGTGTGCCAGGCAACATGTATGCTTAGTTTTATCGTTGCATGTCTCCAACTCTGTGATGCAGAGTTTGTATGGCTTGCGATTTTTCTGTCAGGTAAAGTGTGAAGGGTTCAAAGCACAAGGCGGGGTTGACAGCGTTTGGCTATTTACCTACAAATAAAGCTTCAAAGCTGAATCCTCAATGCGTCTTTTTAGTTCTATCAATCTTTAATGTTGATGTCCTCAAAGAAGCATACCCTGGCTGCGGGTGGCGGCGCTCTGCCTGGACAGTCGGCTTACATCATCCGGCGGGTCCCGGGGTACTTAACTACGAACCGCAGCTTGGGATGGGAGGGGGAAGACCGTCCCACGCAGCAACACCATCCCAATCCGCACACTATTTTTCGTTTCTTCCCGCCGACAGAGCTCTCGGACTGACATATATTTTTATTTTGTTTTTTTATTCGCTCTAACTAGCGCCTGTCCCGATCTGTCAAACTAAATTCTGCCGCTGGGTTTGCACACGGTGCAAAGCCGTGCTTTGGGCACTCGGATTACGTAGCTTAGGTTTACACATCTCCCCGACACCTCAAGGCTTCCATATTGCTTCCATTGCACACCACCGCCATCACGACGACTTTGAGAGGTATTTTCGAGAGGTACTTCTCTCTGCCTACACGACGAACTTGCTTTTCTTGATTCTTCACGCTGCGCTTTTGTTTCGACTTTGAAGAAACTGCGCTCGGTCCCCGGCCATGTTTCGCGCGCAGCAGAATGCGTATGATGACATCGTCGGTACGTCTGCTGCACACCAACTTCATTTCTTTTTTCTCCGTATGCTTTTAGAGGGGAGAGGATTCTGACATTTGTCATTTTGCAGCCAAGGCGACCGATGAAAATCTTACCTCCGAGAACTGGGAATACATACTTGTATGATATATTCTACCATCTGTGGCATATTGCTTTGCCTTCTTTTACCGCCTTGCGGCCTTCCAGGCATTATTGAGCTGACCCAAATACACGATTTAAGGATGTGTGTGACAAGGTTTCTGCAGATGAGTCTGGGTATGAAGATACAGCAACTTGCCCTCCGCAACTTAATGGCAATATATACCCAAGCGGGCTAGCTGACTCTATTGTATAGGGCGAAAGATGCGGTTGCCTCCATGATCAAACGGCTTGCTCATCGCAATGCAAATGTGCAGCTTTACACCTTCGAGGTTCGCCCCCATCTTGCGTTGTGTTTTGCGAGTCATGTTACGTTCGGCTAACATCAGTCCCGTTTACCATAGCTTGCCAACGCCCTGTCGCAAAATTGCGGTCCAAAAGCGCATCGCGAGTTGGCGTCAAAGAGTTTCACAGATGCCCTTTTGCGACTAGCCAATGACCGAGTGCGTTTCTCCATTCATTAATTATAGCCTGAAGGATGCCGGTCTAACTCGAGTTTCGTCATTCCCATAGAATACCCATCCACAAGTCAAGTCCAAGATACTGGAACATATGGAACAATGGACGGAGATGTTTTCCAGCAATCCCGATTTCGGAATCATGGAGCATGCTTACATGAAGTTGAAGTCGCAGAGTACGTACAGCTCCCACAATTATATGAGGTAGAGACTAATGCTTTACATATTTCTAATCAGATCCAAACATTCAACCTCCCTCGAAACCAACAAAGCGCCAAATAACAGAACTAGACAGGCAAAAGGAAGAAGAGGAACTCCAGATGGCGCTTGCGTTGTCCATCAAAGAGAAACAGTCAGAAACATCTAAACAACAAGATGGCTCTTCACAGCATGTTGTGACTACCTCCGCTCAAGCCGAAGCTGCACCCTCGCAAGGTATTCCATCCGGCACGACCGCTGCGACAGTATCTCGCGTTCGCGCCTTGTATGATTTCCAGCCTTCGGAGCCCGGAGAGCTTCAATTTCGCAAAGGCGACATCATAGCTGTCTTGGAGTCGGTTTATAAGGATTGGTGGAAGGGTTCTTTACGGGGTCAAGTTGGGATATTTCCATTAAATTATGTGGAAAAGCTTTCAGATCCAACCCAGGAGGAGTTACAGCGAGAGGCCCAGATGGAAGCTGAAGTATTCGCTGAGATAAAGAATGTGGAAAAGCTTTTGGCGTTGTTGAGTACCAGCAGCCCCGAGTTGAATGTACAGGAGAATGAAGAAATCACCAAATTATATCACTCGACGCTTGCGATTCGGCCCAAGCTTATAGAGCTGATTGGCAAGTATTCTAAGAAAAAGGGTAAGGATTTCTGCGTCACCATTCTACGGTCCTCGCTAATATGTTTGCAGACGACTTTACTCAGCTCAACGAGAAATTTATCAAGGCTCGAAGGGATTACGAAGCATTATTGGAAGCGTCCATGACCCACCCAGCGCAGTCTCATTATAACCGACCTGCACAACCTCCTTTTGCCTATCCACCTTCAGGAACCCACCCAGGATATCCTCACCACGCACCGCCACAACAAGAGCCGCAGCGGTATTATACGCCAAGGCCGTCACAAGGTCGGTGATTGTGTGTCACGGTTCAAAGGCTGCTTCTGATTAACGAGTTTCATTAGACCCGCAAAGTGCTCCTCACAACACCCCGGGATATTATGGGGCAGAACCGAGCACACTTCCTTATCCTCCCGACTCCCAGTCCCCGGATTTTCGAAAACACACAGCTACAGGCTCCATGCAGCTACCACAACAGCAACCCTCGCAACCCCCACAAGACGCATATTCGCAAGGCGCAACGACACATTATCCTCCGAAAACAACCTACGATCATCCTCAAGAGCTGGGAACATCAGTCTATGACTCCCCGCAAGGAAATGCTCCCCAGGCTATCCAGCACTCCTATCATCCCGCGATGCAGCAAGAGCTTCAACAACAACAAGCGACAGGAGCAGAGCCTACGCAACGACCCTATTCCCCCCAGGAAAATCCACCACCACAAGCGCCGTCATCCAACCCGCCATATCCTGTACAAACACCGCAAGAGCCTCCTCAGCAATCCTTTGCTCCACCAGCGCCTATGCATCAACCTCCACCCATACCATCTGTCGCGCCATCGCAAGGAGCATATGGCGGTGGCTACCAAGCTTATCAACCACCTACAACACAACAGCATAGCCCAACTTCAAACCCGGCCGCGTTCTACCGGTGAAACACTTATCGAAGTACGATCTAGCGAAGATACTGTGTTGAATTATTACGACCATTAGCTTCTTATTTGTAATCTGACCAATCTACTAAGTGTGAAATAAATTATATCTATTGTCGAAAAAAGGTTCCATTCCCATCTTTCTTCTCTTGGCATTATTTTAGCCCAGTAACTGTTTTAAATACTCCGTATACGGAGCACTCCGTACAAATACTAGCGGACTTAGTGAATGTTGTTCCTAGGTAATATTAGAATATGGCTTTAGGGGGGGGAGGTTTGAGAACTGTATATGTAGGGTTTGAACTACGACGATTAATAGCATCAATAAACATCAGTTATCCAAGTTTCAAGGTTGCTAACTTAGGGAGTGCGCACAACTTTTGCATTTCCCTTTTTCCCTTTCATTCCTTGAAACAAATGCGTTGATCAGCTCCAGCAACCTGCGGTCGAGTTGAGGGCTTGGCGGCTATCCCCTAAAACCCGGCTGAGGAGGCTTGGCGTGACGGAGTCGAAGAGTGTCCACTCGGCGACCTTGGTGGATTTCTTAAATAAGGAGTGGAGGAACAGCACATATTCCATATCAACCTGTGTGCGAGTCGCTGTCTGTTCTTCGTCGTTTTCATCATTAAACTAGGGGGCTCAACTAACCACATATTTTTACATCCCTCTCTGAATTCCATTGATCCCCTTCCCTTGTGGACAAGGTATGGCTGATGGTGGTTATGTCCCCGTCGAAGAGGATGACGAGGACGGGGATATAACGCACCATGGTGCAGAAAGGATTAGTGTGGAAGATAGATTGCCATTATTCATTAGATCAGGCGTCATCTTCGACCAAGAGCATGATGGCGTCGCAGTAGATCAAGGGGATGCTTCGGCAGACCCTTTACATGGACATCACCCCAAGCAGGTATGAGCATAATGTGATACCCCAGTGAGGCCGTACGACCTTTGCATTCGTTTATAAACTAGCTCTAATGGTGGGTGTATATGTACAAGGAGCTTCATGGCTGGGCTTCAATGTGGTGAGTGGTTTGCCATATCCCCTCCCGCCCCAAAAAAAAGCTGCGCTTTGTACACTCCCCCAAGTTTTTGGGCGAACGCTTACTATTGCCTGGTAGGCTAGCATATCAATCGATCGGTGCAATTTACGGAGACATCGGGACTAGCCCTCTCTACGTCTTCTCGGCGGTCTTTGCTTCTCCACCGAGCTCGCCGGATCTGCTTGGTGCACTGTCACTCATCATCTGGGCCTTAATCCTCATCGCTACGATAAAGTACGTGGGGATTGTTCTATGTGCCAACAACCATGGCGAAGGTGGCTCCTTTGCGCTGCTTTCTCTTATTAGGCGTCATGTATGCGATTTTCACGGTGACCCAGAGTGAAGGTCGCACTCCCTTGAAGATATGCGCCGGCGCTGACAATGGCTCAGGTTAAATTGGACTGGCGAGATTCAATGGTTGAGGACGATGACGAGAAAATCTATGCTGCAAAGCGGCTGAAAAGCTTCAATCGCTCGGCTAGAAATGCGTTGAAGCGCAGTCCTATGGCCAAAGGTTTAGTGACGATTCTGGCTGTGCTGGGGGTCTGCATGGTGATGTCTGGTAGGCTACGATCCAGAGAAGGGCTTCTTGAGCCTGACTGATGGCCTCTACAGATGGGGTCATTACTCCAGCACAGTCAATTCTCGGTGCAGTGCAGGGTATGCAAATTTCGGTGTTGTATCAGATGAGCCCTGCTGAAATACTGTCTAGGAATCAAAATAGCTGCCCCCGGCATGCCCACAAATATTGTCGTCGCGCTTGCCTGTCTCCTGATTGTGCTTCTGTTCGCCATACAGCCTTTCGGCGTTTCGAGACTGAGCAACTTTTTCGCCCCCATTGTAATGGTCTGGTTGATATTCAACATGGCTTTTGGAGTATATGTTCGTCTCCCTATCACGTTCAATCCCTGTTGGTTCTAACATATAAGAATCTGGTCCTATTCGATCATAATGTGATTAGGGCGTTTTCCCCGAGTTTCGCAATTGATTATATAATTCGACATAAATTTGATGGCTGGCGTTCTCTTGGAGGTGTTTTGCTTGCATTTACAGGTACCTCTCCTATTTCTAGCCATTTTTCCACATGCATTCACTAACCCCATTGCAGGAGTTGAAGCTCTATTTGCCGACCTTGGCGCATTTTCAGTTAAGCAAGTTTTTTCGTCGGTGATAACGGGGAGAATTAACGCTAAATGTTCCTGTTAGGGCCATTCGGGTTTCGTGGCTCTGTTTTGCCCTACCTTGTCTTCTTGTTACTTATTGCGGCCAGGCCGCGTTTATAAGCTGGCACCCAGATGCGATCGTGAACCCATTGTTCAAAGCGGTCCCCCCTGGAATGTACTGGCCGACGCTCATTCTGTCAATCCTAGCGTCAATTGTGGCCTCCCAAGCAATGCTCACGGGCACTTTCCAGTTGATCTCCCAGGCTATACGGATGGCTTATCTTCCTAGAATGAGGCGCGTCCACACATCAAAGCGTGTGGCGAGCCAGATATATATCCCATTGGCTAATTGGCTGATGATGGCAGGGGCAATAGCGGTTACAGCAGTGTTTAAAACAGTGAGTGTCGGGAACTTCACGAGGGTGTTAGAATGCATGCTGATTCGAGCGACACAGACTACTCGTATTGGCCATGTATATGGTGTATGCGTCGTCGGGGTTAGCTTCATCACGACTTGGCTTGTTGCCCTTGTGGCTATTATCATCTGGAATTTGCATATTGTGGTCATCCTTCCGGTTTTTGTCTTTATCGGCTTCTTTGATTTCTTTTTCCTGGCAGCTGCTCTTGCCAAAATACCAGCTGGGGGCTGGTTTACGGCTATCATGGCGGCCATCTTGACGAGTACTTTACTCCTATGGAGCTACGGTGAGGGATGCCAGTTCAATGCAGAGCGAGATGAGAGCGCTTCCCGCTCCACGCTGTTCACAGGCCACGGCCACCAGCTATGGCTTCGCGAAGGAAAGGCGGAGTATTCGGTTAAATCAATCAGAGGTCCGGCCTCCAACATTCCCCTCCCCCAAATAAATAAATAAAAAAGACCCAGCGAGACTGACACATAGCAGGCATTGGTGTGTTCCTAATTGAACCACATTCTAGGTCTCCTCCTGTTTTCGACCATTTTATTAAGAAATTCGAAGCCACCCATGAGATATCAGTCCTCCTTCAGATAAAACCCGTTCTTAAGTATTCTGTAAGGATCCCTTCCATCTTACGGTCTCTGTGGCACGGGTAGTCTAATTAAACTCCTAGGTCCCTGTGAAAGATCGCTTCACGCTAACTAGCACAAACATCACCGGGTTGTACCGTGTTATACTTCGCTATGGCTACGGGGATACACCCTCGTGGGATTCCTTTGAAGAAATGCTCACAGAGGAACTGGGTCTCTTGCGTCCTCGTGGAGAACCGGATAGTCAGGATTATGCAGCTGCAGACGATGTGAACACAGGTTCGATAGCGCTCACTGCGCCAGATCAGTTCGCATCGCAGAAGCCCATTACCTATATCATTGGCAGAGACAAATTATACGTCAAAAAGGGATCTGGTTTTGTTCGCAGGATCATCCTGTCTGTGTTTATATATCTGAAGGGCCATGAGAAGACAAAGTTGTCGCGATTGAGAGTTCCGGTTGACCGGTTGGTTGAAGTTGGATTTTCTAAGGCGATATAATCAAGGAGGAACAAATATGATGCATGTAAAGTTTTGGGTCGTCCAGGACGCAAATTTCCTTTGACATGCCCGCCTACATGTTCTCGGCTTGAAAAATACCAAATGCCCAATTCGTCCCCTGACAAAGGAATCGGGCGATACCCTTGAGGTTTTGGAAGTGAGGGATTTCATTTCCGCACGTTGATAAGGTTCCCTGGAACTTGGAGCGGAAAGTCGTCGGGACCACTTCAGAGTCTGAACGAAAGGGCGGGATGAATTCCGGCTCACGATGGCTCCACGGAATGCGTGGAGGCCGGAGATGAGCAGTCATCGCTGGTCGAAACCACAAGAACATACAGTGGCCGTTTAAAAAACCTATGTAGATATGCAATATACGGGGAAACTGCTATATAGATCCTTTAGAGCAAGCTGCAAACTCGACGACGTGGCAATTGAAAAGATTTCCATAGTAAGGTTTGTGAATGCCGAGATCGGGCTCCGGGAGAAAATTCCTAATCCAGCCATAAGCGGCGAAACTATCCGCTCCGGGGAAGGAGATCCTGGTCTTAATAAGCAGGCTCCGATTGGCCAGTTCAACTCCATGTAACTGCGTTCACATGTTGGCATGATGAGGATTCGCCAGGGCATCGAGAGAACCCGCCGGGGCATGGGTGAGTCGAGTGTGTTGGGTTTGGAGCTTGGGGGAAGAGACAGTAACGCATTGCTGATAGCGACTGGGTGATTCCCACCTGGTGGTTGGTTAACTAGCAAGGCTGATGCTGGAGCTCCTTGGGAACACCGGAGAATCCTCCCGAGGCGAGCGCCGCGATCACGAAGGGATATGGGTTGATGGTGCCGGGAGCAAATCACGGTTCAGAGCCCCCCGAAGCTCCCCCCAAAACTCCCCCCAAAACTCCAGACGCTGGCGATAGACTCCACCGAAGTACTGGTCCGTCCCTTTCCCCTCTTTTTCCATGCATCCGCAAATAGCACGTCCCTTTCGCGTTTGTATGTACTCCGTAGAAAGAGTTAGGAGGTACTTAACCTGACGAGCCAGGCCTCGCAGATCTGCGACACAGGTAGTTATCCTGGAAGAGCTTCCAGCAATCAGCGATCGTATTCCGGTTTGGATTTTTGAGGAGCAGCTGAAGAGATTCGAGTGCAGCCTATCAGCGGATCCTTGTCGTTGAGAAGCCGGCCGTGTGCGTAAGGGTGCGCCGTGGCTGGGCCCGATAAATTTTCCTCAACGTTAAAATATTTCAACCGCCTTACCCACCCAACTGTTCGCCGTCAATTACCAACCAACGACTCCTCTCACCATCCACCGCTCTCGTTCTGTAGCCCCCAGCTCTGTGGCATCCGCATTCATTCTTCCCAACGCCCAAGAGATTCGATTCCTGAGACACGCCGTACACCCTCAACCACAATGGCCGGAGACAAGGAGTTCACCCTACGGGAGGTCGCCGCTCACGACACTAAGAAAGATCTCTATCTTATCGTTAATGAGAAGGTTTACAATGTCACATCCTTCGTTGATGAGCATCCGTACGTATCCTCGCCCTGTTTGGAGCTTTCCGTCTCTACTCCCAGTTCCCATTCCTCTCATCGAGCACTTTAGCGTTCGCCATGGCTAACAAAAGGTTCTGTCTGCTGTTCAGTGGCGGTGAGGAAGTTCTTCTAGACGTTGGCGGTCAAGATGCCACAGAAGCTTTCGAGGATGTTGGCCACAGCGATGAGGCTCGCGAAATCCTTGAGGGGTTGCTGGTCGGAAAGGTCAAGAGACAGGTACGCTGCGATATGATCAGTGCTTTTTTTGTCTCTCGCATATAGGGCTGTTTGAAACTAACGTCCTCTTTTTCGTCTTTCTCTATTTTAGCCTGGCGACCCTGCTCCCGTCCGAAGCCAGACCTCCACAACAACCAGTGCTCCTTCCGGAGACGTTTCCACCGGCCTCGGAATCGGACTCTATGCCATCCTCGTCCTCGTTGGCGCCATCGGCTACGGCTTATACCAATACTTGAACACGGCGACTCCAGTTCAGGCTTAGAAACGCCCTCTGAAAATATTTCGTTTCTGGTGACCTCGACCGTATTTCTACGCCATTCTTTTCCTAGCCCTTTGATACATTGGCGCGTCAGCAATTTTTATCGCGCTATGTAACGTCCTGAATATGTGGTATCTGTTCGATTTTTACCCATAGATCTCTTAATTGGCTATGAGCCCGAGGAGTTTAGATCGATGTCACTCTCAAAGGCTTCTTGGGTTCCGGTTCCTTCATGCAACTATATTCTATAATTTTTGTTCCCCTCCCCGTTACGAGTGTTTTCGCTGGATGGTGTCCTTTACACCCCGTACCTCTTGATATCTGCTTTGCTTGGCCCCGGCGCGGGATTGTCGCATGAAATGCTTATCGAAAGACTACTTTGATAGAATGCAAAGATTGTTCTTTTTTGTCTCACTCAGTAGCCCAGAATGCGTTCCATTTCTTCTTCCATCATGTTGGGCAGATTCGATCGGGAAGCACTAGCGGTACAGTCCCGGAGTTGCGGGTTCCGGGTGGTTCGCTGACAGAGCAAGGGTCACAGCTGACATGACTTGCCGACCATGCCGCCAAACACACCTCGACACCATGCCCATATGTCGTGTGGAAGCTCAATCCTTGGTGTCTGTTAAGATTAATTGTGCTGACAACGCATAAACTTTCATTGCTCGAAATACACAGCTTGGCTGTGTAGTTGGATATTAATTAGTGGGTGCGATGGGTTAAGCTCCATAGCCGAGAAACAACTGAACGAAAATACGGAAACTCCCAATCTAGACCCGGCTATGACCCAGGCATTCAATAGGTGCATAGGATGAGACAACCGCAGCTATTTGAAGACCCAGTATCCTGGGGTAGAAAACTTAGCTACAATGGATCGGGCCCCTCCAATAAATAATATCGTAGGCACGAACATGCATGAGTGGATAGCCACGGCTGCTAGACTAAATAGCTGAGTCAGTGTCTCTGGGGGCAATCCTCTCTTGGAAAATCTGTCTGATGCGCTTGCAGCCTGCTCGGATTGTTGGCTGTTGAATGAATCAAGAGGCCGACATGCCCTTGACCTTCCTGATATAAAATTTGGCACCCTTCAGGCTGCCTGTGTTGAATATTTTAAGGCCCTCAGGCCAAAGACTGATACAGATTCGCTGGTGGATCATATCCGCCATCACATTAACCAAGTACTTGCTATATTTATTTTTTGAAGCATTTGTCAGAGAGTTAGAAGAGAAGGAGAAATCAGGGAGTCTGGCTATCAGATGTGCCAACCAACCCATATCAACTATAGCTTGGGATTTGATCATGGAAACCATTTATCCTGGCAAATACAGTTCCCTGAAAGGGAACCAGAAGAAGCCCTACTGAGATACTCTGAGTAACCATACTCAATACGGAAATTGCTGTGGACTGGCAGTGCTGCTTGTGTGTAGTGATGATATGGCTTATATGGTGTATTTCTACCCATACCACAACCCCTATTTGGTTGAATATGCTTATATGCTATATAGGAACTGTTCTGCACAGCACAAGACAACAGTTGATGCTCTCATCAATTATGTTATGGATGCACATCCTGGAGCAGTGTTGCTCTTTCAGCACTTCACACCTATTGCTCAATGCCTTATGCTCAGAAAGGGTGTGTCTTCATATACAACAACAACACCTATCCGGACACTTATCAATGAGCTGACCCAAATACATGTAGATGTTCAATGCTCCCAAGGACCATGGAGTGGATTGATCCACAGTCGGTTGCAATCTCTGCTGACCTTGAATTATTGCGGAGTTGTCTGACTCGAACTGAGACTACAGGTAGTCTTTCTATTAGCGTTTGACAGTTCTTTTCACCATGAATTTCTCTGAAATGGCCGTCACCATTTTGCAAAAACTTCACAGTATCGCAGAGCCGGAAGAACTAGTTAAGAGGCCGAGAGCTGATGATAAACGGTTTAAGTAAATACAGTAGCCTTGGGGCAGCTTTAGTTAACCGACTTCGCAAATCTCCCGGCGCACTTAGGTAGCCTGCGTGTCCTCACCCAAGCCTCACCCTCGCCTTGGTGAGGAGGCCTGGTTAAAGTAGCCTACCTTTGGCACTCCTCCAGGATAAGTGCCAAAGAGTATTTTGGGAAAATCCAGATTCCCTCTTGATTATACCAGGTATATATGTGGATGGTACTAGCTTTTAAGGCACGATCTCCTTTCTTGCCATGAGATCATACGTTGGCACCGTTGTTGTGATAGCCTCGTACCTTCCCTCAACCTCTTTCTTGCTGGCATATGCTCTGCACTCTGTCTCAATAACAGCCCAATCCGTGACGGAACTTTTGCCTGGGATGTATTAACATTGGTGGATCAATCATTCAGGGAATGCTCACTCAGAATATTATCCTGGGCCAGCTGAGCCATGGCGCTGGTGGTCCACGTCCGGCATCTCCAGCTCGGATCCTAGGTTTACGTTAAGTAAATAGGGATGCCAATCGGTAGATTCCACAGGAGTCATACATCCTGGACGACCGGAACTTTCTGCAGGGAATCCTCAAGCTCTTGCCCTGACTTTTCGACCTTACCGACAAGCACCAGAGCCAAGAGCTTCGCCATGTCTGCTTCCAAGAGCAAGCTCTTTTCATATTGCCAGGTTGCTTTCGGTTCCCCGTCACACGAGAGGATTTTGTTGGTTACATGATACCTTGTTGTCTTCCCCCTAGCATCAGTTTCATCCTTCGGGGAGACAACGAACGCCCAGTGGTATCTGGTAATAAGTTACCACATAGTTCCTATGAGGGAAATTGGGACAACAAACACTCCGGGGTGCTTATGGAAGTAAACAGCAACATAGAGCCGGTCTTTGTTAAAAGGCATAATGTAATGAGTGGGCTATGAATGTTGGATAGTAGCATACATAATCTGGTTGGGAATCATCTCTCTCAGAGGAAGTGATGCGTTGTTGACTACTTCATCTGCCACTTCTGCCTGTGGAATGAATTGCAGCCAACGTTTACCTTTTTTTTTTTTTTTTTTTTTTTTTTTTTCTTTTTTTTGGTCCCTAATTGGAAAAGTTGGGCAGGATAAGAGGCCTGGTTCTAATTGAACAAACCTCCCGACAGGCTGCACTGTGGGCTTGGTTCAGATAACATGTACGGAGTACTGTCATCCTACATATGTAGCCAATGGCCAACTCTGCACAACGCCTAAAGAGTGACATATCAATATCAAATATAAAACTTACAAGTGGCATTGGAATGCGAGCAAAATTGCTTCATATCTCTCTGTGGTCTGCCCATCAAGCTGAGCATTCGGTGAAGTGGTGAGGGGGAATGACGTTGGCTGGCGGGCGGCACTCACTTCACTTCGCCCCACGCCGAGATTAGCTTCGACATCAATAAGCTTCAGGGACTCGGGAGGCTTTGTGCAACTTTCTCCCTCCATTTCGACTTCTTATCCCTCCCAGATCGCAATGTCTCGTAATCGTGTGAAGAACATTGCATACGATGGCGACGACGATTATTACGATGACGACGAATACGGCGAGGATGGAGAACTGTCCCCCGAGGATCGCGAGCAGATGAGGCTCCGAACTGCGGAGGTTCAGCAGCTATTACTCTCTGAGCTGCCACCGATTCAGGCCAAGGAAGAAGAAATATGGGAGTCGCTATGGCATTATTATTACGACGTGGATAAAACGGTTGCGTACTTGAGAAGTAAGACTTCTTCAGTTTCTTGCTCCTCTCCGTGTTGCGGGTTATTTGCTAAGGCGGGGTGGACGTTCCTAGAGAAATACCGACCGCAGACGCCAAAGAAGACACCGAAGCAACAGACGACAGGTGCCACGGCCTCAGCGGCGCAAGCAAAGTCAAAAGGAAAAGGTGAGTTTCTATTTAGTTTTAAGTCTTGGTGGCTGCCGGAAAGGAAGCTCGATCCTCTTAGTCGTGGGCTACGTCTATCTTCCAGCACGGTGCGTTCCTTGCTTACCTTTGTCGTCGTTATTGTTGTTGTTGTCAACTGTATTGTAGGCAGCTGATGCGAAGCGAATAACTAAACAGTTCCTAACTGCTGTCTTTCAAAAAATAGTTTCGCCTTACCCGCTTCCATTCTATGGCGCTCAGTGCCCGACCCAGTTTTCGGCTCGTGACTTCTTCAAAGATTCTCCGTGGTTGAACATTCCCAGTCATCGAAAGGCAGAGATATTGGTTGAGCCACTCTATCCTCGGCTTGGCTTACTAGGCGGAGCACCGGAAGGTTCTGGGAAGATGTCGAAGCTCGCCGCGCTTGCTGCTGCGCGAAAGAAGAAGGAAAGCGAAAGGAATAAGGCCGAAAAAGAGACTACGGATGCGGAGCCTTCCTCTTCTCTGTCGTCTCCTAAAACTCAGCACAGTACTTCGATTTCACTACTAGATAGGCTAGCAAGTAATGCCAGACCCAAGGCTAGCCCGGAATCCCGGCTTTCCAGGTTTCCTCTTCGAAAACCGGCTCGAGGCCCTGATCCTGGTCCTGGTCCTCAAAAAAATCCATCGCTGGAAATTCGTGAGCCTATGGAATCGGACCAGAAACCGAAGTTTCCTGTGAAGGCTCCCGGCCCGAGCCCTAAAGGGGATTTGGTGCCTTTAACGGAAGATCTTCTTGCTCGGCCTTCTTCCTTCGCGACAGTAATAGTTGGAAGCCGAAGCGGCCAAGGATCGTCTTATTGTTCATGGCGGGGATTTGATATGCTCAAACTATACGGGCAGGGTTTTACTGAATGTTTTAATTTTGCAGAACCGAGTCCCGATGACGTTGTATTTAATGCGCAAAATGCGGCTAAAGGTTTGGATTTTTGGCTCCTCAGCTAGATAATAATACTAACACTACCTAGCAAATAAGGCAAAACAAGCGAAAGCCCAGTCGTCGGCCAAGGCGACATCCGACCTAGCGGACGATGTTAAACAACTTTCGGTACAAGAATCGGTTAAACCCAAGAGCAAACAGCTAGATGTCTTAGAAGAGCATCGCAAAACCAAAAGGAAGAAAGCGGCTAATTTCGTTGTCATTGGTAAGGCACTGGTCCAATCTAGATGCTGGACAACGGCTAATCTCACTGTAGGGCATGTTGATGCTGGAAAGAGCACGCTTATGGGAAGGCTGTTATACGACTTGAAGGCTATTGACCAGCGTACAGTGGATAAATATAAGCGAGAAGCCGATAAAATTGGAAAAGGGTCGTTTCACCTCGCTTGGGTTCTCGATCAGGGATCAGAAGAACGTGCCCGTGGGGTGACGATCGATATTGCGACGAACAGGTTTGAAACCGATTCTACGAGTTTCACGATACTGGATGCGCCTGGACACCGCGACTTTGTACCCAATATGATCGCTGGAGCTAGCCAGGCCGATTTCGCAGTTCTTGTGATCGATGCGAGCACGGGGAATTTTGAATCTGGCTTGAAAGGCCAAACAAAAGAACACGCTTTGCTAGTTCGAAGCATGGGAGTTCAGAAAATGGTGGTTGCGGTGAACAAGATGGATTCAGTGCACTGGTCGAAGGAGCGATTTGATGAAATCGAGCAGCAAATATCTTCATTCTTGACTACCGCTGGATTTCAGCCGAAAAACATATCTTTCGTCCCATGCTCCGGCCTTCGCGGAGAGAATATCATTTCGCGGACGAAAGATAAAAATGCTGCTTGGTATTCGGGAAGGACACTGATTGAAGAGCTGGAAACTGCAGAATCTTACGCATATGCCATTGAAAAGCCTCTACGAATGACGATCGCCGATGTCTTCAAGGGAGGAGCGCAGAATCAACTCTCTATCTCGGGGCGCATTGATGCTGGTAGTTTGCAGGTTGGAGATCGAGTCTTGAGCATGCCGAGCGGAGAGGCGGCGACGATCAAAAGCCTTGAAATCGACCAAGAGCCTAAAGATTGGGCAGTGGCAGGGAACAACGTTGTGCTCCACCTCGTGGATATTGATCCTATGCATCTCAAAACCGGCGACGTCATCTGCAGCCCGTCCTCTCCTGTGCAGAATATCAGCTCGTTCACGGCGAAGGTGCTAGCCTTTGACCATCTAACTCCGATGCACGTTGAGCTTCATCGTGGGCGTCTGCATGTTCCGGGCCGCATCTCACGCCTCGTTGCGACATTAGACAAGGCGTCGGGGACGCCGGTAAAAAAGAAGCCAAAGATTGTGGCGCCGGGCATGGTTGCGCGGATCGTGGTTGACATGGACCAACCGATACCTTTGGAGGCGCCAGCGCGAGTGGTGCTGAGGGCAAGCGGGGAGACTGTGGCTGCAGGATTATTGGAATGAACGGAACACGATCGACGGGATGGAATTTGGGATTGCATTTGACAGGATCATACTGTGTAGATGGATCGGGGAATTTCAGCACCTCCATATTTCCAATGATTACATGTTTATGGCCACGTGACAATGTTGCATCGACGATGGAGCTTGCATTTCTGTTGATAGAGCCACAGCGTTCTCGCAGTTTCTTTTTTGCATAGCTACGCAAGGTATTAAGTGTGGGTGACGATCTTTGCATTTGTTCTTCCTTATGGTGGTCCGCAGAAAATTCATGATGACTCCGAGCTGGGCGCGCTTATACACTCTAGATGGAGCATACGGAGTAGTTATACATGAAGATTCGATCCGACGGCGATTTCTCTCAGAAACTCGCCAAGATGAGGCGGGAAGCCTGTGACGATCACTTTTTAGCTTTACAGGCACGGAATACGGAGTAGTTGAATTAGGGCTTCGAAGCCATGCCGCCTGCTAGGTCCCAAGGTACGTCTAGAAATCCTCGGATGGGAGTCGAGCATGCGGGCACAATCTATCAGGCACAAGTAAGGCATTGAAAAGGCCGGTGAACTGTGTAAGGTTTTCTAGGAGTTTTCTTTATGCAGGACACATATAGAATGCATATCTTTTTTTTATTACTACAACGGTGTTATGAGGAAGATTTCTGCTGAGGCGGAAACCCCCCAAAATGACATAAAGGAAGCTTGTTTGAGAACCACAAAAGCCAGAGCTCTTTCACGCCAACGTAGCCACAGTAGGACGTTCCAGGAGATAGTACTGTACCTATCGTCGCCAGGCCTTCTACTCGCTTCTGGAAGGTGCCGCAACATGCTGTCTGGACGGAGGCGGGTGGCAGTGGCAATAGCACGCTGGAGTTGGCCAGATAGACAGCATCAGCGAGCCAATCACAGTGGCGCATGCTGGCGGTTTGTGGAAATCTCCAGACACGCTGAGTCAGCAAATATGGCCAATCAGCAGGCGTAGAGTAAACCCTAAATAGGCCGAGAAAGCCCCACGGAAGCTTGCCACTACGGCGCTAGGCCGCGACGGGACTAGCGGCTGGCCGACGATCGAAAAGGCCAACTATTCCTTCACAGCAGCACACGCAGATAAAGCTCTCCGTCCGGATGCTCTTCTCCCTTCACTTCCCCCGTCCCTCTTCAGGTTTGGAGCTGTCCTTCTTCTGTTCACCTTAATTCCTTTTCCTTTGCCTTTTCTTTTTTTTTCATTATTGTTCTTTTTTTTTCATATTATACCCTCCCCTTCTTTCTTGCTTCCCCATTCATTCCCGGTGAAAAAGCAGCCAGCGCCTGAAGCTACACCTTGTCATACCAGGAAGCGCAAAGAGAGAGAGAGAGCCGCGAGCCCGGACCAGCGAAGAGATCACCGCATTGCTTCTCTCCTACACTTAATTACCCACTTCCAGATGTCTCGTCAATCGAGGCGGGACGTGGCTTCCTCGCCATTCGCGTGGACCACGATCTTCTACCTTCTCTTTGTCTTCATCGCTCCCTTGGCCCTGTTGGGCACAGCACACGCCGCGGAAGAGCAGGCTCCCCTTCAAGAAAACTATGGAACAGGTATGTCTCACAGAGGAGTATGAAGGCGTGTTTCAGATCCTCGTCGACTCTCTGCTAACCTCCGCAATCGAACAGTCATCGGTATCGACTTGGGAACCACATACTCGTATGCACACCCCATCAGTCCCTAATTCAGCCTTGACCCGCAGCGCTAACTGACCATGTCTAGCTGTGTTGGTGTGATGCAAAATGGAAAAGTTGAAATCTTGGTAAACGACCAGGGTAACCGAATCACTCCTTCATACGTGGCCTTCACGGACGAGGAGCGTCTGGTCGGTGATGCCGCAAAGAATCAATATGCTTCTAACCCTAAACGAACAATCTTTGACATCAAGTATGTTGTTCCGAGCTCTATAGCTCCCGTCTGCAAGGTACCTGTACTGACTGCGCTATTACAGGCGTCTCATTGGCCGCAAATTTGAAGACAAGGACGCTCAGAATGACATCAAGCATTTCCCATTCAAGGTTGTCAACAAGGATGGCAAGCCACAGGTTCGCGTTGATGTCAACGGAAAGCCAAAGAACTTCACTCCCGAGGAGGTTTCCGCCATGGTATTAGGCAAGATGAAGGAGATCGCTGAGGGATACCTCGGCAAGCCAGTCACCAACGCCGTTGTTACTGTCCCAGCCTACTTCAATGATAACCAGAGACAGGCCACCAAGGATGCCGGTACCATTGCCGGATTGAACGTCCTCCGTGTCGTCAACGAGCCTACCGCTGCCGCTATCGCTTATGGTCTCGACAAGACCGGTGACGAGCGCCAGATCATCGTGTACGATCTTGGTGGTGGTACCTTCGATGTTTCTGTCCTCTCTATTGATAACGGCGCCTTCGAAGTCTTGGCTACCGCTGGTGACACTCATCTCGGTGGTGAGGACTTTGACCAGAGAGTCATCACCTATCTTGCCAAGCAATACAACAAGAAGAACAATGTCGACATTACAAAGGATCTTAAGAGCATGGGTAAACTGAAGCGCGAAGTCGAGAAGGCCAAGAGAGCTCTTTCATCTCAGATGTCTACTCGCATTGAAATCGAAGCTTTCCATGAAGGAAACGACTTCTCGGAGACTCTCACCAGAGCCAAGTTTGAGGAGCTCAACATGGATCTCTTCAAGAAGACCCTTCGTACCGTCGAGCAGGTGCTCAAGGACGCCAAGGTCAAGAAATCTGAAATCCACGACATTGTCCTTGTCGGTGGATCTACTCGCATCCCCAAGGTTCAACAACTCCTCGAGGAGTTCTTTGGTGGAAAGAAGGCAAGCAAGGGTATCAACCCTGACGAAGCTGTCGCATTCGGTGCCGCTGTTCAAGGTGGTGTTCTTTCTGGCGATGAGGGTGCCAAGGAAGTCGTTCTCATGGATGTCAACCCCTTGACTCTTGGTATTGAGACCACTGGTGGTGTCATGACCAAGTTGATTCCTCGCAACACTGTCATCCCTACTCGCAAGTCCCAGATCTTCTCTACCGCCGCTGATAACCAACCCGTTGTCCTTATCCAAGTTTGTAAGTTTCTGCTTCCACAATCCTTTTCAGTTGACGCGCGTTACTAATGCCTTGCAGATGAAGGAGAGCGATCTATGACCAAGGATAACAATCTGTTGGGCAAATTCGAACTCACAGGAATTCCACCAGCCCCACGTGGTGTCCCGCAGATCGAGGTATCTTTTGAACTTGATGCCAATGGTATTTTGAAGGTTACTGCTGGCGACAAGGGAACCGGCAAAGCTGAATCTATCACGATCACCAACGATAAGGGCCGATTGTCTCAAGAAGAGATTGACCGTATGGTTGAGGAAGCCGCCAAGTTCGCCGATGAGGACAAGGCTATGAAGGCTAAGATCGAGGCCCGTAACAGCCTTGAGAACTATGCTTTTAGCCTTAAGAACCAAGTCAACGACAAGGAGGGCTTGGGTGGTAAGATTGAGGATGACGACAAGGAAACTGTATGACACTCCTTGCATTTGTATTCACTGTATAGCCACTTAACTAACAGCTATTGCAGATCCTTGAGGCTGTTAAGGAAGCCACCGACTGGCTTGAAGAACATGCCGCTACTGCGACAACCGAAGATTTCGAAGAGCAGAAAGAGAAGCTCTCCAATGTGGCTTATCCCATCACTAGCAAGTTGTACGGTGCTGGTGAAGCCCCTAGCGGAGAAGAGGACGAGCCATCTGGCCATGACGAATTGTAAAAATATCAAAAGAGAAACCAAAAAAAAAAAAGAGGAAAAAAAATATTCCGGCTTAAGACCTAGAGTCTACTTGTAATGTTATAAAGCAATTGAGACTTGAAGAAGCATTTTGGTGCTTCGGTATAGCTTTACGTATTCCTAAGTTCTGGAAGTTTGAAAGAATAGGCATAAAGGAGTTTTATTTTTGCATTTTTGTATGACAGATTGAATGATTAGTTAACTTTATTATTTTTATTTTTTTTTCCTGCACCATGCTGACCAACCGTGTATGGAGTCGTTAAAGTCGATCTTGCTCTCTTTTGTGTAACTGGTTTTGAGCAAAGCTCTGGACATCGGAGGATAATCCCTCCTGGGGCCACTAATATGCTAAAGGCATCGAGAATTGCTATTTATAGTGCAGTTACTCTGTATACTCCATCGTTTGACGAAATAATTTTTCTTGGGATGGAATCTTCGCAAGCCTGGTGGTTGATTGGATCCGGCCTGGCTGTGCATGACCTTACCCAAAACACCTGTAGGAAGAGTCGCTATGTGTTTGTTGTGTGCTACCCTGTTCGGCCTCTTCCAGCTGGGCTGGTTGAGAAGATGTTGTGTTGGAGATTTCATCCAGTGAGCTTTGTATCTATGTATGCATATATGCAGCCCAAGAGATATACGATACAGAGGCTGAGGAAACATAGGATCAAGGATTGAAGGAAACAATGCTATTTTCAGAAATAAAAAAAGCCGCCCAACCATAATTCCACATTATCATCACACTGGCAGTTACTCCGTAAAAATGGATTAAAAAAAAAAAAAAATGGAAACTGGAGAAAGAACAGGTTAGACGAAATTTTACTTCGTGCTATGTGACGGCGAGGGACCATAGTCAGACCTCGTGAACGCTGAGACAGACACGTTTGTTGTCTTTATGATCCCATTCCCGTTGGGATCCATAAGTTCCAGGTCTATCATGTTCTCTTCGCTTTCTGTTCGATGCATGTATCCGTCCCGCGCACCCGGTTTCACAGACGCAATGAATACGTGGTCGGCATGGTCTCGGGTCCAGGTTAAGTTCCGATTTGCCGTCGGCACAGAGCGATCACAGCGGGATTTGTGCCGCGAGGCAGTCATATATGAATGCTCGTATGGGTGGGAATTGCTTCGATCCGAGGCAGAGAAGAGGTTGGGGAAAATAAACGAGAGCGGTTGGCGGATCATGGGGAGACAGGCACAAATGATGCCTGTGTTGAGTTCGATTGTGCTCCAGACCGAAACGCCGATGGTATGCCCTGGAGATTTCTTTTTTGAGCAAAATTATGTCCAGCTAGCGTTTTGAGGACCAAGGGGTTGGGGAGATGGGGCTTACAGGTGACATCCTGGAGGTTCGATGATGCAGCAAGGCTGGTAGTTCGGATGATGCTAGTTATGCAGACACTAGATTTATGGTTAGTCCGATTAAGTAGTTCCAATGATTGCGGGACATGTGTTCACGGACAATCCACCAAGCATAAAAATCATAATAATAGAAATCTTATCTCGGAGCTTCAGCTGAAGGCGGAGCACCTGCTGCACCGGAAGCAATAGTATCATGAAGTCTGTAACTATGTTGATCAAGGCGTATGATAACCAAGTGGCATGGTTACTTATACAAACGTGCTTTATGGAACGGTCCCAGTAGGAGGCAATTGGTCTGCACTGCCAGATCGTTGGGCCGAGAAAAGCTATCCCCGATATGATTGTGAATACAATCATGGCAATACAGCACCGTGTGAAGTTCTTGGCTATCGAGAAGACCCGCACATAGAGCAATAATATCGATACTTTGGTCAGGCAAATGACCACTTTGTAAAGCACCTGGCAGACGAATAAAGCCTATGCAACGAGAACAGTTAGTTCGGAGGTCGTAGCGACCCAATAGGGTACTAGGGTCTGCTCAGAGGGAAGTCCAACTTTGAGTGCGGAGATCCTTCGATCGCGTTCGAGGTCCATAGAATGTTGCCCATATCCATAATGTATGGCTGCGTGCGTGGTTTATATCGGTCAGCTCAGAGACACGGGAATAGAGTTGTAACCGCAGAGCGTGAATAACGAACCTATATTGTGAGAAAGGGTAAACATCGCTGAAATAGTCTACCAAAAGAGTCAGTTAAGGATCGGGAGTGCGATATAAAAGGTGCAATTCGAGATCATTACCAATGAAGCGAAAATGGTCCAATCATCCATCTGGATCCCGCTTCGAACATATCTCGCGGCCAGGCGCACGATCACGAAAATCGCGGCCACCAAGACCATCACGACCCCGACGAGCCATAGCTGCAATCCTCGGTTTGGATGGCCAGGCGTAGACAGCCCGATATTTACCATTGCAAGGGTGGTATGAGGATGACCATTGAAATCGCCTCTTCATACCCTGATCTAGTCTGCAGCGGGCTTGTGAATTCAGGAACGGTATGTAGAGTTGTGCTAGACGTTCTTCATAAGTAAACCCTGACCGTCCGGTAGAGAATAGAGAGACCTAGACTCCAGAATCTAGAATGCAGGGTCAACGTCATGTCAAAGCGCCCAAACGGATAAAAAAGGCTTGTTCCCAGGACAGGCCTGGCTCATAGCTTATGAGGGTATGTATATGTGTTGGATTTTGAAAGGTGCTTTAGAGCAACATGAGGCTGCTAAAGCGGGTTCGGTCAAAAAGAATCCCCTGTTGGAGAGACCTGAAGCTGAAATACTCGGTATAAGCTGAAAGAAATGACTGGACCCCAAGCCTGGGTAATGGCCACTGTGACATTTCTCTTATTGGAACAGGGCTTGCAACCATGACTGGGCTTGGCCATTTAAGCCTTTATTATATTATTATTATTATTATTAGGGGGAGGGTGTGCGGAGCCCCGAGGACTGAGGGAGGCACAAGGATTTTTTGACGGAAAAGGAGAATCAGAGGTTGCTCGGTAAGCCTTCAGCCCATTCGTACGACCCCGGAAATGTGGGGAGGCTGGTGGGCAGGGAATATGTCTCCAAGGGTCGAACAGCGCGGACAACTTTCTTCATTGCACCCATTTATACGGAGTAGTTACATCCCCCAGGGCTTCGTCCCGGTTTGTGCCATGGGCAACTTTGGCCGTGAGCTACGCGAGTGACGCAAAGGATAGTTGTCGTGCGCAAGGGGCATCGTCAAGACGGAAATGGGATTCCCCGGCAACTCCACAGGAAGAGTTATCTAGTGCGACGAGTCAAGGAGGAACCCATCGTCGGCTTTTCAACACGGGTCAGGTCAAATGACGGCGAGCCTGCGAACGGACCAACATTCTCGCATCCAGTGGTGACTAAATTTCGGTAGCTGTTGCAGTTGTCGCATGAAGGATCAAATTTTGTTTGGCGAGAAAGGTCCCTGGACCTTGGCGAGCCAACCTTGAGGTGCAGACAGGCAGTTTGCCCAACCAGAGATTCCGTGGACCGCCGAAGTATGGGGTCGTCCTTTTCTCCACAATCCTCCTGAAGTCTCGCTGGGAGGGTTTCAATTGGGTGTTCCTCCAAGTTCAAACGAATGTCACCGCGGCTCTTGGGATCAATCTAAGAATCTCAGGCGGATAACGAATTGGAACAATCGAGCGCTCAAGAGCCGAGATCTGGCACCCGCGACAATCGCCCGCTCTATCCAGACAGACGGGAACGCTATGAACACCTTTTTCCAAACTTCGTAAGCTTAGACTGAAGCTTAAAACCGATGCTTTACCCATTCGACTAGAAGCGTCTCGCAGCAAAATACAATCACATGTGGTACAGATCCTTCAATAAAATGAAATATTCCCCTTGAAATGGCGCTCCTGTGAATGCTAGGTTTGGTTCTGATAGTTAGAGAGATGCGGAGTCAAAATGCTTGATGAACTATCTGACTTTCCAAAACGCTGATATGAAGTCGAGACGGTTAGGCTTGACACTGGGAGATACGACAGTCAAGTGTAACTTCGGGATCCCGCCTGTTAGGCTCAACTCTTTACTCGAAACCTAGTATTCCAAGAGGGGAAAAAACTGTGATGTCGCTGTTTGCCTTGCATGTGCTTTTTGAGTCTTGCGCTAGCTATCCAACTCGTCAACTATTCACCAGTGGATCAATGCTCCGGAAAGTGGTGTTGTTGAGTTCTGGTGAGAAACCCCCAACCTCAGGGCCAACGCCGCCTGGATTTCAAAATTGTGGATAAAGAGTGAGGTCGAATAACCGCGAGATGCCAAGTGGCCCAATTGAAGGGAACACTGAAGGATGGGAGGCTCTGTGCTGGCCTCTTCGAGTCTCAGTCTCACAAGCCCAAAAATAAATAAATCAGAATTAAAAAAAAAAAATAAAATAAAATAAAAGGGCGCTATGTATGCTGGGTATAATCTGCAATGACATAATTTGTGTGTAGCGGGGTCAAAAAATCACTGCAAGCCAGAAAATTGAAAAATCCATTAAAACCCCCCGCCTGTTCAAAACATGAATCTTCTTCATACTGTCTAGATCAATAATCCGCTATAGGCTTTGCAGTGATCGTGGGACAGTAGAAAACTGGCCTTTACAGAGTAGAGAAAAAGAAGACTGCCAAAAAAAAAAAAAAAAAAAAAAAAAAAAAAAAATTAGAAACGTAATTTTATCACAGATCCAAATCATGTCACATAGCATTTATGCTTCATAAACCAGAGAAAAGTAACAACCTGCCATCGTACGTTCATCATTCAGGGTCATACTGCAGGGCAGAAGGGCGTCAAGAAGAGCTTAATTTCTGGGGGCGCGTTCGTAAAACACCAGATACGCCTGTTCGCTCTGAAGGCAATCAGACGATCCTGGGTTGCCAGGTTGAAAATCTGTGACACGATGGTCGTCAAACTTGCGCCAACAGTCGCGATTAGCGTCCCGAACCAGAGAAATGTAGTGGCCTTCATGGATTGTCGATCCCAAGTGTCGCACAACGGCATAGGCATTGTAAATGAACGGAGAAGACGTTGCCAGGTCATTCGGCGAAAGTTCGGTCTGAGATTGTGACACTGCAGACGTCTGGGCGGGATTCCCATTGGGTTGAGGCTGAGAAGGCGGAGTGGAAGGGGGCTGAATCATAAAAGGAGTCATGTCTAAGCCTGAGAGTGGGAAGTACACCGGTGTATGTATCTTGCGAGCTTGTTGGCGGTGAGATGCGGAAAATCGCTTAAAATGGAGGACAAGAAACTGGGGCGCACGAGTCAGGATGATTTGCTTCGTGGCCTCTCTCTCAGTGCGACAATGAGGGCATTTCCAAACTTCATCCCCGCTAAGCATCTCCTCTTGACAATAACTGCGGAGACATTGGTAAATGTCGCCCTTCCCGGATGGTGGGATCTCTACGCTGATGCTATAAAAAGCCTCGTAGGTAGTAGAGGTACGCCGACACGTCGTACAACGTAAGCGACTTGCATGTTGCCCGGCGAAAAGACTAGATATATAAGAGAATTCACGGTGGCAATATCGGTTCCATTCGATTCCCGAGACTTGATGTATTGGCATTCGCTCACGGCGCATTTCTTGTTCTGTTGTCAGTGGACGCAGGGGAGTTCTTTGCCAGTTTACATTAAGATCTTCGTGCAGGCAGTCGACAAGTACATCGAAAAACTCCTTGGCATCTTGCTGCTGGCTACCCGCCCACTCGGAATTCAAGCGTCCAATAAATTTTCGGAAAGAGGTGGGCCGAATGACTTCAACATCATTCTTCCACAACGACCGTACTAGGTTGGCATAAAGTCCCGGTAGAACACCTTGTGAGCCCTTCCAGTTCTTTTGAACGACAGTATGGAAATGATTATTGAAGAAGAACTTGGTCAGCTCGGTTGTTGCGCTTAAACTCTGAATGATCGAATTCATATAGCAGGTTGATCCAAAGTTAACGAGGCCGGTTCGAGGAAGTTTAATACGATCAAGTGGAGAACTGGCTTTATACAATGCATGCTTCGTGGCAGAGGCTTGACGTGCAAAAGAGGGTTGGATATGTCGGCCATCAGTAACACCGCTATAAGATGGACGGGGCACCGCTGGTGGCGGCCGAGAAGGATGTGCGATTAGTGGCTCATGGAATTGAGTGGATTGATGGTCGGTCATGGGAAGACCAGCCATAGACTGTCGAATGTCTCCGGGTTCAGGAAACCGTCGAAGGAAGTCTTCATACGAATGAACAAAAGAGGAGCTCAGTTCGGCTTCAGCCGATTCGAGGTCTTCGGGTTCCTCAGTAATAACGCCATCACCTGCACCATAGCTGGATGGATCGATCTCTTCAGTCTTTGCCTTTTCCAGCCACGCCCGTTCTTCCTCTGGGTTCAAAGGTTTGAATTCACGTAATCTCCTTTTCTTCACCTCCCAGCTTGAATTGGCACTGGCAGTTGGCATCCTCCTCAATGGCTGGTACTTTCCCGGAACGGGTTTGCGTGCCCGTACAGAGTGCATAATAGCTGCGGTGTGCGTGGTTGATAGTGACTGCTGACCGACAAGGTCCACCCAAGCATCCAGTCCTCCGACAAGAAAAGCTGGCTGTCGGCCATATTTGAGCGGCTTATACATATTAAATTCGTATAGTGTGTCGTAAAGAGCTCTAAGATGAGGCACAGCGCTCGACGCTGGAGAACCAGAGAGGTATGACGGATCACTTGTATTTTGATCGTAATACACAATGAGATCAAATTCGTTCCGCTTGGAAAATAGTGATTGTTCAGCTTCTGGTGATATTACTAAACGATCCTCGAGCTCTTCCGCGGACATGTTTTCCTTGAGGATGACCGGCTCGATACATATTATAGACTTTGAATATATATGGCCACTGTCATACTGATCTCGCGGACGGACATCGATAAGCAGAATGTCGTATTTTCGCAAAAATTGCAGTAAATCTTCAGCGGAAATTGATTCACCGACAGTCATATCTGCTGTATTATTCCTTAGCTCTCCTTCTGCATTCATACCGTTCGGGGTACGGGATCGATATGGGTTATCATCAACGACGGTAAGAGTCTCGTTCGATACACCCATCCAAGAAGAGGATTGTCGGCAGGATACAGGGCGAATGCTATCAACGGAAGTCCTGGGAGGATTCGGAGGCGGTTGGGATGGGACGGTAGTCACCGGACTATATGCAGGGCTAGGAACTCTTGGAAGGGATGGTTCAACCGATGAAATGGGCACTTTCGGGGGTGGAGCTGGGGGGTCAGTACGATGAGAATTCATCTCCCTGGGGCCCAGTGGGCGAGGAGGTGGTGGATCCAACGCTGAGCGAGGGCGCGAATGCGAGAGAGGTTGGGATGTATGAGAGTCTGCGGACGGAGGAGCCCAGGTGCCATTATTTAGAGTTGTACCACTATAGTCGATTGGAGTCCTCTTTATGTGCGAATTCCTTAACTCGGCAAATCGCTGCGTGAGAGGATCCCGCATCGTTGTTTTCTCCTCTGTAGGCTTCCCCATTAGATTTTCCGGTTTGGGTTTCACTTCAGGTTTGATTTTCCTCGACGGTGACCCTGGCATTTGCAGTATTGCTGGTATTGTCGGCGAGCATTGGAAGCTTGAGGGACTTGGCATGCGAATGGGGATATCGCGGGGATCTTGCGCTGCTTCGTAACGAGAGGATTCCGAAGGCAGGATTGGCGAAGCATTATAACCCCCCGAATTTGGCCGCGACTGGCTGGACTCATGACCGTAGCTCGGATTATGCTGCGAACTAAGCTTCCGCTTGATATTCTCCATGGTAGCGTGTTGGGAATTGACAGCCTTGGCCCAGGTTAGCAAGGTGCAAGGGTAGAATCAAAGGTAGAAAGAATCTCAACGGGATTGCTCACCATCATAAGCCCCGAGAACTGGCCTGCCCACCGTGGATGGTGACGGTTCATGTAACTGAAGTCCGGGTGGTTTGGAATTACATTGATGACGACGTCCGATGCCCGAAGATATTGCACAAGCGCAAGATCTAGCTGCCCTTGTTGTGCTAATATCTTCGATTTCTGGATCGCATCCTCGGAAATTCGAACTAGTTCATTCAGCTATCGTAACAATAACCGTTAGTTGGAGTCAAGGTGGGGGTCGAATCTCCCCGTGCTGATATGAGGTTGCCTACTGGAACATCTCCGTTTAGATTTAATGACGCGGCCATATCCTGCAATGATTTCATATCCAAATATTGCCTATGCGTCACGTCCGGGCCGATGCCAGCTTGATCACCAAAATGCGGACCAGCGACATTGTTATCCGCCACTGCTCCCCGCATAGCGTCTCAGGAAGCGTCCGTCGGGGAGGGGCTTGGTACGTTTGGTTTGGTGCTGATTTCCCGAGATCTCCACCACGAAACACTCGATTCAAGCAGTGAGCAAGGAAAACATTTTGCAAACAGGTCGATGGATAGATAGGTGGATGGGGTTACTAGTAAAGTGTGGTGTTGGACTCGGCTTGGTTAACAGCAAACAAAGAGCTGGAAGTGGGTACGTTTTGCAGTCCTCCGTAGCGACGGTAGCAATCAAACCAAATATAGTCAAGTTGGGATGTGGGAGGACCGCATAGGCGGTAAGAAACCTTGCAGTTAAAGGTCCAGGGAGCAAAATATCGACATCGTCAGACCTGCTGATGCTGGTGCTGATGCGGCCCTTAAAAACCGCCCAGTCCCAGTTGACCGACTTAGCCGCGCGGAGGCAGCGATCTTCGGCTGATTAGTAGCCACGGCGCCTAGCCACCCAATAAGACCGCAGAGGCTGCCACTCCTTTAGTTACATAAGCCATTTCCCGCTAGCTTGGTCATGTGATATTTCCCGCGGTTGTCTGGAACACAGCGCCATCCATGTGCCATCACAGGCTGCTTTGGCTGCACGCGCACGTCCTACAGCGTAGTATCAATATTCCGCCGTTGTTAATTCCGAAGTAAAGGTATCTGAATGCTTCTGCCTTGTCTGCGTACATAACACGTCCCCACTAGTTTTTGCCCGCGCCTTCTCGTATACCGTTTTGCGCGCCTTGACTGCGGAGTAATTTGTTGTGGTCAATTTACATCACTCTAACCCAGTGTCGTCATCCTCTCTGAAGGATCCAAAGACAACACCATCAACCCGAGCCTGAGAACATAGCCACCCCCCTTCCTGCCTTCAGAATTTCCACCAAGAGCTTGTTCAGATCTCGGCAAGGAGGTCCCATCAGCGAATACTGTCACCATGGCAGGCTGGTTTTCTTCAGTTTCTCCGTTCGAGGAGCAGGTCGAGAAGGCAACGGCTTCATCCCTGTTAGTATCAGAACCTCCGGTTGCGACTCGCCTTGGGCTAACATCCCTTGCAGAGAAGACATCGCGTTGAACCTGGAAATCACAGACTTGATCCGATCAAAGACCGTACAACCGAAGGAAGCCATGAAGGTGTTGAAAAGGAGACTAGAGAACAAGAATCCGAACGTTCAGCTGGCAACCTTGAAGGCAAATTCCCCATGACTCCGCTACTATCTATGACTACTGCTGATATTCGCGCTCCAGTTGACAGATACGTGCGTAAAAAACGGTGGCCGACATTTCCTTCTCGAGATATCGTCCAGAGAATTTATGGACAACCTAGTTTCGCTGCTGAAAACCGAAGGTCCCAACGCCCTCAACGACAGCGTAAAGACGAAGATACTGGACTTGATTCAAAGTTGGGCACTTGCAACTGAGTCGCGCAGTGAACTGGCGTATGTGGGAGAGACATATCGGAAATTGCAATGGGATGGTTTCCAGTTTCCACCCAAGACAGAGCTGGCCAGCAGCATGCTTGACAGCAGCGCAGTAAGTCCACAAAGCCATACTGGTCCGTTTCCCTGTTTAGGCGGATGCTAACGGCCTTTGAAAACGAACAGCCTCCTGAATGGATCGATTCCGACGTATGCATGCGATGTCGAACACCCTTTACCTTTACCAATCGCAAACATCACTGCCGTAATTGTGGCAATGTCTTCGACGCTCAGTGTTCCAGCAAAACCTTGCCCCTACCGCACCTGGGGATTATACAGCCGGTGCGGGTGGATGACGGCTGTTACGCGAAGCTGACGTCCAAGTCGTTTAACCCTCCAGGTGTATCGAACCGACCCGGCTTCAAGTCGCCGAAGACAAGTGCTCGAATGGAGCCTCGAGGGGGTCGTGCTGAAGCAGATTTCGATGAAGATCTCAAACGCGCTCTTCAACTGAGCCTTGAAGATGCAAAGGGTAAATCGTCGAGCGGATATGTCCCGCAGTCGAAGCCGACTCCTCGCGCTACTCCTTCTAAAACGAATGGAAATGTCAACGAAGAAGAGGAAGATTCAGATCTAAAGGCGGCTATTGAAGCTTCCCTTAAGGATATGGAAGAACAAAAGAGGAAGCACACTGCTGCATTAAAGAACTCGACATCTCTAGAGACCCCGGGGCCGGGCACATCCGCCACTGTTCTCGCTAAAAAGGACTACGAGTTAACTGCAACTGAGGCGGAGAAAATCAATCTGCTGGCGACTCTAGTAGACCGACTCCAGCATCAGCCACCGGGAACGATATTAAGGGAGCCCCAGATTCAGGAATTGTATGAAAGTATAGGCGCTCTGAGGCCCAAGCTAGCCCGGACATACGGCGAAACGATGAGCAAATACGGTAGGTCCTTTCTATGTTGAGAGCGATAATGTCAACACTGACAATGAGAAGATACTCTTCTAGATTTACATGCTAAGCTGTCGACCGTTGTTCGGTATTATGATCGAATGCTAGAAGAGCGACTTTCGAACACCTATGCACAGCAAACCTTGGGAGCGTACGATTCTCTACAGCCAGCCCAGTCATCGACGAATTTGTACCCATCCATGTCTTCACACATTTCAGATAATCAAGGAGGCGCGGAAAGTTTCTACCTTGGGTCCGGTCCTGATCGGCAATTTCCACATGCTTACCCCCCTATGAGCAGGCAGTCATCGGTGGACCAGTATGAGCAACGCTCCCCGTCGGCAGCGGCTGGTACTGCCCCGGGAATGTATGCGCGCCCCGTTTCACAGTATAATCCCCCTCGCCAGCCATGGAATCAACCCGCAGATGCCAACCCCCAAATCCCAAGCCCCCATCAAAACCGCTCGCTATCATATTCAAACCAACCCCTTCAACATGTAGCTGTAGGTGGTCAGATGAAGCAGGACTCTGCCCATCCCACCGGCCAGCAGCCACCGTTCGCGGAGGGGCAATACCCCCAGTCGCCCGTTACATTCCAGAACTCTCAATACTCGCAACCCATTGCAGCGGCGGCTTCTTCAGGCCAGCAACACCCTCCGTCTAGAACTGTAGCGGAACCCTTGGCTTCGCCTCCACCTGCAATGCAGTCGACGCCGTCATATGCGTTCCAAGGATCCCAGAAAGGTGGGCCGTATGAGCCTACTTTCGATACGACCAGCCCACCAGTGCAATATACCGACCAGTACCACCAACCGTCGTACCATTGGCAGCAGACGACTTCGGCCACACAGAATGCGTACCCTGCTCGCCCCATAAATGGCACTCAAATATCAGAAGATACCTCCCTCCCAACGCCACAATCGCCGTATCAGTTGCCACTACAGCCACAGCCCAAGCCGGTTGAAGAGAGTCTAATTGAGCTGTGATCTTGGGTTCTCCGCTAAGCAGCAAGATAGAATGATTGTGGGCTACTGAATGTCTTCGGGAACTTTGGTAGGTTGATACACTTTTTTTAGCCTGTTAATGACGACACTATTGATTTCTTTTGGTTTGTCTAAGCATATAACTGGGAAGGTTATGTCAGATACATACATTATGTATGCATGTACTTATGTTCTATGAACCAATATGGAGTATTTGAGGGCATCTTCTTACTACGGTAGTCCTTTTCGCTGTGAGAAGTTGGGGTTGTGACCAGCTATCCTCAATAAGTTAGACATGGCTGCAGTGACCCAGGTGCCTTTTCTCTGTAACTAGTTGAAAAGGCCCCCTAACAGCCAGCAACATGGCGAGATTCATCTTTGTTGACGCTTGCAACAAGTGCGCTCTGAAACATGATTCCTTTCGCTTGCAGTCCAGGCTGGGCGGTCCGCTGTACTCCGTAACCAGTTAGTTAACTAGTTAACTCATTACTTAACTAAATATCACGTGCAATCCCTCACCGCTTTTGGGGCTTTTGCCCCAGCGGCCGATGCAGCGACGACAAAGGACGGCGAGCAGTCGCTTTGTTCTCATCATCGTTGGCTTGCTGCTCCTCCTCTCCCACCAGCTGAAAGGTCTTCCGGTATTTTATCTGGAGCCGATATCACTCGTCCTTTTTTGGGGTTATTCAATGCTTGCAGATTGGCTTCCTCTTGCTGATGCAGTGCTCTCGTCATTTTGGTACCCGACTGTGACCTCATTCGCCTGTTCGCTGGCCAATTGTCCATCCCGTTTCGTCGAACACAGCCTTGCCCAATTACGTCTCAACGCGCTTAGCCCGAGATATCGACTCTCTTGGAAGCCTCTATCACCTTCCCAGCACCGTCCTCGCTCTCGGTTGACCCCCCTGCCCGACGCCGTTTCATTCACAATTTTCCCTGCTGGGGATTTTCCGCAGATGCAGGATCAGTCTCGTTGAACGAACCGCTCGCCTAACCAACTGCATCAAGAACTGTCGCCATGCCATCGAGCCATTCTGTTTCGCCGGTTAAGCGCTCGGTCTCCTCACCGCAGGCGCCGCCGGACCACTCCGCGATGTCCCGTCATTCTTCGTCCACCACTGCAGCCCATCAACCCCAGCCCCACAAGTCAACGGTCCATAAATCACACCGTCCGTACGTCGTCGGTACCCATCGCGTGCATGGACGGACGCAGTCGCATAAGAACTTAAATAAACTGCACAGATTGGCCCTTGTGCATAATTTGGCTGTTGATGGGGTGGCCGCTCCCCCGACCCCCTTTCGTCATCAACGCAAAAAGTCCGCCCCCGTCTCACCATCAACCAGTCCGCGAACAAACCAGAACCACGTTCGGTGGAATCAGTCGACAATACCGCTTACGGCCGCGTCTCCTAACACCACAGTGAGAAAAAATTTGTCCACTCCTGCGCTGAGGCGGAATGGATCTGGGATACTCGTCAAGAAGACTCATGTTGTGAATCAAACTGAAAAGGCCGAGACTTCTGAGAAGAAAACGGTTGGATTCACGCTCGTGGACTCAGACGGCGAGGACGAATGGGAAGACCACAGCTCCATTTCAGCTTCCAGCACAAGGCGTAACTCCATTGTATCAGCAAAAATGAATGGACAGAATAGCCTCACCGCCTCTGTCTCCTGCGCGAAGTCTCCCCTTGTCCAGGAGAGTCACAATACGGATATTAACGACAGGAATGTCCCACGTCAAGAGGAGCAATTACAAAAAGGTCACGCCCGTGACAAGGATGCCGTTTCTGAGGCACCGTCGGATCAAACACGCGCCTCAGACCAACACCTTATCGCATCACGCATCTTACACCACCCCCATTCTTCGAAAGTTCCCCCCGCAATATCTTCCATATCCGCCACAGCCACCCCCTTGCCCTCTGACCGAAGCCCTCGTTCCTCTTCCTTTGCGAATTTAGCTTCCAGCCTTAACGCTGTGAGCCACTCCCCCGCTCCATCTACTCTATCATCGATGGCGATGAATAACCCCCATGCTGCGTCCTCGTCTGCCGAGGGAGGTGTATCGCGTTTCTTGATCAACAGTACTGGCCCTCGGACCGACCCGCGTTTCAGCTCCGGCCCTTCCACTCCTTCATCTTTCCTTCCACATTATCATCCGCAATCACCACCTTCTCCCGAATCAACTGCTCTCAAACGATCGAAGTCTCCCAAGCCCCCCAACAATGGACCCATCGAGCCGCATTCTCGTACCCAGCAAAAGCTTTGGCTTCAAAGAACAGCCACGATGTCCAATTCCCCTCCCGATACATTCATTCCTGGGATACCTGCGACCTCTACGATCGATTCCAATTACGTGGCAGGCGCTCAGAGCCGCCCGGGTACCGGTGGCTATGGGCCCGATGGTCGTCGATTCATGATAGGAGCGACTGGATCTACCGGAGTATCGACCGACGGCGAAATCAAGCGCTCTCGAAAGATATACGATAGGTTCACAACGGAATATTCTGTCGTCCATCGCTTCAAAAACCCGGTTGTCGACAGTTTTAAACGATTAAGGCAGATTCCAGGTTCCAATGCCGGTGGAAAATTGACAAGAGTTAACTCCGCCCGTGACCTGGTCAACGGCCATGATCCGTCTCGCCCTCAATCTCGAGAGGACATGCTGTCTGCGACTGCAATGGAAGAAGCCGGTGTTGGAAGCCAATTTTTAAGCAAGACCCATTCCATGAAGCAAAGTCAAGTCCGGTTTCAAGGGCAAGATGGCATCGTCCATGTTGGAGAGGTTGAACAAGGCGTCGAGCGATTACATCTGGAAAACCCTCCCTCCAGGACGTCCGTACATACTGATGGGAATACATACGGACAACAAATCGATGATCATGGCGACGTACGTACTGACAGTGCGTCGTATCATCCTACTGAAAGCGAACTATTGATTCGAAGGATGTGGGAAAGCAGAGAGGTCCCTGTAGCGGGAGAATAACCCGCGTATCTAACGGTGATGACTCTAATCTCCGATGCCTTTTTTTTGGTTAAATGCCCAGTTTCTTCCCTTCTAGCCCATATTCCTCCCCCCCCCCCCCCCCCCACCCCCGGGTTTTTTCTTTCTTTGTTTTGCATATGGTTGGTTAGCGGTTGTGCATTGCTTTTCTTTAGATTGCGGACTAGATAACCTAGGTTTTACCGTCAGTTACACTCCTGACTGGCTTTAGTGTATGGCATGGGATTTTATGGGATATTATCGCGTTACTTACGTATGTGCTCTGTCGGATTCTCACTAATTTGGAATCCGAGACTTGATGTTTGATATTGGGTTTCTCCGGCTACTCTTTCACAGGTTGGATAATTATCAACTATTGATCTGCTTTTTCTTTAATTTCCATTTATTATTGTGTTTTGGCTCCAGAGCGCATTATGTATATGGGCTATACCAGCGCTCTCATGCTCTTTCAAGCCTCTTTTCCTTTTAATCAACATTGAGCAGCCCAAAGGGCCGCATCCTGATCAGCTCTGAAATATGTGAAGAATCGTGGAAGTGTTTGTATGATACATGTGTAAGTACTGTATGGCGTCGACAATACACCTTAAACTTGTACTCGAGCCTCAACCCCACACAGGTGCCCAAAGTCAATATCATCAAGCACCTCAAGAAACTCCCTTTCAACACCTATAGACATACATAGCTATACACGTATTTACAGAAGCAGTATTGCAAATGAGAATGGGGTACTCCGTACGGAGTATATTATCAACACCATGCATTAGTACAAAAGAATTTGCCCCGCAACGGATAGCTTTTTGTTTATAAGACTCATCTCATAAGCAGCCAAGGCGGCAATTAACTTTTTTTCCCCTTCCAGTCTCTACTGCTGCGCTTGTGAAGCTTTCCCTCTTCCACGGCCAGAACCACGACCACCAGCGCCACCAGAGCGGGTCGGACCACTTCCCCTGCCACGATCATTAGTCCGCCCGTTTCGCTGCTGACGGTGGCCAGACCGTGCATGCTCGCCACCAGCAGCGCCAGGAGGAGGCTCGGAGGGGGCAGAAGTCGCCCGTTCGGTGTTATTTTTATCCGCAGTTCGGGAATCGCGGCCACGTCCGCGACCACCACTACCACCACCGCCTGCTCCTCCTGCTGCTCTGCCTTTACTCCTCCCTCTTCCGCTACCCCTAGTTCGACTAGTGGAAGCAGAAGCAGCTGCAGCTGCAGCGATAGCAGCGGCTTCTTCCTCCATCACACGCTTACTCTCAGCATCCCACCATTCCTGGAACTCCTGTTCGATCTGGATGTCGTGAAGGTTATGTTTTGCTGTTACAGCTTCGCGAATGATATCTTTCTCGAACTGCTGCTGTTCGAGAATCGCGGCAAGGGGGAGTGGGGGTGAAGCAGAAAATTTAGGTGTCGTTGAGGGTACCGTGTTCGTATTCGTTCCCGGTTTATGTTGGTTGGTACCGGGTTTAAGGCTGGGGGATGACGATGACTCAGGTTCATCATTTGATGGAGGAGGCGGTGTTCCAGCGACGGTCTGGCGGAGAGTTAAGGGGGCCTTGCTACTCGTTCGCCGTGGTACCGAAGGCAGATCCTCTTGTTCTCTATCTGCAGTAAAAGGACTTTGAAGCTTCCTCCGAGGAATTTGCCATGGCGATGGTGATTCGGTTTTGGACGGCTCTGCTTCAGTGGAAGCTTCCTGCATCTGCTGCTGTTTCATTTTCTTTCGTTCCTTTTGTGAGAGCTTAGAGGGAGCAGGTCGGGGTGCATCTGTTTCGCGACGCGAGTTAATATAATGCGACAATGATGCACTCGAGAACCCTGCAGCTTCAGCCATGATATCTTTTAAGCCCGCTCTTGGAGTAGCTGTGAAGGGTCCCCATGGGGCGCCGGCAGGTCTGTGATTCTTATCTGAGCTCGGCTCATACGTTATAACAGCTGGTGTTGCATGCCCCTCAACTCGAGAAGTAGCGTTGACGGAGGGAGATTTAGCGCTATCCGATGCGGCTACTCTTGACAAGGCATGGCTAGCGGATTTTAGGCTATCGGTATCGAGTTTATAGTTCGGAGTATAGTGAGCCGCAGGGATAGCACTGGAAGGGAGGACCCCCTCGTCATCCATAGGAAATATCAAATCCCCGGCGGATGGCTTTGATTTAAGAAGGGGGCTCTCCATGGACGATTTTGAATTCAAATTTTGAAGAGACGATTTCTTTTTCGCGGAAGGTGAGAGGCAACCATGATTCTCAGTGCTTCCAACTTTGAATTTCTCCTCCCGTTCTTCATCTTCATATAAGTGAGAGCGCAACCTCATAGAATCGATTCGACGCTGCTTATCCTGTTCAAGTCGCGATACTATCTCCGGATACTTCTCTATTACATACTCTTCGGTATTCCTCCATCTTGAGATTGGCTGGCAGGTCATCTGGTTTTGACGACAGGTTTCATTGAGCTCATCAAACAAGTCGGGATCCAGCCTGTCAAGAAGCCTAGGGAGGACACACAAAGATCGTTAGTCCTGACCTTCATTCCAAGATACCTAGACGTAGTCACCTGTTTTCAAGAATAACCTCGAGATTGAGACAAATATACTCGAGTGCAGCTCGTTTGAAAGCGGGGACGGAACAAGGAGCGACCGCATTCAAGTAAGGAACCACATTCCGTATATCAACTGATCCTGTTAGCGAATTCAAAGAAGCATAGAATGGGACCAAACGTACCAAAACTTCCTAGCAACTTTTGACAGACATGCGCCAACCTATCAATCATAAGTTCATTCGCAACGAACATAACATCAATGATGATATCAATAAAGTCATCCAAATTGTTAGTTTGGACATCTTCAAAAAGGTCATCATCGGTGTCCGCGTATATGTGACGCAGCACAAATTTGAATATTCCCGGGTCAATATGCTTGAGATCGACGCGGATTACGTCAACAGAGTCGGAGAACCTTTCTTTCCGAGACGATAGCCAGCGACCGCCAGCTCGACCGTTAAACAACGCATCGAAGAAAGGACACCGCTGACAAAGAATAGGCCCGTGAGCTCTGACTTCTCCACTGTAGAGGTCAATTATCACGTCCCCACTGTCAAAAAAGGTAGGTTCTAAAATTGCATGCTCCATGTCAAGGTTCAAACATGGCTTCGGCGGTATCATCAACCTTGCAGCCCTTTCGAGGCTCTTTAGATCAAGCTGTGTCGCTAGCTTGATCACTTCAAGGCGTACTTGGCGGTACCTTGGGGCGTTGTTCGCATCGTGTCTAATTCGGTTCCAGACGCTATACGTGTGGTCGGTGTAAATGAATAAAACAAGGTTAAAGACGGACAGGATGTCAAAGTTTTGGAGTTGGATATGAGCTTGTCCATCACTGTCGTACTCAATTGAAAGGAGATCAGGAACTGAATAGTAATACGATTTGCGGAATTCCGAAAGCGCATGTCTAAGGACGGGACTTCTGGCGGCGAGTGCGAATTCATGGACCGGGATTCGAGCATCCGAGGAAGTTGACGAAACCCAAACAAGCGCTGGGAATCCATCTAGGGGATTATGAACCTGCAGCGTTTCCTTCAACTCATCCTCAAGTTCAGTCGGCAACAAAACCCTTTGGGCGTCCAGCCCAATTCCATTTGGTGTACCGGTAATGCTGGCTGGAGCCATAATGTCCTCAAGAACGTGCCTACTAAGAAGATCTTTAAACGGTAAAAGAGGCCAAATGTCATGCCAAATTGTACGATCTTCCACAACGATTTGAGTTTTGGTCACATCGTAACCACGCTGGGCAGCAGCATACGCTCCAAAAGCATTGCTTCTAACCGCAACCACCCGAGACAAACCAGGGATGCGAACGAATTTGTAGTCCTTGGTCTGACGTTCGCCAAATGTAATGGTTCCCGTATCCTTCAAACGACTTCGGGGTTCTTTCCGCCACGCCGAGCCAGACTCGGTGCATATGATGATCGAACCGTCCTGGCCGACGTCGACGTCTCGCACTGCCATGTGCGATTTTCTGAGGGACCACACACGCGAAGGCTGGGGAAGCGAGTTTCTGATCTTAGACGGATTCGTCGTCGAAGACGAAACAGAATGCGTGTCCGCTTTCCGGTTGACATTCACGGTATACACCTCTCCAAAACTCGACAGGGCACAGATTGTATTTCCACCACCGCTGATTTTAGTGACGAAATTAGCGGAGAGCCCATATCTTGTGGCCGAGAAGCTATCCTTAATGAAAGAAGAGGCACCATCGAGAGGGAAAGTGAGCTTGGAGTACCCATAATGGGTGAAAACCCACACTTCATGATTCTCTAAAAGAACTGCTGTTGCACGATCGATAGCTGATACCATAAAAATGGACTGGTTGAAAAGTGATGCGCCAACCTTTCGCGGGATCACTTGCATCTCGAGCGAACGCGCATCAGCATCTATCAGGCCAAGTTGCCCTTCATTTTTCCCAAAAGTGTAGATGGAGGTCGATGTATAGACGACGGAATGGATGGCGGAAGCCGCAGCACCGATAATAGTTTCCTTCTTGAACGGGTTAAAAATCTGTCTTGGGGTAGTTTGGACGGGTGAATCGTCCTTTTGGTTCGTGCGCGGGAGACTGTAGCCAAGCTGTCCGTACTTATTGCTGCCCCAAGTGAATACTTCTCCCAGGTCCGAAATTGCAATGGAGTGGTCCTGGCCCAGGGCGACGTTGATGATCTTTTTCCCCGCTATTCCTCCTCCTTCAATGCAGACAAAATTGAATCTGGTAGCTTCGTCGCCTGTGCCTAATCTCCCACCAGGCCCGAACCCACACATGTATAGGTTCGATTCTGGGTCATTGGTAAGGATAGCGGTATGCAGCTTGGACATTACAACATCTTGGAAAACCATCGGCAGACTGCGGATCTTCATGGGCAGTTCGTCGGCAAACCCAGCATCAATCCTTCCATCAGTCGCTTTCATACCCTGCTCTTCCCTCAGAGCCTCACGCTCGTGATAGAACCTGTAAAGGAGATGGTCGGGACGAGTCAAATGGATCCGTTCCGGAAACTGCCGGTCATCTCCGTCTCCAATGCCGAGAGAAAGATTCTTGTTACTGCCGAACGTGAAAATCTCGTCTCCCAAGACGTTTACAAGCGGCTTCAACTTTCCTCGAGAGACATTTCTCTCGGTGTCATCAAAGGCGGATGAATCTGCGGTCGACGTGTCGTCTCCAGAGAGCAAAGCAGCTTCGGAGGTCTCATTTATGTCTCGCGCCACGATCGTCGAGCCAAACAGGTCGAATGGGCTGTTTCCTTCCCGATCCTTTATCTTGATGAGCCCACCGGAGAGGTGATGCGCTCCGCTAGATGCTCGGAAGCTTGTAGCGTCCTTGAGATCCCGTGCGATCAGAGCCTGTGCAATCGTCGCATTTCCCGCATAGAGGGCCCGATGCAAGGCCGTCCAGCCACTCTCCGCGTCCTGTGCGTATATATCGAGCAAGGGAACCTCGAGGAGGGCATGCGCGAACTCTAAAGCCGACTCTTTCTGGGACGACGCAGCGAGGTGTAGGAGCGTGCGCCCATGTTGGTCCCGGGCATTCACGTCAGCCCGCGTGAGGACGACCGAGGGAGCTTGCGGGAAGGGCGGTCTTTCCTGCAGCGGAGAGGTCGCGAACGATCCGGGGAATCGCTTTATTTTGGATGAAGCAGGGCTGGGCGAGGATCCTAAGGCGGCGCCGGGGCTGATACTGAATTTGGAGGAGGTGACGGCGAGGATTGCTCCATTCTTATTTCCCTGCGAGTAACTGGCGTTTGCCAGAAGCCCTTTGAAGCCTTCGACGTCATCCTGGAGGAAATACTGCCACAGTTTACTGCTCATGTGCCGCTCCGTGATTTTGATGGTGTGGAATTATTTCCCCCTGTTCCGCCCCGGAGCAAACGCGCAGTGACACGGCTCACGGCGGGTTTTCTAAGATGCTCGTTCGGGGCACGGGGATTCTCACGGTAGAGAGGGGTAAAAAGGGGGGGAGGGTGTCTGGAGGAAGAGTCAATCGCACTGGGCGAAGGCAGCAAACGGGTGTGATTGCGGCAGGAAAAGAACGGGAGGGCTGAACAGTCATTTCCTTTGTCTGGTGGTGGTTGATGCTAGTGGTGGAGGAGGGCGAGGGGATGACTCACTGGCGCGACCAAGGGGGAGAGAGGGGAGGGACGAGGCTCGGCGAGTGGTGGTCAAGCGTAGAGACTCCTCCTTGAGTGTGGTGCGATGCGAATCCGTTGGCTGGCGCAGGATGACGATGCGGTCGAGATCAGCCCTTGTCCGGTATTTAAGTTGAGCGGAGGAGAGAGAGGCAGAGCGCGGGCAAGCTGTGAACTTGGTGTCGTCGTCGGAGAGCCATGGGAAGGCCAGCGAGACCTGCTTCCAACCTTTTTTGACTTGCAGCAGCAGCGGCGGCGGCGGGCGGGATCGGAGAAGGAGTTTTTGCGTGCGGCCAATCAGGGCGCAGAAGTCCCTCCATGCGGCCAGATGACAGGCCCAAAGACGCGATGGAGAGCGTCTGAAGGCCGGATATTCGCGCACGACAAGCTCTGTGCGATGGCAGGCCGTTTGCAGCGCTGCCAGTGCTCAAGCCGCCCGCTCTGTGGTGGCACGGAGCCGTGGTTGGGTGGGGGGGGGGGGAGATGCGATGGCGTTGGGTCAGTGTGCAGGGCAGCCACTGACGGTACATATCCATACGTATACGGAGTTATATGTATGCCCTCCATCCAGGCCAGATAATCCGATCGACACTGAGAGACAAGTGAAGTAACCATTGCATTCTCTACATTGATGAGCGGGTTTATACGGATCTACAACAGATACTGAATGCGGTACGGAGTGCACACTGTCGCGCTGCGGCCCGCCTTTCCAAATGATTCGCAAGGGTACAGGGCGAGCGATAGGATCCAGATTTATCATTCATCGAAAACAAAGCCACTCACGTTTTCGATATTCCACCCGGCAACTTGGTCTCGAATGTGCTGTCAAGGTTAGTCAAGCGGTGGGCAGGGGATATTCGCGCGTGATATTCTCCCCGACGGACGGTCCCAGGAACGCTCATTCCCATAGAGTTTCGCCACCTCGGGCCCAACAGCGCGCGTCACCCGATTGCGCTTTCAAAAGGGCGATCGATTTTATACTAACAGCTTAACATCCGATCGATTCAATTAAGTAGGCTGGCCGTCGAAGGAGCTGAAGTGAATTAATTGCCACTTTTATCGGCATCGGCATCGCCAGTATGAGAACAGCGTTGTCGGCACGCGTTCCGGCCGAGGGAAATTCGGGACGGGAGCCGGACCAACTAACTAAGCAAGGTATTCCTCCATAGCCTGTCTAACGCGGCTCGACCGGACATACCTTTGCCTTGTGCCGAAAGAACCTTTGGAGTACATGGAAGCAAGATGTGTCTTGAAGAATCTAGTGAGTATATATGTAGTTAAGATACGACTGTATGTATGCATGCATGGGCCTTAACGGAGTACATATGTCTTGGTGGGTGAGTACGGTGGGCTCCAGCGGTCCCCAGAGCCAAACCAAGCGGGCAGGGGTATGTGAGAGATGTTGGGGCGGACCTTGTTAACTCAAGTATAGAAAGTATGGACGGTGCCAACAGGTTCGAAAACTGCAGTACCACGTTTACCTCAGACGCTGGAGCGACCTGGCTCCAGAGATTGGCGCCGGAGCCAAAGATTGTCGCCAGGGTGCGGTGGGGTTTTGTGGGGAAGAGAGCGAGAAGAGACAGAGAGAATACGGAGTACTCCGTACTTCTAGCCGTGCAGCTTCGATGTGCGACTGGGGACGTGAAGAATCGGGAGCGCAAAAAAAAAGAAGACACATCAAAAGTGTAAAAAAAAAAAAAAAAAAAAAAAAAAAAAAAAAGAAAAAAAGAAAAAAGAAAAGGCATCCGGCAAATGCATTGTGTTGGACGGGGCCCCTGATTCGCCGGTCGAGCGCAAGGCAGCCAGTCCGGAGGCAGAGAGACATGGGCCTGCAGCTCTGTCCACCGCCAGGGGGAATAATCCTGCGTTTGCGGTCTGGAGGATTGACAGCTAACTTCCTAGTGACCAACGACGTGAGAATTCCAAGAATTGCGTGCAGCAACTGGCCGGCTTGTCGCCTCCCACTGCCAAACAGGCGACTTGGACCGGGAGACAGGCCAGCCAACCCCCTCAGGGAGGCGGCCAACCACTGGATCCGAGGTGCTCCGTCTCATAGTTAGTTACATATGGTACTCTGTAGATGATGTTATCTTGTCGCTTGCGGGCGTGATAGTTAGCTTATCAGGGAGCAAGAAAAATGCTAAATCCTGCGTATCGTCCCGCAGGGAATTTTCCCAGATGCTTATCGTCCCGACCGTGCAGTTGTTGTATGGGGCACGTATGAAACGGTGGCTTACAGGACGCCCCACCGTAGCCTAGGCCTATTACGATCTAGGCGTCTCGTCAACAGGCGGGTGTTGCGCGCTACAATTGGCTTCGGAAGGACCTTCGTTGCCGCCGTATTTACGGCTAGTACTTCGCGGACTCAAAATACCAGTACCGTACTGATACCAGCCACCCGACGGGCGTCCGCCGTGCAGGTTTTTCTGGGCCGTCGAAGTTCCAAGTCGAGAGCTCTCACTGTGAGACACGCTGCCGGAGACTGACGGGCATATGTATATGTGTATGTATATATGTATTATATATTATTTTTTTTTTATAATCAGACCTGTCAACAAACCGGCTGGGGAAAAGAAAAAAAAGAAAAAAAAAAAGAAGACAAAACAACAAAAAAGGCACCGTGACCGGTGGGCCTGAGTGGTTCGGATGGCTCTTGTTTTTATGCTTTTTTGCACCCAGCTCCCAGCCAAAAACCTTCGGGGCGACGTTGCGGGATCCACCCTGATCATCTGTCCCGGGCTTCGAGTCACCTGCTGTGCGTCACATCGTTTAGTGACGAGCTAAGCTGACCTCAACCCCCGGAATCCACGCCTTGCTGCTCCAAAACACGCCTGCTGCTGCATCTGCATCGCCCCGGCTCGTCCATTAACTCGCGACGTATTACCTATTACCGTTCTCTCTCTCTCCCTCTCTCTCTCTCTCTCTCTCTCTCTCTCTCTCTTTCTCTCTCTCTCTCTCTTCCTCTCTCCCTCCCCCGTTTTCTGTCTCCCCCAAGTTCTCTCCAAGCTTTCTTCTCCAGCTTCCTGTAACCGCTTTGCTTCCGTCCTGATTCATCTGCCAGCTCCCAGCTACCTGCTATGTACTCCTAGAACGGGTTTCTTGGGAAACGCTCCCCGTTTCTCCTCGTACGTCCAATCATCGTTGCAGAGAAGCTGTCAAACCCTCACCACCCTCTCCTTCGGCAGAGGTACCCGCCCCCGTTGCTGCCTGAGTCTTCTTGAAAAGACAGCATTTCCCTTCCAATGCACGCAGTCCTTGACGCTCACCTCTCGATTGCCCTTCGCTGTGCCAGCCTAAGCCGCAACCAGGCCGCACCTTTCCTCCGCCCCGGTTCAGATTAACATGGCCTTCCATCGGATACCACAACACGGCTTTTTTATACCCTTTGCCTGATTCGTCCCCCTCTCATCATCCTCCTCCTCCTTCTCCTTCGTCCTCTTCTTCTTCTTCTTCTTCCTCTCCTCCCGAGAAGACCTTGATTATCGAGTCCGCTCGACCTTCCGTCACCATGCATCAACATCGTAGAACTTCGTCAGCGGTGGCATCGCCCGTCTCCTCCCCTCACCCCAGCTCCAGCAGGCCGATCACCCGCGATCGAGGCACCGCTCGCTTCGGCCCAAACGTTTCCAGAGGCCTGGGGATCGATAGACAGATGGACGCCTCGGATCAAGAGCAGACCATCGAGTCCCCAGAGAAATCCCCGTCCCAAAAGCTTGACCAGATCATCCAGGTTAGATATTCCCTCCCTTGCCCTTTGCCGTTCGTTCCATCTGGCAGCCTGAAAAACTGACGCCCAAGGAAAAAAAAAAAAAATGCAGAATTACCATACAAAGGCTGCTCTTGTCATCTTACATTCCCGGGTAGACCTTTCCCCCGCCACATACCACGGCGTGATACGAACAAATAAATGGGTGAGTGGCCGTTGTCTCCAGACTATTATTCCCTGCATACGCTGACCATCGCTTTCATCCCATTTAGTTCAACGTGGAAGTTAACGAGACAGAAGACCTGAAGGACTCCTTGGGCGTCTGGAAGTACAGCAATTGCACCGACAGTCGACCGCCTCCGCTGATCATCGAGGTCTACCTGGATCTTACACAGTTGACGAACAATCAAAGCTTGGTCATCATCGACGACTCTGGCAAACGATGGGATGTGGTCGAAGCCCTTGCCACCTACGGCTGTCTCGATAACTCTAGAACTTCAAAGAGCGGGGTCATCTTAGAAAGATGGCGTATTGACCTTGGTCCCGGCCCCGATGACCTGCCTCTAGATATGGGCAGTATACTTCCTACGGTCTATAAAAAGAGCATCGTCGTGTTCAGATCCCTATATGCCTATTCTAAATTGCTCCCAGCTTGGAAATACTCGAAACGTCACTCGAAAATACGGCCTAATCCAGCACTATCGCTGAAATATCGAATCTTGCAGGGGCCCGGAGGGCAAATTAGATCAACCAACGATCCGTTGACCGTTCCTCTACATCCGGGAAACGGCCCAGTGGTCGATACTTATTCTTTCGGCGTGACGGACTCTCCTGCTGGTCCTCTCTCTGCTTTGGTTACTTATCGGACCAACTGCGATTTCCGAGTAGATGATTCAGAGGCGTTGTTGAGCTCTAGGTTTATGGGAGTGGATGAGCGCTTTTTTAAGCCCTCTTTACCGTCAGAAGACAACTTTGCCGCCGCAGGGCAGGAGCATGGCTCCTTGCCTGTGCAAAAACGAGATGTGGGACGTCCTGACCTTGGGCAAGCCTACGGAAGCATGTCAACATTCCACCAGGTCGGCGCCACCACAGGAGCTAGCCCTATATCAGCTCTGCGCGCCGCAAGAGAGCTAGCAGCCGGTTCGCCCAGCTCCCCTACTCGTCCTTCTCATTCCCCAAGACCGAGCCAAGCAGGTCGGGTCGCCGCGCTCTCTGGCGAAGGCAATCATCTAATCCAACGGCGTCCATCAATATCCATCCAGCCCTTCAAGGCTCCTCCTCTCTCTGCCTCTCCTGCTCTTGTTGATAGCCCAGTGGGATCCCAACCGAAAAACTCAGCCCCACGCGTGGGGCCAATGGATATCACTTCTAGCGCGAGACAAATGCCCCCTCCCCACGGTACACCCACGACATCTAGAAGATCGGCTCATGTATCAGAAAGTGCGATAGCATCATCTACATCCGGCTCGCCGCGACCTGCCCCCATCTCAAAGTACAGCAGCTCGTTTAGCCACCGACGGGGTAGACTATCCTCCGGGGGTGCCAGTAAAACTGACGACGATAATAACTCCAGTGGCAGAGTCAGTGTGAGCTCCTCGACTGTGCACCCAGGCTCGGGAACATCAGCAGACCCGGCTACTACAAGTTCAGGGTCCCTACAGGCGGACGAAGATAATATTTCGGACTTTCTCAAGATGCTTGAGATGGGAAAGGACCTACTGTCTAGGAAAGATTCTAAATCCTTGGATAAGAACACGAAAAGAACGTCCGCTGCTCTATCCCGATTTCAAAAGATGCGGGATTCCAACGCTGTACTATCAGATTCTATGTCGTCTTCTCTGCTCCTTCAACCATCATCCATATCGTCTAGCAAACAGCTTCCCAATGCTGCCACGTCTGTGGCAGGAGCCTCGATATCCGTTTCCTCCTCCCCTGGGAAAGCAATTTCACCTCATACACAGCACATTCCCGCAGTTCCTTCCCGTCTAAGCTCTAATAGCGTCGTCGATTATTCCCATTCTCATGAGGATCGCCACGAGCGAAGACATCGTCTCTCCCATGAGTCTCGTCGCTCTCCATCTGAAGAGCGGGCGAACGATGAACCTCGATTAAAACGCGACGAGTCCACTGCGAATGCGATTGACATACCCACTTCTCCGCGTCCATTTATCCCTAGTTTTCGCCGATCCAGCTCTGCTGCTCAGAGACGCTCAAGCCCTCCTGTTGAAGATGATCTGGGTGATTTTTTACCTTTTGGGATGCGTAGTTTGAGCTTGGGAGCTGAGGACCGATCGACGCTTAGTCTCAGTGAACTAGTACGCCAACAAGAGTCATCCGTCCCCGCATCAGACACAAATGCGTTACAACAACAGAACCAGAAAGATACGCGTACGGGTCAATCGATCGTGGATGAATCCCCTTCGAGAATCGACAACGTTCCAGGGACCTCGTCTCCTCGCCAATATCAACCCCGCTTTGCCCATGGTCGTGGGCGCGGATCGTTCGGCCACCCTCAGCCCCATGTTTCCGCCGCTAGCAGTCTAGGGCGCGCCAGCCCAATACCGAACGTAACAGATGCGGACCGAGAAGGGTATATCGGCAGTGGCAACAACGGTGGAACGGCTGTCCCCCCCGATACTCGACGTGGTAGCAGCCATAGGTTCAGCTTCAACCGACATTTAGGCACACCGGCCAACATGGATGAAGATGAGCCCCTTTTGTTCGCGATGAGCGATTTTGGTGCTTCTCGTCGGAGTTTGGAAGAAGGAAGGAAGGGAGCTACCACGGCTGGTGCAGATCATGGAGGTGCGCCGTCTACGGAGTTGCAACCCGCTGCCGAAACGCGCAGCGAAGGCGGGCCACCCAGTGTCTCCCGTGGCAGGTATCGCGCTTGGCCTTGAATATGGGGAACGTCATTCGAGCTATTTCTTGCATTTTTAACACGAATTACACCGCCAACGACGCTATTTCATCACAATCACCCCCGTATTACTGCTAGATTTGAGACGTGAGGTAGCACCCATGTCCACTCTGGTTCTTCATATGCACGGATCACAGTTAACATCAGCTGGAGACATTTGACGGATACCAGCCTTCCGCAATCTTTCCAGAAATATCTTACCCGCTCCTAGTCCCTATAAGTTTTCTATTCCTTATATTTTTTTTCCCCCGAGATTCTATCTTGGAATTGTCGAGCTTAGCGTGCATTCGATATTTTTGGCACATGCCTTCTTGGCCTACTGGCCCCCGGAGATGGGCCCAGTGAGATTCTTCATGACGTATACTGCTTCAAGGATCTTTTTTATTTCACCTTTTTGAATATTTCTTGTCCCTATGTTTGATGTGTTTGCGGAGGCATATTGCTTCGTTTCTTTTCTTTTCTTTTTGCTTTGGCTTTAGCATTGGTCGGCTCTTTTGAACTTGTTTTGATCGGAGTTTTCGTTTGATCCCTGGTGGAACCTTTCCTCTGTTTCTATTTTCGCCCCTCGTTCCCCCTGGTTAGTCTTGCATCCTTTTTTCCTCCTGGCGTTTGTTATGGCTTGCGTATTGAAGCCGCATGCCGGCAATAGACTGATATCAGGATTGTTTGAAAGGAAATAACTTCTTTTTTTTCTTATACAGGAAAGCGACTTTGCAAGGCAAAAACATCCGCTTGAAACTTTGTGCATCCATTTTGTATTTGGTGCAGGCTCTCTTTTTTTTCTTTCTTTCTTTCTTTTTTCCCTTTTTTTTTGCCCTTTTTGGATTAATTTAATCGGAGAATGGAAGGAATTGTGTATTTAGTTTCCTAATAACATTGAGTACTACATTATCTCAAAGATATCTCTGATTAGTCGGACAGGAAGCCAGTCTTGTTTCGAGTAATCTAATGGAATCAGGTCCGTATATAGCAGCTTATATGGCATGCGCAAGGGGCAGGCTTGTTCTATGCGCAAAGCATACTATTCAATTGGATAGTGCCTGGTTGAAAATGAAGGTTAATAAAAAAATGTACCCTTCAGAAACCTGCCCTGCCTACGCTTGCCAACACTTCATGCCGGCGACCAACTTCAGCTGATTCTGGAGATTTGACAGATGGCGTGCAACCTACAACTACATACCCCAAATCAAACATAAGCGAGTAACTCCTTTCAAACAAAATCCAAGAGCCTTGAAAAGGGGATCAGAATGAAGTAATTGCAGAGATATGAGCACTCTCGGGCCGTTTCCTGAAGGGTGGTAGAATAGCTGGCAGAAGAGAGGAGACTATTACAATGAAGACAGCTTGCGGTGTGAGAATTCTGGTTGCTGTCGACCTCCCGTATCGCTGAATGAGCGACTACGCACGATGGGACGAGGTAGCGATGCAGTGACGTGAAATTGGCCCGGGTGAGATGTCTTGCATTGAGCATCTATTAAGATCAATGTTGGCTTATGACCCCTCTAAACGGATCAATGCCAGGCATGCTGTAAAATAAGAATATATGCAGAAATGAGGTCTCCCAGCATTAAAACAAGTTTACAAAGCTTGATCTAGCTCGAGGTCGTCCAAAAGCCCCTTCTTTTCAGGATAGTCTCGGGCCCAGTGCAGGAAAAGGACATATGGCCTTGATCACGAACGAAGGCTGCTGGAATTACAGCTTTGAAGGTCCTCCTGCCGAATACGCCAACAAGGCTTCGTTCCACAGGTGAACAAGAGGGCCGTTTTTCCCATATACCGGGTCTTGGGTTGGCATCTCCACTCTTAAAATTTCTTTTCTCTGAGTGTTGATATCAATGGGGTTTCTGCCAAATTCATTTCGCCATCGCGGTGCACCCTACTCAAGTGTCAAAGCTGACCGGATTCTGCTAGGAAAGCCCGAAAGGGATATTTAGTCGTTTTTACCTTTGGGTAGACACCAATATATCGGTAGTCTCCCTTACTTTCGAGAGAGCAGTGCGTGGTTCCAGCAGGCAAGACAATTACATCTCCCGTATTGATGGGGATGTAGACACCGCCCTCGCCGTCGAATCTTCCACGGCCGATGATGAGGGTCGAAGAACCCTGGAAAATTCCTAAAGTTGGATATATGCATTACTGATTCTGACTTCAATGATGACACGATTGCCACATCCACTCCCATGATCTTTTGCTGTATAATACCAGGCGGTTTGAGTGTACGACAAAGGACGCACCATAGCATTCATGGGTATTTGGGTGGAAATGATGAGTCGCGATGTGCCCCCATGTCCCCTCAGATGACGCTCAAATGTCAGAAATCCAAACGTATTTTTTATTAGAGGTGCACCTGGGGAAAAGAATAGAGCGCACTCACTCTTTTCTCCCAACCGTTGGCCTGTAGAAACTCAGAGGTCGACTCCTCGTTGATGGGGTGGGGAAGTATCTCTCGATATAGTAGCACAGGTAAAGGGCTATTTGGAGAATGTAAAGTTGGCTGTAGATAGAACTTCTCGACGGGTGCCGATTTGGGCATGGTGACGGCTAATGATCCACTCTATCGATGGTAGAGGTCCCATCGTTCAAGAAGACCAGGAGTCTTCATCAGGCCTGGACTCTCGCTCTATGTATATATCTCCCAAAGACACAGTTGGAGACTGCCATGCGGGGAACAAGAGTAGCAGAGCGTGAGGGGGTCAGCGGATGGGGAAAAGATGGCTGAACTAGGAAGTATAACCCGCTCGGTGGTTCTGCTTGATTGGCGAGCGTGACACAAGCCCCATGCACCAAATGCGGTGATCAGTACGGAGGAGGGAGTACAGAGGGCTTTGTTTTATCCTGCTGTATCACACCGTTTTAAAAAAGGTTAAAAAAAAAAAAAGATCCGTCATCGGCAGATACATATATATATATATATATATAATTTTCCCAGGGAGAAAAAAAGCAAAAAAGAAATGTTTTGTTTTGTATCCGCTGAGCCGGAATCGAGCCGGCGACCTTTCGGTAGCATGGGAAGTCCTTTACAGCCGAACGTGATAGCCAACTACACCATCAGCGGTTGTTGAGATCCACACCGGGAAATAGTACTCATCAGCATATAATCGTTTGCCAAACAAAGCTGCTATCCCGTGTGCCTCTTCAAGTCTATGGAGTAAGAAAGTCTAACTACACGAGTCCCTGTATATCTTTGAGCACTGAAAGCTCCAGAAATGAAGAGCAAACCCGGATTCTGGCTGCTCCTCTTTCCTGCACCGGAAACGCACTCGCGGAAACCTATTACCGGCATAATTGTAAATCCGATCCCGTCATAGGCACGTGACCCGTTTATTGGGCCGATCTGGGCTGGGACAAAGGCGGTCGGCCATATATCATGAACGGTGTGAATAATGCAAATGTAAAGCTATTGAAAGGGTTTCGATTTATTTATCGTAGAGTTGCTAGGCATGTAAACTATGGAATATACTCTACTTGCGATAATTCTTCAGGTTTGATGTCTTTTTCTCACAGGCCAGCACATGCCTGGCGAGAAGCCTCGCATAGTCCTTGAATCCTGCATGACTCTTTCTCGCCTATACCTGATGCAGGGCCTTTGATACCTCTAAGCTCTTTCCCGGTCGGTCGAAAAAGAGGAGTTTCCGTTCCGTATTCGGCCCGGAGCGCCTAGACATACGAAGAACTTTCAGGATATCGTCATACCGGAACGTCCATTGTATGCTTAACACAGCCTATATATATCGTCCATTACTGACAGAAAGGACTTGAAGGCGTAGCAAACCTCCCTCGAAGCTCATGCGCATCATAACAAAATTTGCAGCTTGCCTGGGGAAAAAGCTGCGGACTTGCTCTCGCCGTCTAAGATTCCAAGGGTGCCATAGCACCAATGGTAGATCCATCTACGGGGGAAGGAAGCCATCACGGCATCGATGCTCCGGAGGTAGATGCCTCGTGATCTATTGTGTAAATTGCTTCGACGTGCCAGTGAATCACATCTTTCGGAAAGTGTTCGCCGATGCACTCCGGCGGTCTTTTGCAGAGCGGTATGATCCTCTGCTTTCAGGCTCTGCCATCGGTTTTACGCGCGACTTAGCCCGAGGAGCGAAGGTAACGGTCTTTTCGCCAACTGCACGACTAGTGGCAGCCGGCCGCTCTTTAGCTCGCGTCTTCTGGACTCGGGACTCAAACGACCGATCGCGAGACTTGGCCGTTCTAAAAGATGACGAAATTTCCATCTTTGGTGGAGGCCGCTTTGTTCGTTTATAGGAAGCTGTTGATATGGATGTAGATGATTTAGGCTTGGCAGGGCTTTCATGCTCGTTCGACGATTCATCGGAGCTCGAGCCGGGGACCTCGTCAATGGCTTCTTCCTCGACAGCCGTTAGTCCTCTTTCACGCTTTTCGGCTGGGGCAGTTGCGCTGCTTGGATTCAAAGCTAAGAACTCCCTCGACGTTTCGTCCACAGCAAATTCTTCGTCTTCGAATAGCTTGGCGAAACGAGGATCGTGCAGTATACCCTTTCCTGTCGAGGCTGCCTCGGGTTTGGCGCTGCTTTCATCACCACCTTGTGCCAGAATTTTCTGAGCTTGACGTCTCTCATGGCGCTCCTCTTTCTCGAGAAGCTTCTCAGCCAACTTCTTGTTGACCTTTGCGGCAACCTTCTTCTTTCCGCGGATGCGGCTTTCACGCTCTTTATCAATCTTCTCTTTGATCCGTTTTGCACGCTCTTCTTCCCAAACAAATGGATTAGTAATAAGGCGAGCCTCCTCATACAGCCGCTGTGCCACAAAATAACCATGCATATATGGTCGGAGAAGCGACGTCCTTCCGATAAGGTGGTCCAGATTCAGAGACCGTAACTGTGGTACTGTCAAGAATTTGTAGTTGTCATAGACAGAGCCCGCCTGACCCGCGTTAAACGCATGCGGATCATTCGGGTCTTCTGCCATCTCTTCAACGAGGTTATCCAGGAACGCACACCATCTCGGGGCCGGACCAAGCTGAGGAATAAAGAAGGCATGTTGCTGTCTTCCTTCGTTAGCAGTTAATATCATCCCGCTGTCTTTGCACCAAGCAACGCAATTGATATCAACCGCCGGTTCGACTGATGTCCATGGCGTGCCGTCCCTTGCATCCCAAATCTTAATAATCCGCTTATCGGATGAGAGAATTTTTGGATCGGTTGTTTGTTCTCGCGTGGACGTCGAGGGTGTAAGGAAATTAAGTGTGTGGATGGGATAGCCATATCCTTGATCTTTTTTAAGCAAAGGCACTGGCGAACGTAAATCGTATAAGTATATAAGTCCCTGAGAGGAACCCGTCGCAAGAGTTAAACCAGATCTGTGAAACTGCAGAGCTGTAATTTCGGATCTCCCTTCTCCAGGCTGAGAGTCCGAGGGGGGTAAAAGTACAGCAGCTCTCCCCTTTGCTCGTGAATCCCATAGTTCCACGGTTCCTAAAGAGGTTCCAAATGCCAACATATTATGACTTTCTTCAGCTACAGCTCCGGTATTCACACTTCCTGTATTTATACCACCTTGCAAAGCCCCTCCTCCGGCCGAGGTGAAATCGTCGCCACCGACGTCTACTTCGTAGCTCCGCATATACCTCCCCTGTTCCAGATTTAATCGGAACACTTCACCCATACCATCTTGATTGACTCCTACGGCAGGAACCAGCGCCTCGGCCGACTGCCTATCATACACTAGGTCGCGGCCATATCGCGGTAAGCGCGTCGTATAATGACAGCCTTGGGGAGTGTGAAATTCCAACGAACGGTCCGCCTGTAAATGTAAGGATTTTGAGTAGTCCGATGAAAGAATTTGAAAGGTTGTATTTAGAGAAATAGTATGGCGCGCCCACGAGAGGGATAAATGCGGTAGGTAGTGTGTATGGATCTGGGGTTTGTACGTTCCTGTTGCTCCGTTGGTTAAATCCTCCAATTTTGAAATTTAACAGGGGGCCCGAAAAAAAAAATATCTTACCTGTACTCATTACCCACTGTCCATCCTCACTAACTCGGATACACTGGCTGGCTTCCTCAAACTCGAAGTCTTGCAACAATTCCACCCTGTTTGCGTACTCGGGGTCAGCTTTCAAGCTCCGCTTCCGCCTCCGAGCCAGCCATTCTGGAAGGGGGCGTGCGGTAGAAGAGCCAGAGATAGTATAAACCGGAACTGTGGAGTGGTTTGTGAGCTTCATCTCTGCAGCACGCACGCCTGTAGACTGAGCTCCGTCCGTGTCGGCAAGAGATAGAAATATCCTTTGCGACGAAAAATCGAAATAATTATCTGATGCCAAGATCTGCAGAGCTCAAAGTGGGTGCTAGTCCGGATATGGTATGGTACGGCATTAAGGTCCTTGGCGCCGAAGATCTTCAAATCCGATATCAAACATCGCATCTCGACTCCAAGGCTCGCGTCCATGGATTGCCGAGTCGATGTTGCCCCATAACACTGCCGTTGCTGGGTTTCTCTATTTATTCACGGGGATAAAAAGCGCCACCGTGCTAGTTATACAGCTGTGATCATAATAGGCAGACCTTTCCTGCCTTGGCAATCTGACATCACAGACTGTTCTCCCGACCATGCGGAGACTCTATGAAGACGTTGGAAGCCAAGCGTATTTCGATTCTTTAAGATAGGCACAGAGGTGCTTTGTTTGGCGTTGGAAATGAATCTCCGCCATTTCCTATTTTATATGCCTTTATGCGACCCAATTTCCATGGCGGCCAGTCGTGGTGATAAGGACAACTTGATGCATAATGGAGTTCCCAGCGGGGGCGGTCACTAATTTTCGGATGACCGTAAGTTTAACTCCGTTCCGCTTGATCTCTTGCTTCAAAGCCGACTTATATTTCTAGGAAATATACTCCACCATACACTGGAAAATATATTACATTGAATCCCATCAGCTACCTTCCCCTGGCGCTGGTGTGTTAGAGGATCCAAGTTCGGCTCTTGCAATCGAACTTGAATCTGCAATCCTTTTAATACGGGACCAAGGATGCCTTGTTGATGCTATTCCGGGTGGAAATGGCTTATGGGTATTTTCACATAATGGTGAATTTGATCAACTCCAACCATTTTCTGTGTTGGAAAGTGACTGCTCCTTGACTAGCCTTCAAATCGGGGCGATTACATTTAAGCGTAAGTCGATGTAGTCTCAACATCCTAGGTCATACGGTGTGCTAATTTTGGGATGTAGAATTCCATGCAGAGTTTACACCACTCGGATATCTCATTAAGCGCCTTATGGCGGAGCCCCAAGGGACTATTTTCTCTCCATTGTCTCAACAAAAGTTTGCAAATACAAATGAGGATTGTCCGATTAACCGAGAAATTGTGACGTCGTCGGCGTTTTATAAAGCATTCACCTCTGCCATTGCGGGTTCGCTTTCCCTCCGTGCGACACAATTACATGGAGCAATACCCCTTGGGAAAAGAGCTCTATTTACCACCTCAGCCCCTGACGAAAAGCTTGGTCAAGGTATTAATGCCGACCCAACCTTGGGGCCTAGATCGCTTCTCTCGACCCTTAACATTGAATTTAGTTTCAAATCTCTCATTATATCCTGGCGTACCATCCCACAGTGGGGATTGCAGCAACTATCTACGACCGCGGGTGCTGATAGTATAAGTGATGTGTCCTTACATGAAGACATATGGCTTGCACCAACAGGGTCCCTCTGTCGGTATATCGGAGCAGACCCAGGACATTCAAGCGGTCCCCAGTGGGATCCGTCAGTTGGTGACTATGGCGAGTTCGAATTCCCTGGGGGAGGAAACCTTCTTTATCTAAGAGAGTGGAAACGAGCTGTCTGCGTAAGACTCCGAATGTTTGGGCTTGGTTCGGTTGACCCAGACACGGAAACATGGATCGAGGTGGAAGCACTTAATCCGTTCGAATCTCGGTTGGGTGGAACAGCAGGGGAGAATCGAAAGTCAATCGCGTATAAAAGATTTCTCTGGCCTGCTCGGTTATGCTTCAAACGCTCCAGTGAACAATGTCTCGCGCTTGATAAGAGAGCTGAATATCTTGATGCCGCAACTTTGGACCCATTGAGCCTGGCTGAAAAGTGGGTTACAGAAATGACTACCAGGACATCGCCAGAAGATCAGATGGCTGTAGAGACACACGTTGCGGAAGGAATGCAACCTGAGGCTACGGGAACTACGGAGAAAACCAGCAGCTCAGAAATATTTGCCAGTTTGGCTCGAAAGATTGATTTTTCGGATTTGTCTGCAGGAGCTGTTTATCCAACTCCACCTGGTGCTGTTACGGGAACCGGCCTGGTTGCTGCTGGTTCCTCCGATGTACTGACTCTTCCTGGCGTGTCCAGCTTAAGCCATGCTCACCCACAAAATACATCTCGGCGTTCTGATGTGAACATATCAGGTGCGGGTTGTCAGTCAACGTCAAATTCGTTACCGCCGGTTGATATAACGACCACTGCATTGGAAATTGGATCAGGCATGTATGATACAACTGCAGATGACGATTTGTTCGATGAGCTTGATGGTGACTTTGCTCCAAAGCAAATCACAGAGGCTGATTTCAACTTTTTTGACGAGCCAGATTTTGCAGCATTCCCAGGCAGTATTGATGTATCAATGGGCAGAGTTAATACCAGCCTTCAAAATAGTCATGGGGCCCACGACGGGGACGCTCTCGACATTGCCGGCACATCTCACGATGCGGTTGAGCGTCCCGCGGGCTCAGCAGAGCCAGAAGAAAGGAAAGATTCTATGAGGAACCGCGAGCACCGTGTGGTTTTGGTTCCTCCCGCTGTTTCTAGCCCGAAGGAAAACGTTCAGGCGGACCTACCTATTGAATCTGGAAACATTATCTCCCCCACACCCGTAACCCCCCATCAACCTCTCAGCCCTTCGATTATCAGGAAGATTTTGTTCTCAGGCAACTCTGGTATTCCTACCACAACGTCATTTGACAAACACCCAACAAACCGGAAGGCCAGGAGCGGCTACGAACCCTTGTCTTTCGGAGAGGACCTCAGTCTTTCGGATGGGAAATACGAATTGGATGGGAGGTTTTGGTTTCTCCCCAACGCCGAGAGCGATCAGATGGAAATGCATCCGTCAGATATACCCAGAGTTGGTATCCCTGAGTGGCGCAATGAAGAACGGCGTGCGCTTCCCATGGAAGATTCGTCTAGAGACCGATTGAAGAGTGGCATGCAATCTAGTTCAGACTCTTCTGCTGAGTCTAGCGAGGACGATAGTGAGCCTGAGACTACCCCGCTAGATTATTCTAACCGTGGTCTCCGCGTACTTTCGGCCTCAAGAGATAATAGCCAGCGCTTCAAGGACCTAGACTTTACGCCGTCTCCATTGGAGCCATTGACGGTTAATACTGAATTCTCGAATACAGGAATGAACGCGAATACGCTGTCATTTCTACGGACACTTCTTTTCAGGGCCATCGATTGGACTTTAGATGGTTATTTTACGTCAACAAGCGGGCGTTTCCCAGTACTCCTCCGAAGAGATGATTTGATCCAGGTTGCACAGATCGTTGTGGACCAAGTTACCCAGTCTAGCTTGAGTCATGTTTTGGAGAGACGCACTTCGATTGGGCTTGACCAACAGAACGCTCTACCCCTCAGTTCTACAAGTAAGGATAGCTGGTATGGCAAGTTTAGTAACTTTGACATCAAGCGTTATACGGCCATCGACGTTGATACTTCAATTCAAGGTCTGCGGAAAGATTTCCGATATCTGACCGTCGGTTCGATGTCAAAATTAGATCCTCCTCATATAAGGATTCATCGTGGGAAAGGCGAGCTTGAAGTTCTCCCTCCCGCCATATTCTTCTGGGAGCCGTTCGGGTTCGAGCCTACACAAGGCCAAAAGGACATCCTTGCCTATTGTATCTATCCAGAAAGCGCAGAGGAAGGTGCAGACGCGTTTCTTGGTAGGATGGGCTTGCTATATTCAAGTGCCAACCTTGGACAACATTCTCGCCCACAAGACTCGAAGGGCTTAATTCCATGGGGTTTAGAGTGCACAAGTATTCGTGATTATACAGCGATTATGAATAGATTGCAAACTACATGCGAGCATCTTGGTAAGGGTCTTATTTGAACTTCACATATGTTTGCTAATACTTCAATAGGTGATGTTATTTCCTGTTTACCTCCAGGTAGCGAGAACATACTCGTATATATTGCCAATCCATTTCCGTATGAAGCCGCAGTCGTCGATATTTGTACGGCGTTTCTTTTTCTATTTCGAAAATACGTGTCCAATTTTGAAAAGCATACTATTCGGCTTAACGAGGTCGCTTTACAAATAATCCCCTTAGATTTTATCGCGTCTTTAACTTCGCTTGTGGTACCCTCCCAACAAGATTATCTACATTTAGCGTTCGAAGTTTACTCTCGTTGTCCTCCTAAAAACCGCTCCTCTGATCTTCTTGGCTGTGCACCACCGTTCACTTTGGCTAAACCGGCTCCCAAGATTGTTCCGTTCAAGCTTACACCGGATTCCGGGTCTCCCTTGGCCGAAAAGCATTCTATCCATGTTGCATATTCTCAGAGCATCGATCAGCGTTGGGTCACGGCTGCCTGGACGGATAATTTAGGAAGAGATCAGTTGACAATGACCTACTGCTTACGTGAAAGAGGCTCCACCATCTCTAGACCAGCCTCTGAAATCAGAGCAGACATATGGAGCGTCACACGGCATATCATTGGCAAATCCCATGCTTACTGGCGGGTTATGGTGGTCAAGGATGAACCCCTGGAGTTGGACGAAGCAGAAGGTATCAGTTATACCTTGCAAGGCGATGCCCATCCTTAAAAACAAGTTTCGGCTAACTTCCTTTTCATAGCTTGGGTGTCTATGGCACAACATCATAACCAAACCAAGCCCACTAAAATCGAGTTAACGCTGCTCAGTGTCAATCCGAAGCCTTGCCTCTTTTTCAAACTCCCTCCTCCACCCCTCCAACCGAGTACATTAACTGGACCCACCACGTCGACCCCAGTCTCGACTCCAAATCCTAGCATGCCTTCTCCCGACCCATCCGCTGCCGCACCTACTCCTCCCCCATCGTCGGCTGAACAAGCACAAACACCTATCGCACAATCTCTCGACCCTGCCGACTCTGAAACTATTCTTATTGACAAAACAGAGGAAACTTGGTCCATTACTTTGTCCCACCGCGTCAATATCTCACCTTCTCTAGCTAACTATCACCCAGCACTCGCCAGCGGATACCTTCTTCGTCGCCGCGATGGAACTAGCGACACGGAGGGACTGGCCTCATTGTGCGTGAACTTAATTTTCACACACTCCCGCATTCCAAGCGAAATGGTGCTGAAGGATACATTGCGCGTATACCGTGACCTCGTAACTCTGGCAAGGACAAAAGGAATTTTCCACGCACAAGGTGACGATGTCCTCCCCTGGCACATATCTACCGCAGTGAAGGGAAGGGAGTTTTTAGGAGTTGTTCTATAAACATTTCGAATCTAGTCTTTGTCTTTTATTCCTATGTAGTGTTTCTACATTCGATTGTTTCCCTTTTGCTATATACCCATTTTAGGGCAGTTCGGTTTTTCTTCGCTGCGCACTTGTTGTTTGGACTCTGGTCTTGTGAAGTTATGAGGGGACGGAGCTAAGGGTTTGAATTGGATTTGTAATATCCTGCCTTCGAGGCTTGGAGACGTATGTATATACATTGCATGGAAATACTCCTTCCAGTTGTGATTGATATCCTTAACATATTTTGGTTTATTTGACAAGGATGGAGATTCGAATACCCTCTTGGCCCTCTTGGGATTTCCCAGCAGCTATAAGCTTGAAATAGGGAGAAAATTAGGTAGAGTTTGGGGTTCAGCCAATCCTGTTGTGGAATGGAGAGATATATGGGCACCACGGAGTAGGGTATTCCCTTTTGGAGTCTAGCATTTGCAATTACCCTCACATGAACGGAGATCCCTGCTCATCATTAGGGGAGGGGAGGGGGTTTATCCTGCCGGGTGTCTTAGGGCGCCGAAAGTCGTAAGATTGGGTATACTACGCTGAGTGGCGTTGCATTTCCGCCCCTAGAGAGGTTGATAGGGATAATTGGTTGGAGCTAAGAAAGACGGAAATGGCGCCAAAGCAAAAAATTGGGATTGTTCCAAGGAACAGCGGGATGTCTGGGCTTCGGGCAAGCCGTAGTCCGTAACTGAGCGCGGAAAAGAGACAGCTGCTCCAAAGCAAGGGGCCTGTATTGGGAAGGCTTTGGTGGTTTAATGGTCACAAATGGCATGCATGTGACGTGACGGTACATGTGACGTGACGGTATCCCGCAGTGAATGCCGTTATAGCCTCATGATTGGAGAACCAGAAGGACTAGACATCGATGTCGAAGTGAAATACCAACAGACCTTGTAGATTGTTGCCCCAAAGACGGCCGAGAGGGAGAAAAGGAAAAACAGGTTTGCCACTGACGTGAAAGTGCAAACGGCTCAATGAACGTATTTTCTTGGCAGCAGACAGGGAGGAAAAAAAGAAAGAAGGATCATGAATTACTAGATGGAAGTCATGTAGGCAACAAGGCAGACCCTCTGTTCATGATGTTGTTGAATGCACTCGATGACCTCATCACTTTATCCCTGTTGGAGACAAGGATCCCGAATGTATGGTCTGTTGGAAGAGGCACTTCACCTGCTCGTCAAAATCAGCAAGTAGCATCCGTACTCCAAGGCCCATGACGGTGTCACCCAGCTTCTGACAAAAATCCACCGGGGACGTTTTGGCCTCGGCGGCTATCACAATATATGCCAAGAAAGTATGGAGCAAACCCTCAAAGGCCAAAGGTTGGGTGAATAATGGAATCTACCAAGCCGCAAGGCAAACGCCCGCTTGTAGTGGCAAAAAGAGAAACAACTTGCTCCCGCTATCAAGAGAAAGCTTGGAGGGCGCCAGATGGAACTCCAGGGGCACTAGGGGACGTCTCAACAAGGTCAACGATCCAAGTTCGGGCACTTCTGATCAGCCTTGGGTAATCGTAAAACGCACAGCCCCTGACCTTGAATGATCAAGCTAGAGTCCAGAATGGTGGAAATAGGAATTGAGATTGGTATAGACCAACAGGCAGAGAAGGGGTTGGTACCACAGGGACAGGTCGTCTCTTTCAGCCCCTGTTCTGGTTGTCGAATTCTAGGTTTCCACCAGCGTGGATCAGGAAAAGGTTCACCAATGTATGGGCATCAAAATAGAATTGAATTGCGATTGCATTGGCTGCAAGAAGGAGTAAAGTCTTGGGTTGGTGTCTGTTGGATGAGAGCGAACACGACGGGATGAAGTTTGGCGCCAGATGCGACGGCTGTGGCTGGAGCTGTGGCTGATTTGCTGAGCTTTCCCCAGACAGGACTAGCGGCAGTTGAGCGGATGGTCTAGCTGGTTATGGATTAGCGCGCACAACGAGCCGCAATGAGGCTGTGTGGGCAGTTGGACGAACGGTAAAGTGGACAACAGCGAAGACGACCTCGACCACAGTCCAAGACAATGATACGGTAATGGCAGGATTCTGAGAGGTGCACAGCCAGGCGCTCTTGACAGCTCCGTTCCTGAATAGGAGCCCCCAGAGTCTGTTCAGCGTGTAGGTTGGAACAGCCTCTCGGCCCTCAAGTGTGGCTCCAAGCGAACTAATCAGAGACTAAAACCAGTGGCAGCACAGCCTTACCGGCCAGAACGGAGAGACGCTGGCGGGGTGCGGGTCTCGAAGGAGCAGAGTGAGGAGGAGTGCAATGATGGCTTGAGTCATTGACGCAGTGGGGTGGACGAACTCTCTGGGGTGCACCTCCTCGCCACCCGTTCGCCAGCCGACATCAAGTCCTCATTGGGCAATGCTGTCGACTCACGTTTTCTGCAGAAACAACAGCATTATTAGGGTTCTTAGTGAAATGTGTCATCATTGGCGAGAGCTCCCTATTGTCAACCATCCCGGGACAAACTCTCTGCTTCTAGCCAAACACCAAGAGCATGGTCGGGGTCAGCCGGAGGAAGAGCAAAATACCCTTTAACATGAGCGCAGGCCAGCAGTTCAATGCCTGGCAGTAATCGGTCGCTCACGTCAGTTGTGTGGAGAGCGCTCTACACCAGCCAGCGTTGCAGCAGCCGCCTGACTCCCGCGAACTCCCCCGGAGTCTTGACTCTTGGCCCAGCGGCGACGCCCGTTCGGGCTTAGCGTCACTGCAAGGCAGAGCAGGACGGAGAAACCATCTGCCTGTCGACGGATACCGTATCGTTACGCCGTATCAAGTCCGTTTAAGCGCCAAATCATCTGACGTCAGTGCACGGTGACCGTATCGTACAGATGACAGGGGCTATTTTTACCGCTAACCCAGGCACCCAACCCTCCATCCACCACAGCCATCATTGGTCAGGAGGCGATCTAAGCTTCATGCGCTCTCCTGGGTGCGCAGACACTTGCCGGGGTGCAGTCATCAGATATGGATGGTCCTGGGGCTACAAATACCGCTGCGAACCCCCCGCTGCTCCAGAGCGGATCAAGCATTTTCTGCATTCTATCTGCAATTCTCCATTGGAACTCGAAAACTGCGAAGTCTGCAACAAGGTGTGGTATACTTTGTATTCATAGCAGCGAAACCTCTACCTGCGCGAAGCACGCTTCTCCCCTCCGAGTGCTACTCCTATAAAGGGGCACTTCTCTAGCCCATTGTATCTGGCCTCGTACCATTTCAAAATGCCGTCCTTCGTCGCCCCCTGCTCCCCCCAGGCCCAGGGGCCCGTCGCCCGCCTACCGCTCGATGACGAGTGGTACGTGATGGAGCGTTATGCCGCCCACGCCTCACACTGTGCTCCATGTGCCCATCCTTACACAACACTCCGAACCGGCCAGTCTCTTTGCGCACGCGGCGCTCGCCATGTCACCAACATGGCTCAATATGTCTACACCCACAACGGCAAAGCCTACTCCGTCGCGGCGAAAAACCGCGGTCTTGTCCACGAAATCGAAATCCCAGCCAACTTTGAGGCTGTCTCTGAATTGATGCGTGCACTTGAGTACGGCCTCAAGATTAAGAAAGCACAGGCTCGCGTCGTCGTCCACGACCAACGAAGTGACGCTGAGCAAGGACCTGCAACGCCCGTTACCCCAGCGGGCCCCCAGATGCTTGAAACGCCTGTCGCGATGCAACCTGGTAATCGTGACGATTCTAAGGCTCTTACGATCCAACAAACTAAGGCCGTCCAGAAGCGCCCCGACGATGGCAACTTGCGCGGCACCTTGTACAAAGAAGACTTGTCTGTCAAGCCTCTCGAAAAGCACTACACTGGTCCTCGAATCAAGACTCCTCACCAGTATCTCCGATGAATTAGTTCGGGGTCACATTCGAACACGACACTCTTCAATTTCAAGACGCCAAAAATATTTTCTTATAGTGTTCCTGGCTATTGTGGGATTGAACCAAGAACTTTTATCAACAGCTTTACGCTCTAATCAAAAGAATATTCCGGGCAACCGACGCCAATTTTTTTTCCGTTGCGGCAAAAATTCCCTTATTTGGCAAGGCAGTTAGTTTGCTTTGGTGGCGAGCTGGAATGATCACGTCCGCCTGAATGCGCTTTTCGCTCGGTCACATGTTGGGGGGGGAGGCACCGCCTAAAACCCTGACCCCAAGGAGAGAAATTGATGAGAAGGTCCGGAACAGAGAAAGGTTCCAGACAAGGGAAGAAGAATAAAGAGAGACAAGAAAGAGGAGACTTGTCTTTTGCAGCATATTTTGCCAACATTGTTGCTTGTTACATTGTGCTGCTCTTGTTAATGTCCAGATACCTACTTGTACTTTTATGTACCATACGCTGTGTATATTATCCTACCAGCCCAACTATGTAAATACAACTGGAGGAAAAACATTCCTCTGCAGACATTTATTAAATAAATTTGCTTTGTCTGCTACTTTGTCTTCCATCCTGCATCAATAGCTCCATCCGTAGCAACCCTTAATCAGTATCCTAGCCGAAAAAAAAAAAAAAAAAAAAAAAAAAAAAAGGAAAAAGGGGGTGAAAAGAGAAATACTCAAGTTATGACGTGAGCTGCAGAAGGTGTGCATATGATGTACTCCGTACGGAGTACGGAGTAATAACAAAAACAAGCAGCCAACACCACCAATCACTCGTTGGAAGTTATCGCTTGGCTAAACCCTGACCAGCTGAACCCAAACCTCACCCCCCTGGGGCAAACACCCAAAACCGATAAAATCTATTTTGAACCATGATGCCTAAACTGATCACAATAAGGCTCTTGCTTTCTTACTATCTCGGACTAGCCAGGGAAAGATGGCCGATCCACGAACTCCTTCCGATTCCCAATCCAGTTAATCACAACGTCATCCTCCTGGGTCCAAACTAGCTGGTTCTTGGCACCATTGCTTTGACCAGGATTTCTGTTGGTTCGTTTGGCGTGGGGCAGTGCTTGGCTTGTGCTTTCGGGGGCGAGTGAAAGCGTCGAGTCTCAGTCCATATTTAGATGCCCAGTCGAATCGTGAGAGGTCCCGTGAGCAACCAATGGTCGTTGCCTGAATTTCACTTCGAATTGCCGGTTGTACTCCGTAAACGAACTGGATATCTTAACTAATAGATGCCTCTTGGAGCTTCTGATGTACTCCGTCATACTTCTTACATTTTGAACCTGGGCAAGTACCTTTGGGGTCAGCGCAGCGCGCTCCGGCAACCCCGAACAACTCTTCCCGCCAACATGATGGGCATCTCTGCAGGGGTCTTCTATGAGTCATGAGCCTCGAGTACCACCAAAATGCATAGAGTTCACTGTGCTTCATTGAAAAATTGGGAAAAAATAAATAAACTCGTAAAAATTCAATTCTCTGGGTCTTCACTAACCATTCTAGCGAAGAACCCAAGGGGCGGGGTTTATATACCTCGAGTCGACTGCGTACGTAACAAAAGACTTATCTTCCTGGCGTACTTCCGTTCCGTAAGGCTTTGCTCGAAAGGATTTTCTTGAGCTGCAGGACTAGCTTCTTTCTTCGCTTCCCCAACATCCAATCTCTTCTCGTCTTTCAAGTCGGGGTTTACTGCTCTTGACATTTGATCTTTGCCCTCCTTATGGCTCTTTGATCCATCTGCTTCGGAGTGCTCTTGATCTTGGGTGATTCTCGAGGTAGAGATTCGAGAAGTGTGCCTTTTGGGCTCGCGATGTTTTCCTGTAAAAGACCGCCTTGACTTGTTTTTTCTGAGTTTTAATGCACTCCCCGATTGATGCCAGGGAGGAGAGGTAAGCTCTGGGATAAGCTGGGGGCTTGGGGTTTTCGGTGATACTCGATCTAAGCTCAAAATGAAACTTTAGATCACCCTTCCTCACCCACGGAACAAGAAGTATTCACTCAACTCTTTGTACACTTGGTGGGTATCATGGCCAATCAAATAGATTAAGTTCCTAGAATAGCAGGACGAGCTAAACTGTGATGAGGAAGATGTTCTCTGGGAGGAATGGTAATCAGGGGATAAAGACTTCAAGACACAGCCTAATGAAACTGAGGAACAAGGATATACCAACTTGAGGACCTCTTGAAAACTTATACCAAATAGTTGTAATTTAGACAAGAAAACCTGACAAAATTGAAAAATTGAAAAGATCGTTGCAAGGCTAAATATACTAGGAACCATTTGTCAAAGAAAAGAAAAGGCTGAGACGTCATGGAGATCCATGAACCAGGACTGGGGCAGAAACCTCAGATCCATAGTAAAATGGAGTCCCGTCATGTAAAATTAGGCATGTCCCTAAGAGTTGGAGAGAAGATCACAACAAAGACAACAGATAAAGGAGGGGTTGAGCTGATATATGTGAGAACTTTTTTGAAAGAGTACAAAATTGGCATCGAAAAATCCTAGTAAGGCAGGAGTTGAAGTAAAAGTCTTGGTGAAAGAAAATTGTATCAACAAAAGGAGAATTAGGAACAAACGCAGCAAGGTTCACCTCCCGGGATGTCTCCCACGACACCGATGGAACAACTTAAACCTAGCCAGAAGGAATTAAAATGAAAACGCAACCGGGGGGGTCCCTAACAGCTCAAGAGATGTCAAGGAATCCGTAGATCTTGAAAGGAGGTACCAAGCACATAAGATGGGGAGTACATAAGCAATTTATGTGACCATAAAGCTTTATTCAGGATAGAAACCTCTTATTTGAAGAGGAAACTGCTGATTCATCTGTTTTTCTCCTGATAGTTTTGAAGAACAGGTGGACAGGAATTCACTTGCATATAACAGCAGGCTATGAGGATCTTTCCTCTCTCCAAGCCGGGAATACTCGATATGTCAAGAATGGACAGTCAAGAGACCAACCCAGATACCTCTCCAATGTGAGGCCTTTGACAATGACATCCCTACTCATTTGTGTGGACCAATGGCTGATTAGAGTCTTCACCATAACTCCGCGGTGATGGATCGGCTCATGCGAGGACGTTGGGATAGAGTTGGCCCTGCAGACCGTCAGCGCTTCGGGCGCTTGTCACGTGATAGCGATAAAATACCGTTAGTCAGCATTCCATGAGCATCGCAGAAAACCTCCACCTGGCCGTGCATGGTCGATACACTGTATTTGGTCATTCAATTGCTATCCGAATTCAGGTGGAGTTGAGAGCATCGCCTTAGAGGAGACATTCCGTTCCGTCTAGTTGATAAGAATTGCCTATCTTGTCTCTTCCCGTACCGTTCCCAGCCCGCCCATCACAAAGATGGCCAAAAGAGGTAAAGCAATGACTTCCCGGCGCATTTCTCCCGGCGACGTTCCAAGTTCTTCCCGAGTCAGGCTTTACTAGTTACCTGATCGATCCCATACTGATGTATTTTTTTGCATGTTAGCCAAGTCCCGCACCATCGCCGTTCGCCTTATCAGCATGGCCATGACCGGCTACTACAAGACCCTTGTCCGACCACGCGCAAGCAGACCGCTTAGCATGCTTAAATACGATCCGGTCGTGAAGAAGAAGGTACTATTCTTGGAAGCCAGGCGCGGCGGCAAATAGACATGCGATTATGCGGTATTCGTCGAGTATCGAGGTTATCGAATGAGGTCTCAGGGCCGATATCGAGGCTATGTGCACAACGGCGGAAAGGGGGATGGGCATTATGTACGCTGGATAATTGGCTCGAAATACGTCTATTGCGATACTTTTACAGTCACATCTCGAATGCCTATGCGAGATACATGCCCTCGCTGACGAAATACGCTGTCGGGCCACGTTGATTCGTGACTACCTGAATGCATCCAATGAAATGATACACTTGGCGGGCGTTTTTGGGGTTGTGGTGAGGGGAAAACACACCTCTACATATGCGTATATGTATGTATATTATGTACTTATATTTCTGTGTTGTCAGACCTCTTTTCCGGCATTCTAGACGGCGTTGTTATTTTCATAGAAAGTTACTCATATATCTTATTTCAAATACCAGAAGTCTCCCTCCTGTGGTCTTTTACTTTAACCGATGCAAGCACCATACCTTTGAAATGCAGAATTTTCCATATAGCAATATATTAATGCTCCTTACCGTCAGCCGAATTCTCGTGTTTGGTCTGGGTTTCCGGTCAAACTTTCTTTATTCTCCGCCCATTATTTTGGATAATCTTGTTTGAACCTATTGTTGTACAGTTCTCCTGCTTCGAGTTAGTGCTACCCGGATGTAGAGAATATTTATATCCCCTACCTTTTTTCCTTCCATACCGCCGAGGTCTTCTATAACCCATAGACGATTCGGCTGATTGTGTGATGGCCCATGTATGTCGGCTACTCGATAAAATGGTGCTCGGGTTGTCCGATGACTTGAAATACTGCGAGGAAGCGCGTGTCTGGCGCCTAGGAACTGCGGGCGCCCCTGCTTCTTTAGTCTTCTGGCTTTCCATTCTCGACGAAGTATGCACTTCATTGTCCTCTCTCCCGGCCAGGGCTGGCAGTGCGGGTTCTTTAAGAATGCTTTTAGGTAGCTTTTGTCCCTTTTCTGCCTGACTCGACCCTTTTATTTCTTCTAGATTTTGGTTCTTCTCCTGGGGAGTATACAGTGATTCATCAGCATAATTACGATGAATCATGTGCGACTCAACCTTCACGTCTTTGATTGGGCTAGGTGGAAGTTTTGTCATGGGTGTGCTACTATTGCCCTGTTGTAATTTTGGTGTCGACGCGGGGATGTTGGCGACCCTCCAGCTTTCATACACTGGGGTATTGCTCAAGTAATCAATACTCTGCGAAGGCGAACTGCGTCGACCATCGAGATCCCACTGAACTTGGGAGAAGGGCTTAATGCGCGGCGTGGTAATTCGGGTGTGTTTTTTCTTAGAAGCGGAGCGTTTTTGCACCTGCGGTTTCAAAGGAGAGCAAGAGATACTCCTGCTAATGCTTTCTTTACGGTATACAACTCTAGTTGTCTTGTACCCAGGGGTCGAGCACCGAGGCGAAGTTTTTCTTTCAATGCTTGGGGTCAAATTTGCGATGCGTTTTCTTTTCCCGGTGCTTTTTGATCCTTGGAGAGATACTTCATCAGTGTCGGCATCCAGTAACATCTCGCTGGATTCCGGCAAACGAGCAAAGTATGACAACCGCCTTTCAAGCGTGACCCATGACTGCACTAGCAGATCATTAGCACCAAGGATACCAAATTGGCGTAATAGACCCTCGATCTTTGTCAACGATTCCTCCGCTCGATCTAACCTGCCTTGCAGTTTTTGCAATTCGCTATCTTTTCCTCGTATGGTTTGGTGAAGATTAACCATATTCTCTTCCTGCTTGGACAAATCCAACTCTGCAGTCCGGCATGCAGTATCATCATCTCTACTTTTCAGGCGTTCAGTCAATTCCATATTCTCCTTGTGGGCATCCTCTAGCTTTTTCCGCAAGTCTTTAAGCTCTAGCGTTCCTTGGGCAGCTTCTTCCCGCAATCTTTCTGTAACGGTTGCATTGTCTTTGAGCGTCGCTATTTCGTTCGTTAGAAACGCTATGTTTTCATCCTTTTGAACGCTCTCGTCTCGCATGAGGTCGAACTTTTCTTGTAGGAGAGATAATTGACAGGAGCTCTCCATCCAGCTCTGCGCTTCAACCAACTCTATCTTCATTTTGGCATTCTCTGCGAGAGCTCTTTGGAGACTTGACTTCGCTTCTTCGGCATCCATGGCATGAAAAGTCTTCTCGTCCTTTAACTTGAATACCACTTCATCCAGGTCTGTGATTTCTTCCTGACGGGTACTCTCTAAATCGTTCATCATCTTTGCGTTTTCTGTAACCTGAAAGTTGCGTTAGCTCAGAATAAATGCATGGAAGGCATAGACTTACAGTAATCTCAAGCTCACTTTGTGAGCTTCCAGCTGCTGCCTTGGTTACTGTTAGCAATTTTTCCGCCGGCTATGGTGGAATTACACACTAATTTTGATTTCAGGAGCGCTGTCTGCTCTTTGAGCGTATTCGCACTTTTTTCTGCAGTGGCCTTTTCACGTTTAATTTGATACAATTGCTGTTCAAACCATGCGCGATTTTGCTCTGTTGACAGCAGACTTGCCTTCGTAAATTCAGCCCTGACCCTGTTCTCGATACTAATTGTGTCCTTTTCAAACTTCGCTTTTTCGGTCTCCAGGTTCAGGATCTGCGTCTCAGAATTCTGGAGTCTACTTTTGGTCTCAGATAAACCGGCTTCAAGCTTGGACACCTCCTCCTCTTTTGCTTTCAGTTTTGCAGTTGCATCATCCAATACTGCAGAAATCTCTTTAAATTGTATCCGGAGTTTGGATAGCTCATGGCGATCTTCAGACGACTGGCAAGCATCGGCTAGCTGGTTTTGCAAGGACTCTACCTCCTTTTGGAGAGCGCTGACATCATTTCGAAGGCTGCTTTCAGTCTCTTTTAAAATGGCATTTTCAACGTTGATTTGTGCTAAAGTTGCTTCTGCAATTTTTACCTTTTCCTGTAACATTCCATTAGTTTGCTTGGTGTCAGCTAGCTTGATCGAAGCCGTAGATGATTCTTCAAAGAAGACACGCATATCACTAAGTTGTTGGATAATTCTGGAGGCTTGCTGATTCTGTACGTCGAAACCACTGGCTACGTGGAGCTCTGTTTTTTGGTTCTGAGAATCTACCCTGGTCCCAGTAAGTCTCCTTTCCGTACAAAAGGGAACAGGGAACGAACTTCATAGAAATATCCCGTAATGCTTTGTCGATTTGGGCTAACTGGGCCAGGTCAATGGATTCCGGCTTACTGAGCGTTTCCAGAATTTCTAGACAGGGCTTTAACTGAAGTCCAAGCTCCACTTTGATGGTGGACTGTGATTCTGTTAACAAATTCTTGATTCCCTCAGCAAGATTCCCAACGTTGGAGGCGGTTTCGGTTTGAGTTTGCTGGAGTAGCGCTATTTGTTTTAGTCCTCTATTTGAATGATTTCGGATAAACGCTTCGAGTGTAGAGGTATGATTCTTCTCTCGTTCCAGTAACTTCTCGCTATTCTCCAGTCTGTTGTCCCTCAAGGCCAGCGACTGTTCCAGTACGGTGAACTTAGCCTGCATACTGGCTAATTCGGCTCTTTGCTGGGTTACGGCCTTGCTCAAATGGTCAGTACCACATTTCAGGTGTCTTAAATCTGTTTGCAATTGATGCTTCCCCCGGACAAGTGCGATTTGTGCTGACTTGAGAAACTGTCCATCTTTGCGAAGAATCTCATGATCATTTCCAATGATGGCCACAAGACTCTTAACCTTTCCAAGCTTGACCTTCCACCTCTCTATAATGTTCCTCTGTGCGGTATTCTGCGTCTCTTGTGCATGACAACGATCCTCTGCCTCCCTCAGTTGGGATTTCAACGCTTCATTCTCTTCATTGACTTCTCTAAGCTTCTTCTCCGTTTCTT